AAACCCTCGAGCACGGGTATGGTGCTGACAAACCTAGAAACATAATCGGGGCGAACCAGGATTCGAACCCACAATCATAGGTTTCTGGCGTGCCCAAGGGACGCAACTCTGCACAGCGAATCGTGGCGCCTTAGACGACTGGGCCACCCGTGCCCCCTCATTTTTATGAAAAGCGCTGCACGCTGAAGATGGCATTTTGTATTCTGATGAAGTGATCTGTGAGTGAGTGAGTTGGGTTTAACGCCGCTTTTAAAAATATTACAGTTATATCACGGCGAGTCAGCTTAATGCGGGATAACATCCCAGAGTGAGACGACTGGGCAGACTAGGCCACCCGGTCCGGGGTTCGATTCCCGGTTGCACCACACCAAAGACGTTAAAAGATGATACTTGTTGTTACCCTGTCTGGCGCTCGGCATTAAGGGGCTAAAACAAGGACTGGTCGGCTAAGAGTCAGCATACTGTGTCTGAGTGGGGTATTCATGTTAAGCTGCGGGGCTAGCAGTGGACTAGCACTATAAATCGGCATCAGTCCGAACTAGTCCAAGCAGCCACTCACACGTGTATGCACGTCACTTTATAAGTGCAGTAATCTTGTACGTGACGTTAACCCCCATTTCACCTCACCTTTAATCCGATATAGCGTTCATAAAGATGTAACGTTATTGTCCAGGCGGCTTTCTTATCAACTCAACTCAACTTATGATCAACTCAACTCAGAATCACTTTATTACAGCTCCTGGTCATACAACGATATATGAAGCGTACCACAGATTAAATTTTAAATTAAGGGTAGCACTGACAAATAGAGGCGTTTACAATAGATCTAAAATGGTTAACAGCAGCCGTTGTTAAACAATAATAACAGTTCATGGTTTTATAACGGCAATTAATCGAGATACCATTTGTAATTCTAATAAGTTACTAATGTTCATGATAAGGAAACTATTTCCTGAGGACCATCAGGTCTTACTGCACACTCAGCATGGGTATATCTATTACTACACTATTGAATTTGTTTGTTTGTGGGTTAACGCCGCACTCAGCAATAGTCCAGCTTTATGATGGCGGTCTGTAAAAAATCGAGTCTGGACTAGACAATCAAGAGATTGATATCATGAGCATCGATCTACGCAACTGGTTTTGGTTTGTTGTTTTATGCCGCACTCAGCAATATTCCAGCTTTATGACGGCGGCTCTACGCAATTGGGATACGATGACATGCATCAACCAAGTCAGCGAGCCTGACCACCCGATACCGTTAGTCGCCTTTTACGATAAGCATGGTTTGCTGAAGACCTATTCTACCCCAGGTCTTCACGAGTTTATATATACTGTTGAAAGTAGGGTAGAAAGTAAATATTCATCACCCAAGTCGTTTCTGTTGCATAATTAACACAGTTTGTCGTGACGCGAGACTCACATTCATCTACATCTTCTTAACTGGTAATCTATGATGACATGTTCTAAATTCAACAAGTGGTATAAATATCTGAGACACGGTAAATTAAATTGTCTTCAAGTATAAAATTCTCTTTGAAGAGTCTGTAAAATATACCTTTAGTAGAATTTGTTACACTGGCAGTGCAACAGTTTTTTACTGCGGATAACTCGATGTATTTTGGCATAAGATACGAGGTTTCACATCGACTAACGCTTGGTCTCTGAAAATATAATATTTTGATGGACAGAAATAATTCCAATTAAATTGAAAAGGCGGCTCAGTGAGGTGGGATATTTTGAACCTAAGAAAATCTAGACTTGCTTAATTTGATAAATTACATTACAGAAAGGGCTGGGCATAGGAGAAATTAATATGGTTTTGGGACTGTGAGCCAGATTATGTTCACAGTAAAAGTGTTTCCTTAAGTTGTATGCCTGGTCGTTATGGAATTGGTGAGATTTTATGGCGCTTCTTTGTAGCTCGGATAAAAGGGACATATATAATCACAATCCCCACATGAACACACCCACTCATTTCTCGATTTGTACGACAAGTATAGAATACTGCAGGGGTGGGGACTACTTCATCTAAGGGAACTATGCCAGGCGTGGTGACGTTGCCAAGTTTATGTCAAAATAGTAAACTGATAGATTGACTTTAACACACGGACAAAAATAATAACAAATAATTAAAACTAATGTAAAACTAAAAAGGGAAACTGAACTTACGATCTATGAAGCCACTACCCCTAAATAAATCTTTAAAAGATAAAAAGAAAAAGAGACAGGAAGGAAGACCATGCTCTTTTAGCTTCAATCAACAGTGACACCGAAATCTGACTGTTCACAACAAAACATAATTCCTTTCAGGCCGAGAACGGCTGTATGAGAGTTACACATGAGCTTAACTGTATATGATTGGCAGATTTTGTGTAATAAGAGAATGGTTCAATTTTCATATAAGTGACACAGAATTTACGCTTGTTTACAAATGGACATTTCAGCTCCATTATTACGTTCTTTCCACCGTCAACTGAGATCACATGCATTGAGCGTATAATTCATAGGGGCAGAGGGGAGGGGGGGGGGGGGGTCGGGGTCGGGATACTTATTTCAAATTATTGGAGACATTATCAACATGTGTGTACAAAACAAAAAGGGACGACCAAACGACGAGAATATTTTTTATATATTTTTTTTATTATTCCACTTTTTTTTGTCGTACAGCATTTCATACATATTAATGTTCATACAGCGATTCTTAAAACAACAACAGAATCATACATCATGGGGTCATATGAACTCGGATAATTCAGTATTTGAGTTGATATGGTTACAAAAATAGTTTGTGGCAGCTGGACCAAAACTTCACAAACTTGTAGTTACAGTTAGAGTAAGCTATCGCTTTAGTTATAAAGTAGTAATTTGCCAACTCTCTCTGGATCAACTCGAAAGACAATTTTTTCTTTTTTAGATAAAATTTGAATATTGTATCCTTAATGACAAGGCATACAGCATTTAATGGATCATTTCCTTTAAATGGAAAGCCCAGTAAAACGTTTTCTTTGGTGAAATTGATATGAATTTCCGCCTTATTATTTATCCATCTTTCAAGTTCGGCCCAGAGAGAGTTAGCGTTTTCACAATTCCATAGTACATGAGAAATGTCAGCAAAAACTTTATCACAACTTGTACACAAGGGAGAATCTTAATATACCACTTTAAATAGGTATTTACCAACTGGAAGTATTTGATAAATGATTATGTACTGAAGCCAACGCAATTGCACACTATCAGAACATTGGAAGGGTATTTCATTTATATTTTTCCATTCATAATCTGTATAATATTTTATTTCATTTTCCCATTGCTGATTGGCTGATGTCCTCTGAAATGTTGAACTCAATAGCACATCATAGTAGTATTTTGAACCCTTTGGACTCTTCATAAGTACATGAATGTTAAATGGTAAAATTTAGGCTACCAATGGTGTAACATCATAAGTTTCTAAAGATTTTAAATAAACATTTATAGCATTTCTTACTCCGTAAAAGGTTAAACGATTACACGAAACATTGTATCTATTCTCAAATTCTAAGTATGAAAGAAGTCGGCCCTCATGATCTACCAAATCATTGATATATTTTACTCCCGCATCATCCCACTTGTTAATAAATATATATTTCCCATCAATCTGCAGCGTTCGCTCGTCACGCCGAAGACCCGGGTTCGAATCCCGACATGGGTACAATGTGTGAAGCCCATTTCTGGTGTCCCCCGCCGTGATATTGCTGGAATATTGCTAAAAGCGGCGTAAAATCATACTCACTCACTCACTCATCAATCTGCACATTGTCATTGTACCATATATACTGGGAATAAGCATCCTTTCGTGTTTTCTTATGTTTTTCTATATATCGGCCCCAAGACGACACTACATCTCGCCAAAAAGGATTTTCTTATAGTTTTGACGATGTGGTCTCTTATGTATTTTGCATCCATTTTAAAAATATCAGATGGGATAATATTAGCCTCAAACGATTTAAGGGTAGTATTTGATAGATGTATGTGACGAAGCCAAGTAATATTTTGAGATGCAATAATATCTTTTACTAGGGGTACTTTAAAACCACCGTTAGGAATATTGTTCATTACCCTTTCCCTTTTAATTTTATCCGGTTTTTCATTCCAAATAAATCTGAAGCACTTTGTTTGAAATTTATTAATAATATCTTCGGATGGAGCAGGAACAGTAGAAAACAAATGATTAAGTTTTGGTAACAATAATGATTTCAGTATTGTATTTCGTCCAAAGGGTGTAAGTATTCTACTTTTCCATAATTGCATTGAATTTGTTATTTCTTTGAATTTATCTTTAATTAATGTCTTCCATATTTTCAAGATCAGTATCAAATTTAATGCCCAATAACTTAAAGTTATCGGTCCAATCCGTTTTCATTTTGGGAAGTAGTTTTATCCGACTACGTTTTTTTGAACCAATCCATATCAACTTAGTTTTGTCTATATTTACCCGTAAGCCCGAAAAACGTTCAAAGAGAGTCAATGTATTAAAAACAGCTTGTAAACATCTTTCTGTACCATCTAATATTAAAGTTGTATCGTCTGCAAACGGAGCTAATAAGTGAGAATATTACTGACTGATGACATTTTAGGATCACCTGTTAATTATCTGAATGGAACCGTTACACATTTTAGGCCAAATGTTGTTACGGAGGACTATGTGTTAGGGAGTACCGTTTTGTTAAGCAGTACATGTGCACACTACTGATCAGGAATATCAGTAGGTGAACGACAAGGAGAGCCCAACCACTGCATATACCGCCGCACACCATGTGTACACATCTTACAAGGCATGTTACAGACTTTTCATTGCTATATAGACCACTATTTATTTTGCATGGTACATCAACGTAGCATATAGTGAATAAGTATTTTACATGATAAGGGAAGCATGAAAATATAAACGGAAACACCAGAGAATAACCAGTCCCGACGAAGCAGATTCCATTTGGCGTAAAAGGTTTTATAATGGTGAATGGATCACTGAAAATCATTTATGACACCAGGTGTTCGCGAAGAGTCAGCATTACCTGCTCTACGGTAGCGACCGCCCCTCACACAACTAAGTGAGTGAGTATTGTTTTACGCCGCTTTTAGCAATATTCCAGCAATATCACGGCGGGGGACACCAGAAATGGGCTTCACACATTGTACCCATGTCGGGATTCGAACCCGGGTCTTCGGCGCGAAGAGCGAACGCTTTAACCACTAGGCTACCCGACCGCCCCTCACACAACTAAGGAATCTTACGTGTTATATCAAGAAGGCATTTTATTTGAGACATTGTACATGATTCATTTTACATGGTGCATTTGAAATGGTACATGATGCATTTTGCGTGGTACATTATATAGTTTACATGATGATGGGATATTAAATATGGTGACATCGAATTGCCGTAGCGCATAAATCAACCCACGTGGTACAGGAAATGTCATTCTGCATTAAAAGTCTCATTCATAGCTGATCTGATCAAGACGGTCCATCTCATTGCAAATTTCCGACAGTGATTTGGGGTTGTTTCTCCCAATGGTTAAAATATAGTTCGCTACATTCGTTGCGGTTTTCTGAGATAGGTCACACTCTATATCTGTCAGTTCCTTTGTGAACAACCTGATATACGAATCTTTCACCACCTGGTTATGAGGGATGGGGCCACCAGGTGCTATCTCACGTGACATGTTCCGAAGCATCGGTAGCAGTTTCCGCAGTGCCTCTGACTGATGCTTTCCATGATGAATGACGCTATTCAAAAGTTCCTGAACAATGGCTCGGTCGCGCTCATCTACCTGCTTCCATTGCTCCAGCAGGTGCTTGAGCAGCATCTCCTCAGTCTCTGTCTCTCGCCTGGTGTGTCTAGATGTAACCATTCCTGGAGTCCAGCATCCGTCAGCGGCGTCCCGTGTTGACGTGCCATCTCCACCTTTCTTGAAGTCCATATTCTCATGTGCAGTCGTGCATTCCTTGACCTGATTCCCGAGTCGGATCTCCTTTGTATCCGGATGCTTGCTGCTCGCGTACTGTGCAGATGCGCAATCTGCGGTGCCACCATTCAGATGGCTTCCACCTGTGTCAAATGGGATTTGAACAGGCATCCCTGCATGGTCAGTATTGTCAACATCGACGCGTTCAGATTGGCGTATTGTAGCAAGCTCATTGACTCTGACTTGGTAAGGAATACTGCAAGCATCTGAAGACTTATCGGCACTTTCCCCGTGAAGAACAGGCGTGGAACATGATGCCCTCTCTCCTTCTGGTGAAACAATTACCCAGCCACTTTTCACCAGGTCGTCTGTATTCTCACAGTCAGTTTCTACATCACATCTGTCTACTGAAAGACGTTTGGACTGAAGAATCACATCAGGCCTGCGAAGCTCTACAACAGGCATACATTCTTCAAGCTGAAATGAAATAAGATATAGGAACAAACATCATTAATATACAAAATGAATACATAAATATTAAACACTGAGATTGTAGTAGGCTGGAAATAAAGCTTAGGGGAGTACAATGGTATTCAACTGTAAATGAAAATATTTAATTTTGTTTCTGTTTCTTTCATACTAAATTGCAAGCCACGATTTGATGATTCGTGAACAGGTAAAGAGGTATCTCCCACTACTATAACCTCAATGCCTCGATGTGTATTTGAATATGAATTGCCATTCATAATTAGTTGTTTCCGAATTTACAAAGTCTGATAAGTTGAGTATCATCACGTCACGATCGCCTGTCAATTCTGACTATATGACGTCACAACGATCCAGTGCGTCATAAGTGTCGTAAGGGTACTTGATCTCTATGCGGTCGAGAGTTTATTTTACAAACTCGATTTGAGCATGCTTTATAGGGTGTGGATTTGGCGCATTACAATATGGATTATGAATTTGCACATTATTACATTATTATAACTATAATCCTAGGTTACTGATTATACTTTTTACATTATTACATTATTATAACTATAACCTAGACTAACATTTAGTCTCTGAAATGAACATATCGTACATAAAAAAAACCAGTTGTTCAGTTATCTTAATAAAAATATAATAAAAAGGAGCCCAGTGACTCTCTTCATTTTCAGATACTGATACTGATACTGCAGTGATCTAGACTTGCCAAACATTATAGACTTGCATGGGCTATTTTTGATATATATTTGTATCAGGGTCTGTAAGACAGACTAAACTATAACCCTAAGATAGTGATTATACTTTGCACATTATTACATTATTGTAAATATAATCCTAGGTTACTGATTATATTTTGCACATTATTACAATATTATAACTATAATCCTAGGTTAGTGATTATACTTTTCACATTATTACATTATTATAACTATGATCCTAGGTTAGTGATAATACTTTGCACATGATTACATTATTATAACTATAATCCTAGGTCAGTGATTATACTTTGCACATTATTACATTATTATAACTATAATCCTAGGTTACTGATAATACTTTGCACATTATTACATTATTATAACTATAACCCTAAGTTACTGATTATACGTTGACGTGTGCAATAAGGTAGGTATCTTACCGAGGCTGAGACATTCATTTACTCGTAGCTCGTTATTGTATGGAGACCTTACCTGAGATGTGTCTCTTCTTCGAAACAATATACCCATAGTACTTTCCAGGATGGAGACCAAGGATGCTGAAACAAACATCACATGCCTTTAGTGACAAAGCAAAGTTGTTAAGAACATGCATGACATATGCAATGGAGGTTTATGTCAATTATCGGAAGAAGGAGTTCACGGCTTGAATGCAAACAAAAATAAAACTATCCATTACATCACCTATTTTCAAGTTGAAAGTGTTATTTTATCGATAGGCATGTGGTTGCCAAAGGCTCCTCCAGTCCAGTCCTGTTCTGACTTAATCGTGATCATCTAACATTTGATCACTGCAGGGCGCTCGGGAAGCCTAGTGGTGAAAGCGTTCGCTCGAAAAAGGAAAATGATTAAATAGCTTTAAATCCAGTACGTCAGTCATTTTAAAAGCCAATGAAATATATATTTCAAATTCCCCGCGCCATGTATACATGTGAAGCTTAGCGCCATAAAGGGGCGGTGGGGTAGCTTAGTGGTTGAAGCTCGCTCGTCACGCCGATGACCCGGGTTCGATTCCCGACATGGGTACAATGTGTGAAGCCCATTTCTGGTGTCCCCCGCCGTGATATTGCTGGAATATTTCTAAAAGCGGCGTAAAACCACACTCACTCACCCACTCACTTTGATCACTGATCAGAATTGATATCAAAAGGTTCTCGTCCTTTGTAAGGGATGTCGCATGAGTATATTTGCAATCAGTATATCATCAGAACACCCTATACCGTGTCGCAAGAAAAATAGATCAACCTATTAAACAGACAACTGGGATACACTTACATTTAATGTTGTCGATATGATCGCCGTCGTTGCCAGACTCAACAGCTTCTGCAACAGCTTCTGCAACAGCTTCTGCAGCAGCTTCTGTGGCAGCTTTTTGTCCATCTTCGACCGTTACGCCTTTGTCACTTGACGTGCTGTCAAGTCGGACTCGTGATTTCGTTTCACTCAGTGAAGTACCTGTAGTATCCACAAGTGATACTGGACAACAATATAATATTTATAGTATAAGAGACGGTTGAGAAAATGTCCGTATACGGACTTCATATGGAACATGCTTTTGAATATACTCGACTAAGAAATGACAATGTGCACTAATCTATACGGTACCTTGGTTAGACCTTAGGGCAATGTTGTTCTTCAGTGTCCCAAGTCCCCTTCCAGTGATCATGGCCGTGAGGGCCTCTTCTTTTAAACTAACTTGAATGAGATTATCTGAAATAAATCATCTATGTTACACATCGGATGTGACATTCGGCCAATGTATGGAATTAATATTTGTTAAAGAGTCATGTAATGACGGAAAGTATTACAATGTCTCAAGTACGCCTAATGGAATCTGTTTCGGTGGATAACAGAGACAGGTTGATCTCTGGTGTTGACGTTAATTATATATTTAAGTAATACATGTCAATGTCTCAAGAACCAGTACTTACACGTGTTTCCCATCCCACCATAGATAACTCCACCCGTGTTGGCAGTTTCGACTGAGCCTCCTTCGACACCATGGATGGAGGTTTCCGGGACCCCCGATTTCCGACCTGATTCTACAAAATTACATATTGAATCCATGATTAGAACTTATAGCTTGTCTCTGTTTCTACTTTCACTTCCAAAACATTGTAATATCTGCACGATCAATTCAAATGTACATGTAAGTATGCATAAAATTAAAGCATGTATGCCATCTATTAAAGTAAAAACATGATCTGCTGTCGAAACTTTAGGTACATATGTGTTTAAGTACTAACCATCTGGTAAGCTTCTTGAAGACACAGACCTCTCCACATCTTCGGACCTTGGGTGCAGCTCTACAACCTTATTGTATTCCATTGTTGTGCCCGTCTTCTCCATCCTTGCCTCGGGTACACTCCTGTGAAGCCTCCTGTTTCTGGTTTCTGAGGCCCTGTGTATAATAATGGTCTCAAGTAGCCTCTTATATCAATAGTATCCTCTCGAAGCTGCTTGTATGTGTTGTAGCCTCGTGTATCTGTTATAGCTTCTTGTAGTCACTTGTGTCTGTTACATCCGCTAGTAGCCTTTCAGACCTTCCGTAGACTGTAACAGCGTATGTGTCCGAGATGTACGCAGGTTCGATGGATGAAATATCTGTTATAGCTTCTTGTAGTCACTTGTGTCTGTTATATCCGCTAGTAGCCTTTCAGACCTTCCGTAGACTGTAACAGCGTATGTGTCCGAGGTGTACGCAGGTTCGATGGATGAAATATCTGCTCTAGTATTCTGGAAAGGTTGTAAAACTCCTTAATACATTAACACATTTAGGACGATTCATTCCAGAGATACTGTTCAAAGTTAGGCCAGAACACAGGGGGATGCGCATAAAGCCTCATAACAGTTACGATGGCAGTGTAAAAAAACAAAAACATAATCACTCACCCAAGAGTCCCCAGAGAATGTATGGAAGCCAGTGTGCAGACAACAGATTAATAAACAAACAAACGAACACTGCCCTTATTTATTAATGATGAATTTCTAACTACCCCTTTTGTTGGCATTTAAAAAAGATATACTCTGTATATGCAGATGCAGTGCTGATATCACTGCATACACTCGTGATCCACCTGTAACCTTTATGTAGTCTAAACACAGTACGTTATGTTGAAACGCATAAGAGATATGCACATGTCATTTGTCAGTGATATACAGGTGAGGTGAAATGGGGTTTAACGTCGCGTCCAAGATTATTGCACTTATATAGCGACGTGCATGCACGTGTATGTGTGTGTGTGTGTGTGTGTGTGTGTGTGTGTGTGTGTGTGTGTGTGTGTGTGGCTGTGGCTGTTTGTACTAGTCCGGACTGATGCCGATTTATAGTGCTAGCACATTGAGATGCCATGCCGCAGTTTAACATGAATACCCAACTCAGACACAGTATACTGACTCCGAGCCGACCAGTCCTTGTTTTAGCCCCTTAATGTCGAGCGCCAGACAGGGTAACACCAAGTACCATCTTTTAACGTCTTTTGGTATGACGCGGCTGGGGAGCGAACCCCGGACCTTCCGCCTTCCGGGCGGACGCTCTACCATTAGACCACGGAGGCGGTCTCAGTGATATACAGATATATTAGAGGCGTTAACAAGGTATTATTTCACTTGATATTGATATTGTTGCTTATTATGTTTTTTGACAAACGACCAACAAAACTAAGTAGACTTCCTTGTTGGAAGTTTTTTATAGTCTATTGATAAAGGTATACGGGAAATCCTGAGTGAAATCAGCAAAGCAGGTATAAATATAGATCCGTCTGCCGTGTACATAACCACGAACTGTCACCTGGATCAATCAATTGAGGGTCATTTGGGAGCATGACTCATTTGAGTCTCAGACCCATTACCTTTTTTATCTAAATTCCAAAAAAGGTCGAGGCCCGTTTAGCATACAAGCTGTGGGCTCGCGCTCAGAATATGTTCATGTTCTTATAGTCCAATACAGGACTGTTAATATCCTGAGTCGCTACGTCTTTTCAGCTGCTTTTCATCGTCCGGAATAATATTTAAAAAAATAACAGTTATCGGAACAATTAAAATAGGGATTTAGCCTCTTCTTGTGTAAAACATAAAGAGGCTGTATTACGAATAGTAATGGTAAGATTTGTTTGTTTGTTGTTTAACGCCATATTCAAGCTTTATGACGGATGTCTGTAAATAATCGAGTCTGGACCAGACAATCACGTGATTGATGTCATGAGCATCGATCCATGCAATTTGGATACGATGACAAGCATCAATCAAATCAGCGAGCCTGACCACCCGATCCCATTAGTCGCTTCTTACAAGCAAAGTCGCTTTTTATGGCATGCTTGGATTGCTGAAGACCTTTTCTACCCGGATCTTCACAGGTAAATAATGACAAGAACAATATATAATATTACAATTATTATTTCAAGTAGCTCCGACGTTCATACAGTTCGGCCCTCACTCTATGAAGGTTCATACTCCAATGAACTCACACAAAGTGAATGTCAGTTCTTAAATGAATACCATGTCACGTAGCTTCTGTGCTCCATGAAAACATTACATTATGGAAAGGAATGCTTGCCTGTCCGATGCTATATTGAACTACATGTGATTAACGAAAACGCAACACGCACAGCAGGAGATGGTATACGTTACTTCGTTTCAGTCTTTATTTCATTGTTAACATTGATCTATATGTGTACATGGTGGTTTACTTTATCGTATAGACATCACTACAGACATTGGATAACGCTTGGGATGTGTTGATAAAAGTAAGTGAGTATGGTTTTACATGGTGGTTTACTTTATCGTATAGACATCACTACAGACATTGGATAACGCTTGGGATGTGTTGATAAAAGTAAGTGAGTATGGTTTTACGCTGCTTTTAGCAATATTCCAGCAATATCATGGCGGGCGACACCAGAAATCGGCTTCACACATTGTACCCATGTCGGGAATCGAACCCCGGTCTTTAGCGTGACGAGCGAACGCTTTAACCACTAGGCTACCCGACTGCTCGTGTTGATGAGATAACCGTTGAGTATGATTTTATAGGTGCGCCCTGTACTGTATGGTTGTTCTGACTCTCGTTAAGCTCATGGGTGCAACCTATGAGTGCATTCTATAAATATCACCTGGGGAAAACCCTCCTAGCGGTTAACCTACGTTACGCTGGGCATGCCCATTCTTTTATTTTCATGAGTCATGGTTATTTATACACATAAGATGATATGACGGTACCTGATAAATATATACTTTGATCGGTAAATAGCAGAAATATGCATAAATAAAATAAATAAATAATATCTGACATACCTGACATGTATGAATATTGATAGGTGGATTAAGAAGAACATAAAGATGAACTTTCGATTTCTGAAAATGAATCACCGAACCCGGTGGGCTCAAAGGTTTATCTAATTACTTTGTCATGAAAATATCTATACCTTACACAATGCACCACAACATCATACATATTAATGTCTAAGCTTTTAATGATTATACAAATATTTAAAAGTATTGAATAGTTAGTTTCACACCATTGTGACACGCTCCAGGCTTCGAGCCCGGACACAAATTTTAAAACATTCCATTGAGTGTCCATATAAAAGAAAGTTCCTTTAAGTGTACATTAATTAAAATGTCATTTCAATATTATCTAGGCGTAGATAATTGACATGCAAGTACAGTCGTGAAACAAATAGATAGTTTAAACAAGAGAGTGACGTAACAGATATGTATTAATTAGCTTTGATGCACAGAGCGTCTTTCTTCAGTGAATGCTATTCCTTTCCATATCGATATTTCAAACATCACAAGTGGCCCAGTCGTCTAAGGCCCAGCAATTCGCTGTGCACAGTTGCGTCCCTGCACGTGCCAGGGACCTGTGATCGTGGGTTCAAAATCCAGAACCGCCTCCGTGGTCTAGTGGTAGAGCGGAAGGTCCGGGGTTCGATCCCCAGCCGCGTCATACCAAAAGTCGTTAAAAGATACAAGCAGCCACACAAACACATACACGTACATACACGTTGCAATATAAGTACAATAATCTTGGACGCGACGTTAAAACCAATTTCACCTCACCACCTCAAAATCCATATTCACCCTGATCATGTATCTAGGTATGTCAGCACCATATAGCAGCTCTTACCTGTAATATTTCTGGATTTCCTCCCACATGAAGCTGATACGCCGTGATATAACTGAAATACTGCGTTAATCCAAACACAAACACTTCCGTAAATATATGCACAATGAACAGGATACGATTGTGAAGTTAGTGTTACAGATAAGGCCTTGATGTCATATGCCGTACATAGAGCTTCGACTCTCTCCCGAGGAACGTACTCATTCAGGAAAAGCAAGGGCATGTGTCTCTGTATTTAAACACGTGGGTCAGGATAACCGTATCGCTGGGGTCGGGTTGTTAAGTAGGGCCCTCAGCCTTTTAACGCAACATCATAGGACAGCCCTAACTGTGATAACAAAGTGCCTGTGATAACAAAATTCGCCGACCGCCTTGGTCGAGCGTCCGCCCGGAGAGCGGAAGGTCCGGGGTTCGATCCCCAGCCGCGCCATACCAAAAGACGTTAAAGGATGGCACTTGTTGTTTCCCTGTCTGGCGCTCGGCATTAAGGGGCTAAAACAAGGACTGGTCGGCTCGGAGCCTGAGTGGGGTATTCATCTGAACCTGAGGCATGGTGTCTCAGTGAGCTAGCACTATAAATCGGCATCAATCCGGACAAGTTACAAGCAGACACATATATAAGTACAATACCACAAAATTTTATTTAACAGATTCCTTCACCTGGGATTAAAAGGTAAATTTCTCAAGTTAATAATTCTGATGTATTCAACACTGCATGTGTGAGAACTGATTGTGGACCATCGCCATACTTCAAGTGTATCATGGGTACACGTCAGGGGTGTATCTTAAGCCCTCAGATCTTCATCATATTTATTAATCAGTTAGTCTCAATGTTGGAGGAAGAAGGTGGTAGAGGTGTGTTTATATCTACTCATCTCCCTGATGTATTTGCTCTGTTATTTGCTGATGATGAGTCAACCGTCTCTGATACTGCTCTACAGCTTCAAAAGAAAATAAAGACCCTGGAGAAATTCTGTGATGATACTGGCATGAAAGTCAATCTGAATAAGACTAAAATAATAGTATTTCGGAATGGAGGTCCTCTTGGCAGTTATGAAAAGTGTTTTTTGAATGTTTTGAATGGTCAACATGTCAACATGTGCAGATATTTAGGAATTGTTTTCTCACCAAAGTTATCTTGGACCAAGGCCCAAGCATGTCTTGCAGCCAAGGCAAGGAAAGCACTTCTATCACTTTATTATTATCCAAAACAATTTGGATACATTAATCACCATGATCTTTTTAATATTGTTGATGCTATGATTCCACCAATCCTATGTTATGGATCAGAGATCTGGGGAACCAGCTACTGTAACATTTTTGAGAGTGTCCATAACAGATTCTGCAAATCCTTTTTGAAAGAAAATAAGTTCACAAATAACAACATGGTTCTAGGAGACTGTGGTAGGATCCCCCTACAGTATAACTACATGTCAAGAGCAGTCAAGTACCTGTGCAGACTAATTCAGATGGAACAACACAGGCTACCCATCCAAGCTTATTATATACGTAAATCTCTTGATGATAATGGCAAAATTACATGGGCATCACATATTAGAATGATTTTATTCCAGTTTGGATTTGGTTTTGTTTGGCTAAGCCAAGACATTGGTAATATTCAACATTTCATGACAGATTTTAAACGAAGATTTTACGACTGCGTCACTCAATATTGGCACTTTTCCCTGACATCATCAACGAAATGCAATTACAACTCACAGTTCAAGTCATTACTAAATGTGGAATCATATATTACTTGTGATATGTCTTCTTACCAACGTAGACTTATAGCCATGTTCCGGTGTAATAATTTTAAGACTTGCTGTTGAACTGGGGCGTCACAACAACATCCCATATAATGAACGTGTCTGCACTTTCTGTTTTTCAAAGGGACATAACCATGTTGAAGATGAAGTCCATGTTCTCATGATTTGTCACCAGTATTCTAGAGCAAGAAGAAACTCTTTTCCCAAGCGTCTCGTTACCCCTCCCTCTATTGAGAATTTTACAAGACTTATGTCAGCTGAAAAGGAACATATTATAAAAGGCTTAGGTAAATTTCCCTGACAAGTCGAACGGAAACACGGTGTTGAACGGCAACACAGGCCCAGGTACAATACAGATACATGTATTATATACAAAGTGCTGGTAAAATTAGAAGAGGTACATAGTGCAATTAAAGTGCAATTAGAATTATAATAATGAAGAAGAACGTAAAGATAGGTTATCTTTCATGTATTTAGCACATAATGACAAGGTTTCAATGTTAGAAGTTTGAAGTAAAGTTCTGAGGGAGTACTCATTTTATAAGTTATTGTTGGGAAAATGTGTCTTACAATATCATAAGTTGGGCATACTAACAAAAATGCAATTTATCTTCTATAATATGTTTACAAAAATGACAAAATGTAAGGTTTCTAGGTACACCCTCCCGCCTACCTATATTTTTAATAATTTGTAATTCTCCAATTCTTAATAATGTTAAACGTCTTCTTTGGTCTCTTTGGTGTATATGAAGCAAATATTGTTCAATTGCGAAAGTTGACTTCATAGTGGAATAAAAATCTAAATTTGAATGATCATTTAACCTACAACCAATATAAAAAAAATATCTATACAACTGAAAACTATTCTTGAGACATAGATGGAAGGCCCATAACAAAGGGAATAGAAATTCCAGCTTTTCAGAAGACGATAAAAGAATCTTTGCCTGATGTGATCTGTGTATGACTAAAATATGTGACTATTTACAACATTAAAACGTCCCATTATGAATACAAAATACATGTATTTATTAAAAGAATGAATTCTATAAAATGATTTAAATCTAAAGCGTACAATGATTCATTATAGTACCTCAAAGATTGATTTGAGTTCACCCTTTGTCTTACAAATAGAACCATACTTGTGCTATCTATGACAGAAGGTGATAAATAGGGCTTACACATTTTGATATCAATAAGCAATTTCAGCGTTTCGGTGTTCAAAGTGCTTGCGTATGGTTTTACGCTGCATTTAGCAATATTCCAGCAACATCAGGGCAGAGGACACAAGAAATGGGCTTCACACATTGTACCCATGTGGGGAATCGAACCCGGGCCTTCGGCGACGAGCGAACACTTTAACCACCAGACTACCCCCACCGCCCCATGTGATCAAAGATCTTGGAGGGAAAAAGGAACACCAACTCAGTACTTTGGGGTATATACACGTTTTATTAATACAAGTAGCTATGTACAAGAAGGCATATATATGCTCGCTGGGCTAAGAGCGATTCCAATCCTAGAATAATCATCCATTGTACTTTTCTCCATTCCATTATGATAAATATGCTTGACCAAATTTGTCACCAATCAAGTTAAGTTGAAGTTACTATCAGAAAGATTGCGATTGGCGTCTTCTCCAGCGATTGGATTCAGTGTGCTCATCATAATTGAATGACGTAGAACACTGGACTGGTGGAGGCCATATGGTTTCAATAACATCAAATTGCTAATAACATCAAAGCCATATGACAAAGAAGATGTAATAAATATAAAACTAAACTAACAAATGAAAAACGGTTAATACACAGTTTAGGTTGGCTGACAACAGGGGTAAAATGCATTAGAAAATGTAAGGATTAAGATATCACGTTTTATATCACTTTTCATGTATCTGTACATGATCACCCAATTGCAAAACAAAGGTGTTATTGCTAATATTTGACATAGTACGTGTAAATACATGACACCCATAGGAAGTACTGACGAGCATGGTGTTTCATATTACCCAATCATCAGTTGATGTAATTGTGTCGCTCAATATTCTTCTAAAAGCATGCCAGACAGAAAATGTTCGATCTTTTGAATCTTGATCTTTGATGGTTTCATGGCACTAATCTGCAAAATCAATTCGACATTTTGTTTAGTTTTCACTCTTACTAATATGTTCTGAATGTCTCTCAAATCAATTCTGATTATTTCTGAAATAGATTCAGGGTGAAGTGGATAAAACCCTGAACCGCGCGTAGTCCAATGTTGATCATTAAATTCAGTCAGAATAGCGTCCAAAAATGAGAAAACATTGCGCACTTTTTCTAAAGAAAGTAATTTTCCTATCTCAACAGTTTTTTCCACATTGTGCCTGGTAATGACTCGCACTGCGCCAGACTGGATCCATCTCAAATCATATGTAAACTCCACACATCTTCCAGGGATGTAATTCAGTCCATGTAGTTGTGTTGGTGCAGTTGTACAATCTTCCATCAGATGCTCTGAGTCGACATCATCAAGAAGGTCCTTTCCCTGCTTCTCGGAATCTTTCCCACCTTTGACATTAAACTTAAGTTTGACATCTGAAGTAGTTTCTTCTGTTGCAGCATTGGGCGGGTCTATCTTGTTATGTGTATGGTGAATCACTGTATTTCTCATCTTAACTCCCAATGCGGTGGAATCACATCTTGGTCCTGACCTTCTGATATTGTAGCACGCAAGGAAATCCACAATATAACAATACACCTCATCATCCTTTAAGGCATTAATGTCCTCATCACTTACATCGATGTGACACTGATGAAGGTGAAAGTAGAGTTCCTCATCTGTCATCAAGTGTTCCTCTTCATGTTCCGCATATGAGACCCCACTTGTGATGTGTTCATCAGCATTGTCGTTTCCCTTGTCAGTCATAGGAGTTTGGCACGGTTGATTCTGTGCAGTCCTGGTGGAAGAAACGCTCGTTTTCATTTGATCAATAAGGTCCTTTATCTGCTTCAAGGGTACGTCTGCATCTGGAAACATAATACATTACTGTTAGTCCATCTATCTCAATAACATCAGTAATATTAACATATTACATGTATTAACACCAAGTTACAACACCATTTTCATAATCATAAAAAAAATGCTAAAAGAATAGTCCATTGTACGATTCCGACAATATCTTAAATATGCGTTAGCCAATCTCTAGTTTCTGCAAGTTGTAATCATGTTTTGAACTGTTATCGATATTGCAGGGTTTTTTTCCATTTAAAAAATTCCTGTAACAATTCACTTTTGATTTGTGTACAACTGCAATAGAATTATATCATGTGTGATACTATTATGGTCATAGAAATATAGTCGGTGCACTTTATATACATATTTCACTATTCTGCAAAAGGTAATACGTCCTTCAATTGAAGAATAACGGAATACATGTAACTAAACTAAACTTGTTTATGGTTAGAAAACGTTGTCGGTTGAAGAATAACAAATCTCCCAAACATTGATGTGAAAAATATATCACATGATCTGATTTGATAAAAGTGTTCACATCCCCTAGCTATGCGATATTATTTGACAAATATTAATCCGGATGCTGAAAACCACAAAATGATTTGTTGTTGAGTTATAAATTCATCCTGGTCAACACAAGGGGACTCGTGCATATTCCATGCAACACTTACTTGGAAAGTACAGAATGTAATTATCTCCATGGTGCGCCCCTGCCACGTTGGATCCAAGCATATAGCCTCCCGACGCCCCCGTCGTCATTGATGTGCACAGCTGTTCATCCTTAACTGATGAAGCCACATTGCGTACATTTTCTGAAACAAATCAAAGCTTGAATAATGATACCTTACAAGCAGATAGGCGAACAACTCCATACGATAACGTCCAAGACATTCATCAAAAACTCAAGCTAGGTAACTTTATAACTGCTTGTCTTCACACCCCTCTCGGGGCGTCAATCACTAAAAGTAATCATTATATTGATCCATTCTCGATTAATGAAACAAGCACAAACACAAAGGAATCTTAGACATCCATTGCATTAATGCATCTTTGTCTATGCCTATATACAGTGAAACACCGAAAGCCTATCTACCTGTGGGATGGGGCGTCTCCTTTGTGTGTCTCTGTGCGTCTTCTAAGGCCAGTGCCACTTCATCCTTACCCGCCGGGACATCAGGTAAATTGCGTTCTTCTCCTGTGTGAACCATTCTGAAACACCGAACACATGTGATAAGCATATTGAATGGCGTTGAGTTGGAATACGATGTTGTGTGCCAGGAATGTTAAGGGGTTCATCAAATTGTAAGTAGACTGCACAATATCTACTTTGAACAATTAAACATGATATACATGCTATATACATGCTACATCCATCCAGGACAATTCCAACACAAAACATTTGAATTTCAGTTTGTCCTAGATGGATATAGCAGATATTGAGCAATATTCAACCTATATGACGGCGGTCTGTAATTAATCGAATCTGGTCCAGACAATCTAGTGATTGATATCAAGAACATCGACCCACGCAATTGGTTTACGAGGACATGCAATTAACAAGGCACCGAGCCTGACAACCCGATCCCCTTAGTCGCCTCTTACGACAAGCATGGGTTGCTGAAGACCTATTATAACCCGGATATACACGGGTGGGGCATGTGAGTACTTTAGACAACATACGGCTTGATTGATAATAAATGAGAACTAACGACCAATAAAGTGATGTTTGATGAGACTTGAGGTCCACTTTTTACCATGCTATACATCGATCCTATCAATGAGAGAGCGTGAGTGACGAGAGTTTTTTTACGTTTGCATATTTATATTTAGATATGTGTCATTTTTCTCATCAAGGTTAATGTATGCATGCTAAATTTCTTTATAATGTTATACGTTCAGGATGCTACAGAATTAGTAGGTAATGGATAAAGTAACGATTTGCGAAGTAAACAGTAGTTTGCCAGACCTTAAAATGAAATTAATACCTTGACCTATGTTGAGACTTGAGATATTTCGAGGGGAAGAAGCCAATTTAAGCAAAGAATGTTAATAAAGAGATTGTCGTTTAGAAAGACCATATACAAGGCAATCTGGGACATTAATGGTGGATACTACCATTGTGAACAGAAAACAAATTGTGTGAACATGACATGGAGATATGATGTCATGTGCGTTACACTCAGTAAAGGTTGTGCTTACCTCTGTGGTGAATACATCCAGAGAGATTTAGTTGTACCGGTATAAACTTGAATTCCATGGGAAATTAGAGATAAATCTTATTCGATTGCTGTCTTCAGCGGTCAAACGGAGAGACAATATGTAGACGTGTTGTTGCCTCGATGTCCTCACACCTTATTGTAAATGTGGGCAGGCCCGCGATCTAAAATTAGGTTATCACCAAAACCGGAAGGACACACCGTATCAGTGACATCATCTCGTCACGCGCTAATGCAATTGGCAATTCCCGCCCATCCCGTAACCGCAAAGAGGACTCGGCCGTGAATGTAGGAAATGGGCCATACAGTGAACAGCACAAACTCGCGGATGCACATCAAGTGGAGACCGCCATTTTGGCAGACCGACGTATAACTGTTCGCCAGTTAGCACAAGATGTCAAGATCAGTGTAGGGTCTGTGGAAAAAATCATCCATGACAATTTGAACATGCATAAGGTGTCTGCACGATGGATTCCCAGGTTGCTCAGACCTTTCCAAAAGCAGGAACGAGTCAATTGCTCAAAGGATCTTTTGGACATGTGCCAAAAAAACAGGCAAACCTTTGTGACAGACTTATCACACAGGATGGGTCCATCACTATGACCCTGAGAGTAAAGTTCAGTCGATGCAATGGAAGCATGTGGAGTCACCATCCCCAAAGAAGGCACGTGTTCAACCCTCTGCAGGCAAGGTCATGCTCACGGTGTTTTGGGACCAGCACGGAGTAGTGATGATGAATGTCTTGGCAAAGGGTACCACAATTACAGGAGCTTATTATGCTTCACTGCTGCGGAAATTGCAGGACGCTATCAAGCTTAAGAGGATGCCGAGTCAACACGTTGTTTCCGATTGTAAACATACTGACAAGAGCCACATGTTCACCTCTCCAGATCTATGAAATAATATTTAAGATCCAAATTTATATTCAAAACTACTGTCGTATTGTTCAATGTCGTGTTCCATCGGCTGTCCGATCTGCCACCCGTTGTACGCGACTAGCCCAGATGAGTCCCAATATTTTGTGTTTTGTTTGACATCAGTTTCATAGATCATTGTTTATAATATTGGTTTGCTCTCACCACGGAATCACAACGTAAGCTATTGCAACATTGCTGGGAAACTGTTACATACCCCAGCATAACTGGTCACTCGAAAATTTCTTCAGGCAGATATTTGATACCTCTTAAATAGACCTAACAGTAACCATAAGTTTCTGCAACTATTAAAATTTACTTGCCGTTTTAAAATATGTTTTATAATTCGGACATCATGGACACTTCAAGTCAGATACCCTGTGTTGTAATTATTAATTGCATATCCTTTAGTAAAAATGTTAAATTGTTTTCACTTAATATTATTTTATATGCTTTGGCCTGGTAATGAACTGTATACTTAAACAAAGTGTAAATCATGAAAATAAATATTCCTGATGCAATAATGTTACAGGTGTAATTGTGGTTGCTGAGTTGACGTGCAGTCTGAGGTAGAGGAGCTGTGTTGTGTTGATGTTGCTCCTGCCAGGAATAAGCTACAGCTGCATCACTTACCAGATAAGTCTCAACATAGGTCAAAGTATTAATTTCATTTTAAGGTCTGGCAAACTACTGTTTACTTCGCAAATCGTTACTTAATCCATTACCTACTAATTCTGTAGTATCCTGAACGTAAAACATTATAAAGAAATTTGGAACGCATACATTAACCTTGATGAGAAAAATGACACATATCTAAATATAAATATGCAAATTTTAAAAAACTCTCGTCACTCACGTTCTCTCATTGATAGGATCGATGTATAGCATGGTTAAAAGTGGACCTCAAGTCTCATCAAACATCACTTTGTGGGTCGTTAGTTCTCATTTATTATCAATCAAGCCGTATGTTGTTGTCTAAAGTACTCACATGCCCCACCCGTGTATATCCGCGTTAGAACAGGTCTTCAGCAACCCATGCTTGTCGTAAGAGGCGACTAACGGGATGGGGTTGTCAGGCTCGCTGACTTAGTTGATTGCATGTCCTCGTAAACTAATTGCGTGGGTCGATGTTCTTGATATCAATCACTAGATTGTCTGGACCAGACTCGATTAATTACAGACCGTTACATGTATTCCGTTATTCTTCTATTGATGGACTATTACCGTTTGCAGAATACTGAAATATGTATATAAAGTGCACAGACTATATTTCCATGACCATAATATACTGAACCAAATTAAAAACTTCACAATCCTAAAATTTGTACATTTTCACCAGTTATCATTGTGAGCCCTTATTATGTGTTTAAACAGTAATGGCCACGTATTGTCTTCAGATAACACCCGTTTTTGTGCAGGTGAATCGATCAAAATCATGTGCACAGCACTATAGTTGCAAAAGTGTTTTTTCACGTGCAACTGGTCACGTGGCCATAATACCGCACGTGTTTTCAGCCATACTTGTTAGCAGTCATTAACAAAAAAAGAAAAACACAAGAAAACAAAAGTCTTTTCGGCCATTTGTCATGCCACGCCTTTAAAATGGGCAACGTGAACGTGCTATCGGCATGTTGCAGACGGGAACGTCCGTAGCTGAAGTCGCAAGGACGATGGGTTGTAGTTGACCGACTGTTTATGATTTACAGACACGTCTACAGCAAACGGGTACCACCGCTGATCGCCCTCGGCCAGGTCGACCACGTGTGACGTCACATGCAGAGGATCGTCAGATTGTCTTACGTCACCTCCGTAACCGATTTTTGACGGCTACATCAACCAGAAATGAACTGTTTAGGGGTAGACTGAGTGCGCAAAATGTTCGAAACCGTCTGAGAACTGCTCACATTCAAGCACGACGGCCATACTGCGGGCCGATTCTGACTCAATTACACAGACGTCAACGTAAATTGTGGGCACAGCGACACTTACGATGGACTCAGAGGAATTGGAATCAAGTCGTCTTCAGTAACGAATCCCGATTTAATCTTCGATTTGCTGATGGTAGGGCGAGGGTGTGGAGGCGCCGTCATGAACGTTACGCCCAGTGTTGTGTACAGGAAGTTGACAGATTTCGAGGCGGAAGTGTCCCGGTGTGGGGTGCTTTCTGTGGCAATGCACGTTCCAGGCTTCTTGTCATCCGTGGCAACCTCAACGCTGCTGCTTACCGCGACCAGGTACTGGCACCAGAACTTCTGCCTTTTATGGCAGCACATGGACCCGGTTTGATCTTCTAACACGACAATGCCAGACCCCACACAGCAATTTTGACAAGGAATTTCCTTCAGAATGCGGGAGTCAACGTCATGGACTGGCCGTCAAGGTCTCCCGACCTCAATCCCATCGAACACGTCTGGGATGCTCTTGGCAAAAGTCTGCGCACTCTCCAGAACCAACCACAGCATTTGCAAGATCTGGGCCCCATTTTGCAGCAACAATGGCGTCGGATTCCTAATCATGTGTTCACAAGCATCACAAGGTCCATGCGGAGGCGTTGTGTGGCAGTTGTCAACGCACATGGTGGCCATACACGCTACTGAACTTGTGTGCCATCAGATTCTCGTGCTTGGGACTTATGATTTAAACTGTTGATGTTATTACCGAATACCGTAGGTGCTTGGAACAAATAATGGTTACCACCGTTAATTAAAATCCTTCTTTGGACATTAATGATTAAAAATTACCTTCTCTGATACATTTGTCCGTTGTATATCATATATGGGATTTCTTTTAAAAATGTGAAGTTTTTAATTTGACTCAGTATAGTATTACACATGATATACTTCTATCGCAGTACTTCACATGGCAATGTTGGCTAAATCAAAAACGAATTGTTACAGGAATTGTTTTAAATGAAAAAAAACTGCAATATCGATAACAGTTCAAAACATGATAACAGCTTGCAGAAACATTTTGATAGAGATTGGCTAACGCATATTTAAGATATTGACGGAATCGAACAATGGACTATTCTTTTAGCATTTTTTTTATGATTTTGAAAATGGTGTTTTAACTTGGCGTTAATACATGTAATTTGTTAATATTCATGATGTTATTGAAAAAGATGGACTAACAGTAATGTATTATGTTTCCAGATGTAGGCATACTCTTGAAGCTGATAAAGGACCTTTCCGATCAAATGAAAATGTTATTGAGATAGATGGACTAACAGTAACGTATTGTGTTTCCAGGTTGTAATACATTGCAAGATGCAGACATACCCTTGAAGCAGATAAAGGATCTTTTTGCTCAAATTAAAACAAGCGTTTCTTCCACCAGGACTGCACAGAATCAACCGTGCCAAACTCCTATGACTGACAAGGGAAACGACAATGCTGATGAACACATCACGAGTGGGGTCTCATATGCGGAACATGAAGAGGAACACCTGATGACAGATGAGGAACTCTACTTTCACCTTCATCAGTGTGACATCGATGTGAGTGATGAGGATATTAAGGTCTTAAAGGATGATGAGGTGTATTGTTATATTGTGGATTTCCTTGCGTGCTACAATATCAGAAGGTCAGGACCAAGATGTGATTCCACCGCATTGGGAGTTAAGATGAGAAATTCAGGGATTCACCATACACATAACAACATAGACCCGACCAATGCTGCAACAGAAGAAACTACTTCGGATGTCAAACTTAAGTTTAATGTCAAAGGTGGGAAAGATTCCAGGAAGCAGGGAAAGGACCTTCTTGATGATGTCGACTCAGAGCATCTGATGGAAGATTGTGCAACTGCACCAACACAAAGGGATTATGTCCGTTCAGAGAATTGGTGGAAAAATGTACGAAGGATCCCGAAGAATCTATCAGAATTGATCTGAGAGACATTCAGAACATATTAGTAAGAGTGAAAACTAAAGAAAATGTCGAATTGATTTTGCAGATTAGTGCCATGAAACCATCAAAGATCAAGATTCAAGAGATTGAAGAGTTTCTGTCCGGCATGCTTTTAGAAGAATATTGAGCGACTAAATTACATCAATTGATAAAAGGGTCATATGATACACCATGCTCGTCAGTACTGCCCCGCCACTTCCTATGGGTGTCATGTACGAGTGCATTGTCGTTTCCCTTGTCAGTCATAGGACTTTGGCACGGTTGAATCTGTGCAGTCCGTGAGGAAGAAACGCTCGTTCTAAGTTTAGCAAAAAGATCCTTTATCTGCTTCAAGGGAAGGTTTGCATCTTGCAATGTATTACCTCGTATTTGCACGTACTATGTCAAATATTAGCAATAACACCTTTGTTTTGTGTGATCTTGTACAGATACATGAAAAGTGATATAAAACGTGATATCTTTATCCTTACATTTTCTAATGCATTTTACCCCTGTTGTCAGCCAACCTAAACTGTGTATTAACCGGTTTTTTCATTTGTTAGTTTAGTTTTATATTTATTAAATTTTCTTTGTCATATGGCTTTGATGTTATAAGCAATTTGATGTTATTGAAACCATATGGCCTCCACCAGTCCAGTGTTCTACGTCATTCTATTATGATGAGCACACTGAATCCAACCGCTGGAGAAGACGCCAATCGCAATCCCTCTGATAGTAACTTCAACTTAACTTGATTGGTGACAAATTTGGTCAAGCATATTTATCATAATGGAATGGAGAAAAGTACAATGGATGAATATTCTAGGATGGGAATTGCTCTTAGCCCAGCTAGCACATATATGCCTTCTTTCACATAGCTACTTGTATTAATAAAACGTGTATATAACCCAAAAAGTACTGAGTTGGTGTTCCTTTTTCCCTTCAAGAACTTTGATCACGTAGGGCGCCGGGGGTAGTCTGGTGGTTAAAGCGTTCGCTCGTCGCCGAAGGCCCGGGTTCGATTCCCCACTTGCAAAGATGGCATCATTGCCAGTTAGTTTCTGAACTTCAGCTAGTTATAACAAAATAAACAATAGGAGGCTTGCATATTTGATTGTCGACACGCATCTTGTGTCAGTTTGTTTATCTGCATAGATACCATGTCGAAATTCCGATTCCGACAATGGAACTAGTCCGCCATGTTCAACAGGTTCAAGTATTATTCTGACAGACGAATTTTAAGGTTTAGTGAAATTGGGTATAACGTCGCGTCCAAGATTATTGCACTTATATAGCGACGTGCATGTACGTGTGTGTGTTTGTGTGGCTGCTTGTACTAGTCCGGGCTGATGCCGATTTATAGTGCTAGCTCACTGAGATACCATGCCGCAGTTTAACATGAATACCCCACTCAGACACAGTATACTGACTCCGAGCCGACCAGTCCTTGTTTTAGCCCCCAAATGCGGAGCACTAGACAGGGTAACAACAAGTACCATCTTTTAACGACTTTTGGTATGACGCGGCTGGGGATCGAACCCCGGACCTTCCGCTCTCCGGGCGGACGCTCTACCACTATACCACGGAGGCGGTTCTGGTTTTTGAACCCACGATCACAGGTCCCTTGCACTTCTAAGGGACGCAACTGTGCACAGCGAATTGCTGCGCCTTAGACGACTGATCCACTTGTGATGTTAGAAATATCGACACGTTTGGAAAGGACTAGCATTCACTGAAGAAAGACGCTCTGTGCATCAAAGCTAATTAATACATATCTGTGACGCCACTCTCTTGTTTAAACTATCTATTTGTTTCACGACTGGACTTGCATGTCAATTATCTACGCCTAGATAATATTGAAATGACATTTTATTTTCTTTCATATGGACGCTCAAGGGAATGTTTTAAAATTTGTGTCGGGGCTCGACGTCTGGAGCCTGTCACAGCGGTGTGAAACTAACTATTCAATACTTTTAATATTAATTTTGTATGATCATTAAAGGCTTAGACATTAATATGTATGATGTTGTGGTGCATTGTGTTAGGTATAGATATTTTCATGATAAAGTAATGAGATAACCTTTTGAGCCCACCGGGTTCGGTGATTCATTTTCAGGAATCGAAAGTGAATCGTATGTTCTTCTTAATCCACCTATCAATATTCATATATGTCAGATATGTCAGTTATTATTTATTTATTTTATTCATGCATATTTCTACTATTTACCGATCAAAGTATATATTTATCAGGTACCGTCATATCAGCTTATGTATATAAATAACCATGACTCATGTATATAAAAGAATGGACATGCCCAGCGTAATATGGGTTAACCGCCAGGAAGGGTTTTCCCCAGGTGATATTTTTAGAATGCATCCACATGATGCACCCATGAGATAAACGAGAGTCACAAGTAGTTTACAGTACAGGGTGCAACTATAAAATCATTCTCAATTGTCATCTTATCAACACGGGCGGTCGGGTTGTGGAGACCGCCTCTGTGGTCTAGTGGTAGAGCGTCCGCCCGGAGAGCGGAAGGTCCGGGGCTCGATCCCCGGCCGCATCATACCAAAAGACGTTAAAAGATGGTACTTGTTGTTACCCTGTCTGGCGCTCGGCATTAAGGGGCTAAAACACGGACCGGTCGGCTGGGAGTCAGTATACTGTGTCTGAGTGGGGTATTCATGTTAAACTGGTATCTCAGTGAGCTAGCACTATAAATCGGCATCAGTCCGGACTAGTACAAGCAGCCACACAAACACACACACGTACATGCACGTCGCTATATAAGTGCAATAATCTTGGACGCGACGTTAAACCCCATTTCACCTCACCTCACCTCGGGTTGTGGATGATGTTCAAAATTTGAATCAAAGGTTTTCGGATCTTGCTGAGAGCGTTGAGAATGCATTGACAAGAATCGCCGATATACAGGCGACACTGAAAAAACAAGCAGTACATAAGAAACAAACAGAAACGAAGGTTGCCGCTACACCATCAGTCACAAATGAGGGAAAAACGGAGCCAAACACTGCCACAAATGCTTGGACATGAAAACGTATTCGATGTTTTCATCATCATATCTGCACATATGAGAGACTTGTTTGATCACTCTTTCGCTATGCTTTTATTTAATTATCTATGATTGAAGTAGTCAGTGATATAGCTAACTTCCAAGGCCATTGTTACCCGCAACGACAAAGTACACATGATACTGCTGCATACAGTTTCTTCCAAAGAGAAGGGGCGGTCGGGTAGCCTAGTGGATAAAGCGTTCGCTCGTCACGCCGAAAATCCGGGTTCGATGCCCGAAAGGGGTACAATGTGTGAAGCCCATTTCTGGTGTCGCCCGTCGTGATATTGCTGGACTATTGTTAAAAGCGGCGTAAAACCATACTCACTCACTTTTATCAACACATCTCAAGCGTTATTCAATGACTGTAGTGATATCTATACGATAAAGTAAAACATCATGTACACATAGGTCAATGTTAAAAATGAAATAAAGAAATGTGCTGTACGTGTTGCGTTTTCGTTAATCACATGTAGTTCAATATCGCAAGCATCACTTTCCGTAATATAATGTATTCATGAAGCACAGAAGCTACGTGGCATGGAATTCATTTTACTTTAAATACTAATTGTATCATTATATGTTGTTCGTATCATTCACTATCCTTGAAGATCCGGGGTAGAAAAGGTCTTCAGCAACCCATGCTTGCCATAAAATGCGACTATGCTTGTAAGAAGCGACCAACGGGATCGGGTGGTCAAGCTCGCTGATTTGGTTGATGCATGTCATCGTATCCCAATTGTGTGGATCGATGCTCATGACATCAATCACGTGATTGTCTGGTCCAGACTCGATTATTTACAGACCGCCGTCATATAGTTTGAATATGGCTGAATTCGGCGTTAAGCAACAAACAAACAAATCTTATCATTACTATTCGTAATACAGCATATTCATGTTTCACACAAGAAGAGACTGAATCCCTATTTTAATTGTTTCGATAACTGTTATAATTTTCAATATTATTCCGGATGATGAAAAGCAGCTGAAAAGACGTAGCGACTCAGAATATTAACAGTCCTATAGGGGACTATGAGAACATGAACATATACTGAGCGCGAGCCCACAGCTTGTATGCTGAACGGGCCTCGACCTTTTTTGGAATTTAGATAAAAGGTAATGGGGTCTGAGACTCAAATGAGTCATGCTCCCAAATGATCCTCAATTGATTGATCCAGGTGACAGTTCGTGGTTATGTACACGGCAGACGGATCTATATTTATACCTGCTTTGCTGATTTCACTCAGGATTTTCCGTACACCTTTATCAATAGACTATAAAAAACGTTCCAACAAGGACGTCTACTTAGTTTTGTTGGTCGTTTGTCAAAATACTTAATAAGCAACAATATCAGTATCAAGTGAAATAATACCTTGTTAACGCCTCTAATATATCTGTATATCACTGACAAATGACATGTGCATATCTCTTATGCGTTTCAACATAACGTACTGTGTTAAGACTACATAAGGTTACAGGTGGATCACGAGTGTATGCGGTGATATCAGCACTGCATCTGCATATACAGAGTATATCTATTTTAAATGCCAACAAAGGGGGTAGTTAGAGATTCATCATTAATAAAATTATAAGGGCAATGTTTGTTTGTTTATTAAGCTGTTTTCTGCACACTGGCTTCCATACATGATCTGACGACTCTTGAGTGTGGGCGAGTGATAAACAGTATCTATGGAATGAATCGTCCTCAATGTGTTAATGTATTAAGGAGTTTTACAACCTTTCCAGAATACTAGAGCAGATATTTCATCCATCGAACCTGCGTACACCGTGGACACATACGCTGTTACAGTCTACGGAAGGTCTGAAAGGCTACTAGCGGATGTAACAGACACAAGTGACTACAAGAAGCTATAACAGATACACGAGGCTACAACACATACAAGCAGCTTCGAGAGGATACTATTGATATAAGAGGCTACTTGAGGCCATTATTTTACGCAGGGCATCAGAAACCAAAAACAGGAGGCTTTACAGGAGTGTACCCGAGGCAAGGATGGAGAAGACGGGCACAACCATGGAATACAATAAGGTTGTAGAGCTGCACCCAAGGTCCGAAGATGTGGAGAGGTCTGTGTCTTCAAGAAGCTTACCAGATGGTTAGTACTTAAACACATTATGTACCTAAAGTTGCGACAGCAGATTCTGTTTCTACTTTAATAGATGGCCTGCATGATTTAATTTTATACATACTTTCATGTACATTTGAATTGATCGTGGAGATATTACAATGTTTTGGAAGTGAAAGTAGAAACAGAGACAAGCTATAAGTTCTAATCATGGATTCAATATGTGATTTTGTAGAATCGGGTCGGAAATCGGGTGTCCCAGAAACCTCCATCCATGGTGTCGAAGGAGGCTCAGTTAAAACAGCCAACACGGGTGGAGTTATCCATGGTGGGATGGGCAACACGTGTAAGTACTGGTTCTTGAGATATTGTAATACTTAAATATATAATTAACGTCAACGCCAGAGATCAATCTGTCTCTGTTATCCATCGAAACAGATTCCATTAGGCGTAAAAGGCAAATGGCAGTGAATATTATATGAATGCATCACCGCAAATCAGGTGTTTGCGAAAAGGGTAAACATGTCCTGCTCTATTAGTAGCACCCGCTATTTACACCATTTGCGTGTAAAAGTAAGTGTGCGTTTGTTGCCTAACGCTACACAGCTGTACTCCCGTTAGGCCATGACATAACTATGTATCATTCCCAATGTGTAACACTGACATTCTTAATTTCAGATAATCACGTCTACTTTCACTTTAATGGAATTGGGTCACAGGAAGACAACATTGCCCTCAAGTCAAGGCTGGGTAAGTGATAGATAAGTGCACACTGTCATTTCCCTGTCGTATATATGAGTGAGTGAGTGAGTATGGTTTTACGCCGCCTTTAGCAATATTCCAGCAATATCACGGCGGGGACACCATAAATGGGCTCCACACATTGTGCCCATGTGGGGAATCGAACCCGGGTCTTCGGCGTGACGAGCGAACGCTTTAACCACTAGGCTAACCCATCGCCCCCTATCGTATATATGGATGTTCCCTGCGAAGTACGTGTGCGGTGTATTCTCAAACGCATCCTTTGCTATTATCACTATTGTCTTATTATCCAGGAACCCGTGATGATTGTTTTAAAGACACTTCACTGACGGAAAGGAAATCACGAGTCCGACTTGACAGCGCAAGTGCAAAACACGTGATGGTCGAACATCAGGACCAACAACACACACGAGACGCTGCTGCAGAGTCTGGCAATGACGACCATCATCTCGACAACAGTAAACGTAAGTGAATCCCAGTCGTCTGTTCAACATCTCCCAGAGGCAAGGGAGTTAACTGACTATTAAAGTCCAGTTTCCACCATTGTCGAACTAGGCTGGAATTATAGAGTTCTGTTTGGTTGGACTAACGAGTCTGTGCATAGTCCAAGCAAAATCGCGAAACGAAATCGACATCCGGTCGTAAACTGACGAGCAGATTTCGGACGATTGCAGAATTTGCAAAGCATGTCAACTCGGTGTCAACAGATATTTTCAAAATCTCTTCACGTTTTTTATCAAGGTGCTCGCGTGATTTGATCCATTTCGCGAAGTAAGACACGTTTTATAACAATATTGATCTTGATTATCGATCAGATCGTATTGAGTTGGCGCCGTTAGTTTGTTTGAATCAAATGCCAGTGATGTGAGAGTAGGAATCTTATTGGTCCATAGGAGGGATATAGAAGGGACATAACTTGTTGTAGTCGATGGTGGCGCTACAATCGAGCCCAGGAATTCCAGCCTAGTTCGGCAAGGGTGGAAACTGGACTTTTACAGTTAGTTAACGCTCTTGCCTCGGGAAGATGTCTGTTCAGGAGATGGATCTAGGTACCTTGTGGCACGACATTGGGTGTTCTGTTGATAGTTCTAATTTCAGGATGTAATGATAAGAAGGTTTTTTATATCAACTCAAATCGGATAATATTAAGATCAAATGTTAAATGACTGTGTTTGGCAATTTTATGCCAATTGATAAAATTAACATATTGAATTTGTAATAGATTATGTGAAGGGCAGTTTTATTTTGTTTTTTTACTATCCTGTAAACACTCGTTCTTCATGTACATACGCCTCTATTGTATATGTCATGCAAGTTCTTCAACTTTGCTTTATCACTATAGGTATGTGGTGTTTGTTTCAGCATCCTTCTTATCCGTCCTGTACAATACTATGGGAATATTGTTTCGAACAAGCGACGAATCTCAGGTAAGTACGTACATACTATTCACACAATAACGAGCAACGAGTGAATCAATGTCTCAGCCTCAGGATATTTATAATCAGTTACCTGTGATTTCGAGTACGTTGTCAAGCTAAGTATAATAATAATGTAGTAATATGCTAATATATAATGCATATTTCCAATCCGCCAAATCCACACCCTATATCGATTATTTACAGACCGCCGTCATATCGCTGGAATATTGCTGAGTGTGGCGTTAAACAACAAACAAACAAACAAACAGTAAATTCTGCAGCTACTAATCCTGAATGACAATACGTGTACACACCGAGGCATTGAGGCTGATTAAGTGGGACATCCTCCTGAACCTGAACACGAGTCGTCAAATCTCGACGTTTGCAATTTAGTGGGAAAGAAACAGAAACTAAATAAAATATTTATTATATAGTTGAATAGTATAATACTTTTCTAAGCTATCCTTGCAATACACTACTCAGTGTTTAACACTTATTTATTTGTATGCAAATGATGATTGTTCCCATATACTTTTTAGCATATTATTTCATTTCAGCTTGAAGAATGTATGCCTTGTGTAGAGCTTCGCAGACCTGATGTTCAGTCCAAACGTCTTTCAGTAGACAGATGTGATGTAGAAACTGAATGTGGGAATACAGACGACCTGGTGGAAGGTGACTGGGTAATTGTTTCACCAGAAGGAGAGAGGGCATCATGTTCCACGCCTGTTCTTCACGAGGGAAGTCCCGATCCGTCTTCAGATGCTTGCTGTATTCCTTACCAAGTCAGTGTCAATGAGCTTGCTACAATACGCGAATCTGAACGCGTCGACGTTGACAATACTGACCATGCAGGAATGCCTGTTCAAATCCCATTTGAAACAGGTGGAAGCCATCTGAATGGTGGCACCGGAGGTTGCGCATCTGCACAGTACGCGAGCAGCAAGCATCCGGATACAAAGGACATCCGACTCGGGAATCAGGTCAAGGAATGCATGACTGCACATGAGAATATGGACTTCAAGAAAGGTGGAGATGGCACGCCAACACGGGACGCCGCTGACGGATGCTGGACTCCAGGAATGTTTACATCTAGACACGTCAGCCGAGAGACAGAGAGTGGGGAGATGATGCACAAGCACCTGCTGGAGCAATGGAAGCAGGTAGATGAGCGCGACCGGCCCATTGTTCAGGAACTTTTGAATAGCGTCATTCATCATGGAAAGCATCAGTCAGAGGCACTGCGGAAACTGCTACCGATGCTTCGGAGCATGTCACGTGAGATAGCACCTGGTGTCCCCATCCGTCATAACCAGGTGGTGGAAGATTCATGTGTCAGGTTGTTCACAAAGGAACTGACAGATATAGATTGTGATCTATCTCAGAAAACCGCAACGAATGTAGCGAACTATATTTTAACCATTGGGAGAAACAACCCCAAATCACTGTCGGACATTTGCAATGAGATGGACCGTCTTGATCAGATCAGCTATGAATGAGACTTTTAATGCAGAATGACATTTCCTGTACCACGTGGTTTGATTTATGCGCTACGGCAATTCGATGTCACCATATCTAAATATCCCATTATCATGTAAACTATATAACGTGGCACGCAAAATGCATCATGAACTATGTCAAATGTACCATGTAAAATGAATCATGTACCAGGTCAAATGTACCATGTAAAATGAATCATGTACAATGTATCATGTACAATGTCTCAAATAAAATGCCTTCTTGATATAACAAGTAAGATGCCTTATTTGTATGAGGGGCGGTCGGTTAGCCTAGTGGTTAAAGCGTTCGCTCTTCGCGCCGAAGACCCGGGTTCGAATCCCGACATGGATACAATGTGTGAAGCCCATTTCTGGTGTCCACCGCCGTGATATTGCTGGAATATTGCTAAAAGCGACGTAAAACTATACTCATTCACTTAGTTGTGTGAGGGGCGGGCAGTATCGTAGAGAAACGGCTTATTGAATGCACCTCAAGGCGCGTATCAGTGACGTCATCTCGTCACGCGCTGATGCAATCGGCACTTCTCGCCTATTTCCGTAAACGCAAAGAAGACTCGGCCGTGAATGTTGGAAATGGCCGGGCCACACAATGAACAGCGCAAGCTCGCGGATGCATATTTTAGCGCGTTATTCGTTCATCTATGTTTAATTTTCTTAAGTTTTATATACACCTAGTTATTTAATTAGATGTTTTTTGTCCTAAATATATTCAAAAGATAACCTACACAACAACTTTTTTAAAACAATATAGTCTCAGCATGGCAACTTAAACAATGTACGCAGTTCCCGGCGTTGGATTGATAATGGCTAGCATCGACGACAAACGGTCACTGATTTTTTTCGGGAAATATGTTAGTGATCTATCGTCGTTCAAAATCACAAACCACTAGATTATCAGATTATCAGTTTCCCGAGGCTTCCGACTTTAACAGAACAGTCTGTGTTAATATATAATGGTTGCCGTAAAAGGCGACTATGCTTGTGGTAAGAGGCGACTAACGGGATCGGGTGGTCAGGCTCGCTGACTTGGTTGATGCAGGTCATCGTATCCCAATTGCGTGGATCGATCGATGCTCAGGATGTCAATCACTGGATTGTCTTTTCCAGACTCGATTATTTACAGACTGCCGTCATATAGCTGGAATGTTTCTGAGTGCGGCGTTAAATAATAAACAAGATATTATGGACATATTATCATTTAAGTCTTCCTCGAAAATATGTTTTATCATGCCACATGTAATGTTATTGTAAGAAGCAGTGCATATTTATGTTAATCATTTTTAAAGATATAAGTATTCTTACCTTCTAAATGATTTAATGTACCTGATAGTGTCACAATGGAAGGAAATGGTCTGCTGGTCATCCTTATAATCACGGTAGCGCAAAATTCAAACATTACTATATTTAAGAAATAAACGACGAATGTGTGTTGATTATCGTTCAATAAAACATAGCGAGGAGAATAAACCATGAGGAGCGTAGCCCCGATTGGTTTATCCTTCCTTCAGTGGTTTATTTAAGAATTGACTTTCACTTTGTGTGTTAACGTATTTATTCTGGTATCAACGGTTGTACAAATAATTGCATATATTTTTACTTATATACATTATACAATGATGTACATGAGCCACACAATTTGGGTTATAAAAGACCAATTAAAACATAAAAATAACATATCAATTAATTCAAACGGTGATGTAAAAAAAGGAAACATTCGAACCATCTTCTTATAATATACATATGCTAAAATATCACGGCCTTATAGATGCCATTTACAGCATCAGTTCAGTGAGTGAGTGAGTTGGGTTTAACACCGGTTTTAACAGTATTCCAGTTATATCACGGAGTGGCAGCTTATGTGGGAGGAAAGTCCGAAGTGATGCAGATCTCAGACGTTTACCACTTCGGTGAAACCCATGTGCACGGATATGGTTCTGACAAACCTAGAAACGTAATTGGGGCGAACCGGGATTCGAAACCACAATCATAGGTTTCTGGCGTGTCCAAGGGACGCAACTCTGCACAGCGAATCGCGGCGCCTTAGACGACTGCACCACCCGTGCCACCTCAGCTCAGACAACCGTATACTGAATTCATTAACCATGTACGTACCAACAGAGACCATATTATATGGTCTCTAGTAGCAAGCACAGCGAAGTAATACAGTTATATACTATAGTGTGTACACCATTGCGGTCTGTTGTGTGACACAATATTAAACTATCATTTTTCTTATGTTACTAAAAGCAACTTCTCGCGCACTCTCACCAAGACTATGTTGTGGTGTATACACAGTATACAGTGTATATTTAAGGAATTTATTACTTATTACACAGAAATGTAACCCGTTGTTATGACGTTTATGTCAGCCTTCAGGGATTCTCCAAGGAGGGAGAGGATTATATGTGACATATTAATTGCTTGAATACTCCAGCAAAGAGTCGGGGTATTACGTTGTATCACGTCAATGCAGAGAGAGAGAAGAGAGAGAGAGAGAGAGAGAGAGAGAGAGAGAGAGAGAGAGAGAGAGAGAGAGAGAGAGAGAGAGGGGTAGAGGGAGGGAGAGAGAGGGGGGAGAGAGAGAGAGAGAGAGAGAGAGAGAGAGTGAGAGAGAGGGTTGTACCAGAGACCATATAATCTATTAATCTGATATATGGTCCTCTGGTTGTACAGAACAATTACATATAATGTTACGTATTTACATTCCACAGTGATCTAACCATGAGAGTTGAGGATGCGAATTCCAAACTACCAATGTCTTCCAAATCGCCGAAATTATCAAGCACCTCATTTTATACTATCATACCAGCGGATGGGACATTCCCTGCCGAAGACTCATCAAAAGCGTCACCCCTCCTGCACTCCACACCATGATATGTTATTACCAAACACTCGCGATCCCAGCTGTTTCATAAGCTTCACCAATATGAAGCGTTTCCTGCCTGACCTCGCACTGTGCGCTGAACCGCGATATTCGGTACGCTTGGATTATCAGCAGTGAGGGGCAGAGTTTGATTAGAGATGGGGAATCCAGGTACTGGCCCTGAGAAACTTTTCATGCTTGACCTGAGAATGATTGGACTCTGTTTCTGTCTCAGCGCAGCATGACGGAAGTTCACGGTTGTTGGAAAGAAAAACAAATATAAAAGCTTATTCCAGAATTTCTATTCTCCCAGCTCCATATATATATTTCAACACCAGTATAATTGGCACTGCTAATCCCTGTGTAACAAATGTTAACTTCATACACCATGTACAGAGACATTAACACGATGAAGCCTTGCCCTGTTATTAACAGTGTAAATACAGTTATTTCTTCAAGCACAGCAATAATTTATCACTTGACAAAGTCGACGTCCAGAATCATATGATATATGACCCACGTGTCCTTATGCGCCCCCTCGAGATAAAAACAGGTGAAACCAGTTATCCCGCGACCCTTATGAATGTGTCCTTTGTACCTGACTCTCTCCCCCCGGGGAAAAGTCACCTCGTGTGAATAGGGCTTCCCTTTTTATACTCGAAATATTCCCCAGAACCAATCGCTTGTCGTCCAAACTATCAGTGGATACATCATGGCTACCTCAAGACGAGGGACAAAAAGACTAGCGGCGTTGGAAGGTTAGTTCCAGACAGTGTTTCAATAATGTCGTCACCATCATGGACAATTGTTTCCTTGGGATTATAATGTTGACGGGATGTTTCCGCATCTGTGATTCCACGTATGTATGTAGGTCCTATGGGCAATGTTGTTGATGTTCTATTGACGTCTATTATTGAAAATGGACATCTTGTGAAACTGTATCGTCATTTATGAAACGTGATCCGGGTCTCGTCAGTTTGCCACCATCTATTGTTTAGAAAAGGTAAAGCAGTAATGAGTGGTGATTAGAAAACAATAACAGACAGCAAGGATCAATCTTTTATTAGCTGTACACTTCCACAGATCGATCTATCAGCATTCGTCACCGCTCGCCCCATCCGTAACCTACAAGAAGACTTGTCCGGGAATAACACGAGTTGGTCACGAATGAACTATCAGATCATATAAAACTACTGTCATACAGCTACTTTTACATGTGAACGTTTACAAAATATACATACAGAATACATACTTTTATAAGCATTAAGAATTATAAGTTTGAAGTTAAATCGTTATAACCTTATCGTGAAGCACAGTTGGCGCACTGACGTCACACAATATATGTAACATTAGATAATTCAGTGTCCAGCTTGACCTGTCCGTCCTCTTTGACGTTGTCCATCATTTGTAATTAAGGATTGCCGATTGACGCTCCAAGCGACATGATATCTGTCCATGTTAAGTATCAACTTCATTCTACATAGATAAGATGAACGTCAATCAGGAGACGTTAATTCATTCATGTCCAGTCATATGAGATGTATAATATTTATTGCTTATATTGTCCAATTAGAATGTAGTACGTACTTCTGTATATGCATTCACTATAATGTATAAACTGTATACATGTACTTATGTAAAATGAGAGAGACACGGTCGGGGTGGCAGTCGACTCACGGGACTCGGGACCCCCGTCACACTCTTGGTCGACGTCTACCACTCTCCGTGTTATAAAGATACGATGTACTGAAAAACCTAATACTTATCTCTTATATGCTATCGCTAGTGACAAGGTGATTGTTACTCGCTTAATACTTAGGTATGATCCCATAACGATCAATTGGGTGGTGACTGTGACGCACCAAGAAGTAACAATCGCCCTTTTAACACTACTGTCATATTATAATGGAAACTGTCATCTAATAATATCAATCTTTGTGTTCTTCATATGAATATGAATATGAATAACCATTTAAACAAAAGATTCTCCAACAACACATACAACAAAAACAGGCGCCCACCTGACAGCATCTGGTTAACCCTGGCTCCAGTACGGCTAATAGTTCTGGGTGGTGATAACATCATCAGAAGCGATGAAAGTTGTTTGACATGAAACAAAACAACATTTCCAGTGCATGATGTCACCTAGTTCGTTTCACTCGGTACTTAAAACACTGGTATACAAGGCTACGGCCACACCGACCGTTGGGAATATATTCGACATTCACACAAGTGCAATGCCATTTTGCAATAATGTTTTGGGCTTTCCCACTATCAATTATTATCTTAGTGATTTCTTGTTAACTGGTCACTGCGATTGTCTCAATTACATACTTAAATTTCAGTGCACTGAGTTTACTTACATGTTAGTTAGCTTTCATAGATATGGATATAGCGAATACAATTCACATGATAATAGATACACATTCATCCTGAGTTATAGTACTCACGGAAATGAAAAAACCCTGTTTTTTCGACCTCAGATCTTAAATAAATGCAGTTAATATACAAAATATATAAATATTCAAACAATTAAATTAGTACTAATTGGGCCGTGGCACAAATACAGCGTATCAAATGTTTTTATGCCTTTTTACATGTAAAAGTGTGTAAAAATGTGAATAAAACAGACTATTGTGAAACAGGGCATTACCAGGTGTAAGTAGATCAAGGGGACCTATGACACCTTGACGACAGGTGAGAACAGGTGCATAATGCCTATAGTCTGTTTCTGCTATGTCAATTTGGACTTAGTTTTATTTTTGAATGTTGAAAGTGCCGACAAATTACCTCCTGTAAAGTACATTTTGTATTGTTCACTGAGATCAAACTAGCAAATCCAGACTAGTACTTTTCGAGATGTTTTGTTATTTCGTATTTACAGCTACGTTAAACTTTGTGTCGATTTTTAAATTGAGAAAAACAGGTTTTTTTCATTTCCGTGAGTACTTTTAGTATCAGTCACTAACTACTGTAAGCGCGTTCATATACACAGTAACGGTTAATCCCATGCAGCGTGATAACAAAGTAAGAACAAACTCCGTGAACGCGGATGCATTTTATCCCGTGTTTTATTTATAACTAAATACATGGAAGGATCAGGGATCAAAACCAGCTTAAGTAATGCACTTTGAAATCGCGGTAAGTACCACTAGAATTTTAAACTTTCACACAGTAAAACGCAAAGCGAGGCAAGCGCGAAGACCTGTAAGCTCCCCCTGTCATGGTTCAATACATGTGGCGCGGGGTTTAAAACGGGTACAAAGGATTATATTTTAGCCTGAACCTGTGACTACTGCTTATCCCCGGCTATTCATTTTACCTTCGATGTTCTATGTATGCCGGAACCTCGTCATGCCTATCGTCAACTTAAAAGAAACCATTGATCGACACAAATATTATTCAGTTGTCAGAAATTGAAAAATGTACAATCAGCTCTTTGTACAACGACGAACGTCTCCCCGGTCCGGCCCAATCTACCCCGGCCCGATCCTCACCCCCAAACCATCACCCACACCTCGAACCCTCGCCTCTATCTTCTCCTCTGTAGCCGTCTGCAGCCGTCCGGTTATTTCATTATTCGTGAACAAGACGATTTCAGATTCCACATGCAAAGTACACTAACGCTTAGTATCTGAAATTATATAATTTTGATAGAAACAAGCAGCTGAATTTAAATTAAATAGTAACCCCGGTGAGATGAGAGATTTAATTGTAACCAGTGGAACATCAAGACTTGCTTCATGTAGAGCTAGGGGCACGGGTGGCCCAGTCGTCTAAGGCACCGCGATTCGCTGTGCAGAGTTGCGTCCCTTGGACACGCCAGAAACCTATGATTGTGGGTTCGAATCCCGGTTCGTCCCGATTATGTTTCTAGGTTTGTCAGCACCACACCCGTGCTCGTGGGTTTCACCGAAGTGGTAAACGTCTGGGTCACTTCGAGCTTTCCTCCCACATTAAACTGCCACTCCGCGATATAACTGGAATACTGTTAAAAGCGGCGCATAACCCAACTCACTCACTCACTCATGTAGAGCTATAGCATTACAGATAGGGCTGGGCGGGAGGGAACTAATATGGTGCAGGGACTGTGTGACAGGCCATGTGCAAGGTTGTAGGTTGACGGGACGTCTCTCATTCATCTGTGTGGTGGTTGCTGGTGGGATCAATGTCCGCTGTGTTCTGACGGAGGACAGGTGACATCGGTTGTGTTATGTGTTTATCACCGTGGTTACCAGTGCACGGACACGGGAAAGGGGATTAAGCCTTTGGTTGGATAATGCAACAACCCTTGCAACGCTCCTGGGTTACCTCTGTCAGACAATGTGGGGTTTCTGGGTTAGAATTGAATACGTGTCAAAGTATCACGGCGCGTGACGTTGCTCATAATATCAACCCTTGGTTTGTCTGGTTCAGACTCGATTGTTTACAGCCCTCCGTTAAATAGCTGGAATATTGCGTGAGGCGTTAAACAATAAACAAGAAATACCATTTATACAAATGAGTGAATTCATCAGAGGAAAATATATGAGACCTACTGTTAGTGATTGTCTTGTTTAAACCTATATTTTCTCTATGAAAAGAGGGCAGTGGGGTAGCTTTGTAGTATAGCGTTCTCTCATTACCCGAAGGCCTAGATTCGACTTTCTACATGGGTACAATGTGTGAATCCCCTTTCTGGTGTCCTCGTCCTGATATTGCTGGAATATTTATAATGGCGGCGTAAAATCATACTCACTTACTAACTAATTCACTCACTCACTATATGTATTGAAGTACTTGCTGACCGTGTGAGGTGTTTTGGATATTTGGAATTACATCAGCACGCCAATTTATATAATTGTTGGAATATTTGCTTTGAATTTGTTATCGATAATTTAAGGAGTTTCAGTTAATGTTAAATACATATTAACGACAATACTCGTTGCTCTTACAGACCCCATATATGTAATGAAACATTTACCCTACTCCTATCCCCTGTCGTATCGATTAACATTCATATCACGTTTTGTTTGCCTCCCAGATGACTCCACCCCCGCGCTCGCTGCCCCACCCCTGCGGGTGGCGGCATTCAACATACAGGTGTTTGGGAGGAAGAAGATGAAAAACAAAAATGTCACCAGTATTATTTCGAAGGTAAGTTTATCGACTGTTTCATATAACAATGATGTAGATGCCGTAACATTTCCGATTCACGCGATGGGATTCGAACCACGGACCTGAAAACAATACACAATCAACGAAAATAGGTCACCCCAGGGTGTTTCAGCGTCTCCTGCGGCTACTGTGCCTATACAGGCGCAAGGGGAACCACCCCATATTTCTGTTGTTACCAGCAGGTTCTATAAACTGCGACGCGATGTTTTTTCTAGCGTGTCGCACATTCTGTTGTTATGCAGGTGGATGCGACTATTTTATGTGTTCTTTCAATGTGTTCTTTCACCACTCGGTGACTATACCATCCGAGTGACTATACCATCTAGTATGTGTGTACCGCCCCTGAGTGACTATACCACCCCGAGTGTTTGTACCGCCCCTGTGTGACTATACCATCTGGAATGTTTGTACGCCCCTGTGTGACTATACCACCCCGAGTTTTTGTACCGCCCCTGTGTGACTATACCACCCTGAGTGTTTGTACCGCCCCTGTGTGACTATACCACCCTGAGTGTTTGTACCGCCCCTGAGTGACTATACCACCCTGAGTTTTTGTACCGCCCTGACTGACTATACCACCCCGAGTGTTTGTACCGCCCCTGAGTGACTATACCACCCCGAGTGTCGTACCGCCCCTGAGTGACTATACCACCCCGAGCGTTTGTACCGCCCTGTGTGACTATACCATCCCGAGTGTTTGTACCGCCCCTGTGTGACTATACCACCCTGAGTTTTTGTACCGCCCTGAGTGACTGAACTATGCTGAGTGTTTGTACCGCCCTGAGTGACTATACCACCCCGAGTGTTTGTACCGCCCCTGTGTGACTATACTATGCTGAGTGTTTGTACCGCCCTGAGTGACTATACCATCCCGAGTGTTTGTACCGCCCCTGAGTGACTATACCACCCTGAGTTTTTGTACCGACCTGTGTGACTATTCCACCCCGAGTGTTTGTACCGCCCCTGAGTGACTATACCACCCCGAGTGTTTGTACCGCCCGAGTGACTATACCACCCCGAGTGTTTGTACCGCCCTGAGTGACTATACCATCCCGAGTGTTTGTACCGCCCCTGCGTGACTATACCACCCTGAGTTTTTGTACCGCCCCTGTGTGACTATACCATCCCGAGTGTTTGTACCGCCCTGAGTGACTATACCACCCCGAGTGTTTGTACCGCCCCTGAGTGACTATACCACCCTGCGTTTTTGTACCACCCTGAGTTACTATACTATGCTGAGTGTTTGTACCGCACTGAGTGACTACTCCACCCCGAGTTTTTGTACCGCCCTGAGTGACTACACCACCCCGAGTGTTTGTACCGCCCCTGAGTGACTATACAACCCCGAGTGTTTGTACCGCCCTGAGTGACTATACCATCCCGAGTGTGTGTACCGCCCCTGAGTGACTATACCCCCCTGAGTTTTTGTACCACCCTGAGTTACTATACTCTGCTGAGTGTTTGTACCGCCCTGAGTGACTATACCACCCCGAGTGTTTGTACCGCCCCTGAGTGACTATACAACCCCGAGTGTTTGTACCGCCCTGAGTGACTATACCATCCCGAGTGTGTGTACCGCCCCTGAGTGACTATACCACCCTGAGTTTTTGTACCACCCTGAGTTACTATACTATGCTGAGTGTTTGTACCGCCCTGAGTGACTATTCCACCCCGAGTGTTTGTACCGCCCCTGAGTGACTATACCACCCTGAGTTTTTGTACCGCCCCTGTGTGACTATTCCACCCCGAGTGTTTGTACCGCCCTGAGTTACTATACTATACTGAGTGTTTGTACCGACCTGAGTGACTATTCCATGCCCGAGTGTTTGTACCGCCCCTGAGTGACTATACCACCCCGAGTGTTTGTACCGCCCCTGTGTGACTATACTATGCTGAGTGTTTGTACCGCCCTGAGTGACTATACCATCCCGAGTGTTTGTACCGCCCCTGAGTGACTATACCACCCTGAGTTTTTGTACCGCCCCTGTGTGACTATACCATCCCGAGTGTTTGTACCGCCCTGAGTGACTATAACACCCTGAGTGTTTGTACCGCCCCTGAGTGACTATACTATCCTGAGTGTTTGTACCGTCTGAGTGACTATACCACCCCGAGTGTTTGTACCGCCCGTGTGTGACTATACTATGCTGAGTGTTTGTACCGCCCTGAGTGACTATACCACCCCGAAAGTTTGTACCGCCCTGAGTGACTATACTATGCTGAGTGTTTGAACCGCCCTGAGTGACTATACCATCCCGAGTGTTTGTACTGCCCCTGAGTGACTATACTATGCTGAGTGTTTGTACCGCCCCTGAGTGACTATACCGCCCCGAGTGTTTGTACCGACCTGAGTGACTATACTATGCTGAGTGTTTGTACCGCCCTGTGTGACTATACTATGCTGAGTGTTTGTACCGCCCTGTGTGACTATACCATCCTGAGTGTTTGTACCGCCCCTGAGTGACTATACCACCCTGAGTTTTTGTACCGCCCTGAGTGACTATACCACCCTGAGTTTTTGTACCGCCCTGAGTGACTATACTATGCTGAGTGTTTGTACCGACCTGAGTGACTATACTATGCTGAGTGTTTGTACCGCCCTGTGTGACTATACCATCCCGAGTGTTTGTACCGCCCCTGAGTGACTATACCACCCTGAGTTTTTGTACCGCCCTGAGTGACTATACCACCCTGAGTTTTTGTACCGCCCTGAGTGACTATACTATGCTGAGTGTTTGTACCGCCCCGAGAGACTATACAACCCTAAGTGTTTGCGTTGGCAGTAGCACGTGTCACACAGAGAGTACTTGTGTCTTCGCAAAAGGCCTATGCATTGGGACTCGGTTGTTCATGTAGTAGGATGAACTAAGGGTCTCCTCTTGCTGCAGGTGGTGCACAGATATGACCTGGTGTTGCTCCAGGAGATCCGAGACAAGGGGGAGACGGCGCTGGACAAACTTCTCACCATGCTGAACAAGTAGGCCTCTAAACGTCCTGTAACATGAACTAACAGTAAATCATGCTGGACAAGTAGGCCTCTAGACGTCCTGTAACATGAACTAACAGTAAATCATGCTGGACAAGTAGGCCTCTAGAACTAACAGTAAATCGTGCTGAACAAGTAGGCCTCTAAACGTCCTGTAACACGAACTAACAGTAAATCATGCTGGACAAGTATGCCTCTAGAACTAACAGTAAATCGTGCTGAACAAGTAGGCCTCTAAACGTCCTGTAACGAGAACTAACAGTTAATATCCTGGACAAGTAGCCCTCTAGGCGTCCTGTAACATGAACTAACAGTAAATCATGATGAACAAGTAGGCCTTTAGACGTCCTGTAACATGAACTAACAGTAAATCATGATGAACAAGTAGGCCTCTAGACGTCCTGTAACGTGAACTAACAGTAAATCATGCTGAGCAAGTAGGCCTCTAGACGTCCTGTAACATGAACTATACAGTAAATCATGCTTAACAAGTAGGCCTCTAGACGTCCTGTAACATGAACTAACAGTAAATCATGCTGAGCAAGTAGGCCTCTAGACGTCCTGTAACATAAACTAACAGTAACTCATGATGAACAGGTAGGCCTCTAGACGTCCCGTAACATGAACTAACAGTAACTCATGGTGAACAGGTAGGCCTCTAGACGTCTTGTAACGTGAACTAACAGTAAATCATGCTGAACAAGTAGGCCTCTAGACGTCCTGTAACATGAACTAACAGTAACTCATGATGAACAGGTAGGCCTCTAGACATCCTGTAACATGAACTAACAGTAAATCATGATGAACAAGTAGGCCTCTAGACGTCCTGTAACATGAACTAACAGTAACTCATGATGAACAGGTAGGCCTCTAGACGTCCTGTAACATGAACTAACAGTAACTCATGATGAACAGGTAGGCCTCTAGACGTCCTGTAACATGAACTAACAGTGAATCATGCTGAGCAAGTAGGCCTCTAGACGTCCTGTAACAAGAACTAACAGTAAATCATGCTGAGCAAGTAGACCTCTAGACGTCCTGTAACGAGAACTAACAGTAAATCATGCTGAGCACGTAGGCCTCTAGACGTCCTGTAACATGAACTAACAGTAAATCATGCTGAGCAAGTAGGCCTCTAGACGTCCTGTAACATGAACTAACAGTAACTTATGATGAACAGGTAGGCCTCTAGACGTCCTGTAACACGAACTAACAGTAAATCATGCTGAACAAGTAGGCCTCTAGACGTCCTGTAACATGAACTAACAGTAACTCATGATGAACAGGTAGGCCTCTAGACGTCTTGTAACGTGAACTAACAGTAAATCATGCTGAACAAGTAGGCCTCTAGACGTCCTGTAACAAGAACTAACAGTAACTCATGATGAACAGGTAGGCCTCTAGACGTCCCGTAACATGAACTAACAGTAAATCATGATGAAGAAGTAGGCCTCTTGACGTTCTGTAACGTGGTGTAACACTCACCATGTTGAACAAGTACGCTTCTATACTGTACTGTAACATGGTCTAACGCCATCAACAGTCTACAGTGAAGAGGGAAGGTCGTATACTGTTTCCTTGCTGTAAGCTCCCCTGATTAATCGTAGTGAACTCCAAGTCGCCGCCTCCATCTCAACTGATGAAACGTGTCATGAAGCACACCAACGTTTGTTTGAAGCAGTTTGATCTACTGTTAATTGGAATGAAAGTTGAAGACGAAGCTGAGCGTGTAAATATTCAGCAGCATCTTCAATGAAGCAGATGTTACAAACGTTTTTTTCCGTATTATGCTCTAAATAGGCAAGGATTGAGTACTGAATCTCTACTGTGCCCCCATAAACGTTTATGAATGTAGTTATCATTTAATGGTCACAATACTTAGCCAGGATATCGTATTGCTATCACTTTCACCACTTCTTGAGGGAAGTAAATTGTCAAATATATGTGCCTTTCTGTAAGACGAAACAACAAAACGCCAGTTTGATGAAGTTTGATTATCTTTGTATAGTGACTGAACATTATGGAATGAAATAGTGTCAGCGTATTATTTTTATAAGGATCGTTTCGTCGACAGGACAACTCTCTAGGATCGGATCACAAATGCACTTCTTAAATCAAATAGTTCTGAAGTGTTTGACTGAAACTGACACACTGAATGCTGTGTTGCAGAGTCGACCCCGATGACCCTTTCGTGGCCGATGTGAGCGAGAGGCTGGGAAGAACCGTCTCTAAGGAACAGTACGCGTTCCTCTACAGGTGAGTTCCTCTCACCTACTAACTGATCGATAATAAAGATCTCTATGTGATAAAACGGGTCTTACCTCGCGAAGTGGACAAATTTACTGGAGCACCTTGATTAGAAACATGAAAATATTTGCAAAATATCTGTCGATGCCCACACGTCGGTGCACATGCTTTGCAAATTCTTCAGTCAACCGAAATTATGTTGTTAACGATCGCGATTTTGATTGGACTATGCATAGACTCGTTAGTCCAGCCAAAATGTAACTCCGGAATTCCAGCCTGTTTCGACAAGGGTAGAAAGTCGACTTTTATAGTCACTCAGCGCCCTTGCCTCGGGAAGATGCACTAAGCGAATAATGCAAGGTTGAAAGACGAAAATGACAAGGCATTTTAAGGGTCCTTTTTGAGGACGTTTTATAGAATCATTCTGAAATTCAATTGAATTAGTTCCCTAATTTGACTTGTTTCAGTGTTCTTTCATGTGAATAACTGACTTGCCTTTGTATGTGTTTGTGACGGGTGCCACCGGAGGGGCCGGACACGGTCACCTTTTCACGAATACCTGGTGTCATCACTATTTGATAGTGATACATAAACACATGCTCACGATGTAGCCGGAATCGTATAATCGACTCTGCTTTTGGCAGAGATGTTTTATGATTATGGAAATAAAAGCTTTTGTCGCTTTTATTTAATTGTAGTAAAATTTTGAACACATTCAATTTCATAACAAAATTAAAACGCTTTCTTAAGTTAAAACAAAAAATCATCACTATTAGTACTTAGTCCCTAATCATGACTTATACTTTCTGTCTTTAGACCCAGCCGAGTCCAGATCGTGGGCAGCTACCAGTACGAGGACGGCGCTGATGACGGCACGGACTCCTTCGAGAGAGAACCCTACGCCGTCAGGTTCACGTGTCCGAACTTGGGTACGTTGGTTAGGTGATGCAATTGCTGGTAGATACACTGTATCAACTGACAACCCGAGAAGATCCGGGGTAGAAAAGGCCTTCAGCAACCCATGCTTGCCCTAAAAGGCGACTATGCTTATCGTAAGAGCCGGCTAACGGGATCGGGTGGTCAAGCTCGCTGACTTGGCTGATGCATGTCATCGTATTCCAATTGTGTGGATCGATGCTCAAGATATCAATCAATGGATTTTCTGGTCCAGACTCGATTAATTACAGACCGCCGTTATATAGCTTGCATATTGCTGAGTGTGACGTTAAACAACAAAGAAACAAATGTATCAGATGACACAACCATTCTCTTCGTTATTATACACAAATCGATTTTCGTGATATAAGAAAGTGCAAACATATGGTTTATATCTAGAACAATGTATTACATGTCAACCACCGTCAGCCTTGCATATCACGTGTATTTCATTATTTGGATTGTGGAACAACTGTGCGTCTCAAATGGGTTGTCATTCAGTATTATATAGAAACAAGAATAACAGCCTACGAAAAATACTGCAGATCTCTTTCTCAGCCTGCAAATGTATGTGGGGCGGTCGGGTAGCCTAGTGGTTAAAGCGTACGCTTAACACGCCGAAGACCCGGTTCGATACTTGACATGAGTACAATGTGTGAAGCCCATTTCTGGTGTCCCCCGCCGTGATATTGCTGGAAAATTGCTAAAAGCGGCTTAAAACCATACTCACTCACTCACTGCAAATGTATGTGGGGCGGTCGGGTAGCCTAGTGGGTAAATCGTTCGCTCGTCACGCGGAAGACCCGGGTTCGATTCCCGACATGGGTACAATGTGTGAAGCCCATTTCTGCTGTCCCCCGAAGTGATATTGCTGGCATATTGTTAAAAGCGGCGTAAATCCATACACACTCACTGCAAATGTTTGTTGTAGAAATTGACGATTTTGCGATTATCGCCATCCACACGTCGCCCAGCAAAGCTGTAGCTGAGATCAACGCCCTCGTGCACGTGTGGGAAGCAACCAAGAAACACTGGGGCATCGAGGTGAGTTGAACTAGGCAGCAGACCTTTATGTAGCTTGCCCAACTGTGGTAGTGAACATTTCCGTAATGATACACATGACATCAGCTCATGATGTCAATCACTGGATTGTCTGTCCTAGACTCGATTATTTACAGATCGCCGTCATATAGCTGGAATATTGTTGAGTGCGGCGTTAAACAACAAACAAACAAACAAACCAGTGGAGTAGCCATTCCCACACGATGCCGTGTCTGAAGCCCATTTCTGGAGTCTCCCATCGTGACATTCTGGAACCCCGTGGGGATTCCGGGTTAGAATATATATTCACCAACCTACACTGCTGGTCTCAAGAGGCGAACAAATGGATGGAGTGATCAGCCACGATGAATTGGTTGATGCATGTCATCGTACCCCGACATCTTCCCGAGGCAAGAGAGTTAACTGACTTTAAAAGTCCAGCTTCCACCCTTGCCGAACTAGGCTGGAATTCCTTGGCTCGATCGTAGCGCCACCAGAGGCTACTACCAGTTATGTCACTTCTAAGCCTCTCCTTTGGGCCAATCAGATTCCACCTCTCGTATCACTTACGATTGCTTCACACAAAATGGTGGCGCCCAGTCAGGACGATCTGATCGATAATCAAGATCTATATTGTGATAAAACGGATCGCGAAATGCATCAAATCACGTGAGCACCTTGATAAAAAAACATGAAAAGATTTGGAAAATATCTGCTGACAACGAGTTGGCGGTGCACATGCTTTGCAAATCCTGTAATCGATCGAAATCAACACGACAGTTTACGAACCGGATTTCGATTTCGGTGCGCGATTTTGATTGGACTACGCATACACTCGTTAGTCCAGCCATAATGTAACTCCATAATACGAGCCTAGTTCGGCAAGGATGGAAATTGACTTTTATAATCAGTTAACTCTCTTGCCACGGGAAGATGTACGCCGACGGCATAGGTCGCTGCTCATAATATCAATCCCTGGATTGTCTTGTCCAGGGTCGATTACTTACCGGCATCCGTCATATAGCTGGAATGATGCTAAAAGCTACGTGGAACCAAACTTACCGTAAGCAATTGACAGGTGTAAATGTTTCGTCCACACGTTGTTTCAAAACGTAAGTGGAAGTAATCTTGGTTTCAAATGCGATTCCTCCATCCAACCTACGTCATGCATTTAGTGAGAACTGACTGACTGTATACAATCAGAGTGATAAGATTACCTATGGTGAATATCAAATGGAAGTTTTTAAAAACAATGAGTGATGAAATTCAGCTTGTATGATTATTTCCTCACCGACAGAACATCATCATCGCAGGCGACTTCAACGCTGACGGCGACTTTGTGTCCGGCTCAGACTGGGAGAGGATATCCCTGAGGAGTGATCGTCGTTTTACCTGGCTCATCAAGGACAACGCAGACACCACCGTCAGCAGCACCGACTGCAGTTACGACAGGTTTGATTCTTGACATTGACAAATCACCAAGGACGTGATACCATATCTTTAAATATTAACTGAGGGCCAGAAGAAAACATACAATTGGATTTGACCATAAATCATCATCATCATCATCATCATCATCATCGAATAAGCATGTCATTTTAGCCACAATCAAACAAGGATGTATACTTTTCTTTTGCCCGGCAGTATATTTATTTTACAACTGCCAAAGGGTAATTCTAAAATCTACCCTTACAAACATGCATTTGGATACATGGATTCTACATTTCAAATTCACAGCATATGTAATGTTAGTTAAGGTTATCTGTGTTCAAGAAAATATATTAGAATCATTGCCTTATTACTAACTATAGAACCGAAACTTTCAAATACCTTTATGAATTCATATGTGTGACAAAATATTTTCAAACTTTCAGACTGTATGTCTCCACTCAAAATGTGTTACACGTTACCATACTGCACGTCGAGATATGGCACTATGTATGTGTAGGTAGAGGGGTATGGTACCCCGATTTCATCGATCAAGTGAAGAGATACATTAATGTCATAAATCTCATATCACCATCAAATGTAGGGATATATCGTAGGCCCATATCATGATCAAATGTTGGGTTGGTTGGTTGTTTAACGCCGCTCCCAGCAATATCCCAGCTATATGACAGCGGTCTGTATAAATAATCGAGTCTGTACCAGACAATCCATTGATAAATATCATGAGCATCGATCCACGCAATTGGGATACGATGACATGCATCAACCAAGTCAGCGAGCCTGACCACCTGATCCCGTTAGTCGCCTCTTACGACAAGCATAGTCGCCTTTTACGGCAAGCATGGGTTGCTGATCAAATGTTGGGATATATGATAGCCCTATATCACGATCAAGTATATATGTCACGCCTTGTCACGCCTTGTCACTGGTACTTCAGGTTTGTCGTGACTGGGCACCAGCTGAAGACCAACATAGTTCCAGGCAGCTGCAAGGTGTTCCGCTTTGACACGGAGTTCAGTCTCTCCCAGGAAGAGGTGAGTGTTCCCCTCCGGCTTATAGTTTATGTAGTATCAAACAGGCTCGCTTGTTTCGATGATCAACTGTCAACATATTTACCAAACCTGTTTGCAAATAGTTGTTACGTTGTGTTTTTTAAAACGTTATGTACTTTGTCATTGTTTCAGGCCGAAGATGTCAGCGACCATTATCCCATTGAACTTTCCATTGCGGGGAAAAGTGAGTTTCTTTTTATTTCATAATTCCATGCACTCGAGACGTATTTGGAACGATAAGGTAGTTCAGTGGTTAAAGTCTTGGCTATCCAGGCCGAATACCAGGTTCGATTCGACCCGTGAAGATCCGGGGTAGAATACGTCTTCAGTAACCCACTCTTGTCGTAAAAGACGACAATGCTTGTCGTAAGAGGCGACTAACAGGATCGGGTGGCCAGGCTCGCTGACTTGGTTGATGCATGTCATCGTATTCCAATTGCGTAGATCGATGCTCATGATATCAATCACTGGATTGTTTGGTTCAGACTCGATTATTTACAGACCGCTGTCATATAGCTTGAATATTAATGAGTGCGGCGTTAAACCAAACAAACACACCCTTTCTTAATGCCCCCGGCCGTGAAATGACGGGGTATTGCTAAAGGCGACCTTAAATCATACACGCCCTAGGTTTACTATCGACAAGAACGTAACATCCATTGGTTTGACCAAGATTGTGCTAAAAGAATAACATGCCACTTTCCTAACTCTGCATTTGAATAACGAGTTTAACACTTTCTCACATAGAAAATACGAAACTGCAAAAGATACTAAATACGGAGCTGTCCTTCAACATCGCACAGATGCAGAACATCTCCAGTGTCAGCCATGTCCGAGCTTTGTACCGAACCAAGAAAGCCAAGGGTGCTGGTTTCACGATTGAACGGAAACGAGATGGCGACAGGAAGACATTGCTTGAAGTGATTGCCGTGAAAGAGCATGAGTCAGACGTGGTGACCAGTTTGCAGAAGTTCCAGAAATTATTTCCCGAGGTGCTGTTTACCGAGTCTATCGGAATGGCCAAGGCATACATGGACTCTGGGATGTTTGACAAGCCGCCATATGTGTACGGGCTATGCACTGTGGAATCCAAGAAGTCCTATGACGTCACAATCACGTGCCGTTTAAGAGCTCCTTTGACATGTCACGTGAAGGTCACAAATCGTAGAAGTTGATCCGGCAGTGGTGAGGTTGTTTCTTCAGTAATTAACACTATGTGTCTGTATATGTTGTCTGTCACTCCTTGTTCTCATTAATTCCAGGGGCGGTCGGATAGCCTAGTGGTTAAAGCGTTCGCTCGTCACGCAGAAGACCCGGGTTCGATTCCCGACATGGGTACAATGTGTGAAGCCCATTTCTGGTGTCTCCGCCGTGATATTGGTGGAATATTGCTAAAAGCGGCGTAAAACCATACTCACTCATTAATTCCATATTTATAGCTCACCAGTTAGCGCACGACGTGACGAGTGTACCGACCGACCATCGTTCCGCACACTTCTCCTTAAGGGGCGAAAGGGATTAACCTGAAAGTTTAGGAACATCCCCAGGCCCATACATAACATGACTAAGATTAGTTCATGGCGTTGAAATAGAACATATATTTTTTGTAATAAATCAAAACAATAATCATGAATCTTTAGGAATCGTTCCCTAAGAAAACAAGAGGTTTAAGAATCTGAAACATTAGCATCAATATTCATTCTTGTATAAGACCCGTGAAGATCCAGGTTAGAATTGGTCTTAAGCAACCCGTACTTGTCACAGGAGGCGATTAACGGGATCCGGTGGCCAGGCTCGCTGACTTGACTGATGCATGTCGTCGTATCGTCGTAGATCGAAACACATGATGCCAATCACTGGATTGTCTGGTCCAAATTCGATTCTCTACAGACCGCTGTCATATAAGAGGAATGTTAGGAAGAGTTCGGCGTTAAATAACAAACATGATTGTAAAATCAAAAGAATCCTTTATTTTAAAAACAAATGGGAAACAAAAAAACAGATGTTCTTAAGAAACGTGCATCTCCAGGATGGGACGAGATATTTCAAACTCCCAATGCAGTGTCATTATAGTATTGTAAACTGCGAGAAAACCTTTTACGTAATCATTAGACGATCTGTTGAATGCAGAGTCCATTGTACTAATCCTACTATATCATGAGCATTCGTGTATGAATTACTATTAACTGGTGGTGATGGCAGGTGTTGGCGAAAAGGTGAGCGTATCCTGCCCCACACCATCTTCCCGAGGCAAGGGCGCCGACTGTCTACAAAGGTCCATTTCCACCCTTGCCGAGCAAGGCTGGTATAATGGAGTTACATTTTGGCTGGACTAACGAGTCTATGCATAGTCCAATTCAAAATCGCGCAACGAAATCGAAATCCGGTCGGTAAACTGTCGTGCAGATTTCGGTCGATTGCAGGATTTGCAAAGTATGTGCACCGCCAACTCGTTGTCAACAGATATTTTCCAGACCTTTTCATGTTTTTAATCAAGGTGCTCGCGTGATGTGATGCCCTTAGCGATGTAAGACCCGTTTTATCGCAATATAGATCTTGATTATCGATCAGATCGTCTTGACTGGGCGCCGCCATTTGAAAAAAATGCAAGTGATACGAGAGGTGGAATCTGATTGGTCAACAGAAGAGGCTTAGAAAGTACATAACTCGTAATAACCACTGGTGGCGTTACAATCGAGCCCAAAAATTTAAGCCTAGTTCGGCAAGGGCGGTAACTGGATTTTTAAAGTAAGTTAACACCCTTGCCTCGGGAAGATGGCCTCACAGGTGGTACCCGTCATACAAATGACACGTATGGAGTGATTTTGTGAAGGTTTATTCGGGGTAAATTTGGAACCTAGTTTGTGACGTTTTTTATGTTAGGGGCGATTGGGTAGCCTAGTGTATAAGCGCTCGCTCGCCACGTCGAATACCCTGGTTAGATTCCCCACATGGGAATAATAATGTGTGAAGCCCATTTCTAGTGTCCCCCCCCCCCCCCCCCCCCCCCCCCCCCGCAGTGATATTGCTAAAATATTGCTAAAAGCGGCGTAAAACCATACTCACTTACTCTTTTTGTTACTAATTTCCACTCGTTTTCTTTCAGGATCTCCTGGGAGATGTGACAGAGAATACTCAACTTTGGTTATACACAGCAAAAGCAGGTTGCATGTATCGTAGTTCACCCATCTTCCTGAGGCAAGATAGTTAACTGACTATAAAAGTCCAGTTTCCACCCTTGCCGAACTAGGCTCGTATTATGGAGTTACATTTTGGCTGGACTAACGAGTCAATGCGTAGTCCAATCAAAATCGCGCACCGAAATCGAAATCCGGTTCGTAAATTAGCGTGTAGATTTCGATCGATTGCAGGATTTGCAAAGCATGTGCACCGCCAACTCGTTGTCAGCAGATATTTTCCAAATCTTTTCATGTTTTTAATCACGGTGCTCACGTGGTTTGATGCATTTCGCGATGTAAGACCCGTTTTATCACAATATAGATCTTGATCATCGATCAGATCGTCCTGAGTGGGCGCCACCATTTTGTGTGAAGCAAACGTAAGTGATACGAGAGGTGGAATCTGACTGGCCCATAGGAGAGGCTTAGAAGGGACATAACTGGTAATAGACCACTGGTGGCGCTACGATCGAGCCCAGAAATTCCAGCCTTGTTCGGCAAGGGTGGAAGCTGGACTTTTAAAGTCAGTTAACTCTCTTGCCTCGGGAAGATGTAGTTCACCGCGCCCGGACATACACCGGTTCCTATAGTCACTGGGGCACTCCGGGAGGTTTTGGACACAGACAAGTGTTTGTAATGAGAGGATGGGGTGATGTTACATTGATGTTACATGATTATGTATCTTCACCTACCTCAGGTGTTGTTCCCTGAGTCTGTGCCATGTATTCCTTGTATAACGGTAGTTGGGTCCTATACCGTATCATGGCGGACATCGTGTCGAAAATAAACACTCCCTTGTTCTTCATATCAATTTAATTGTGTCGTGACTTCGTTTTAGTGGGGGGCACGAGTGGCCCAGACGTCCAGTGCGCCGCGATTCGCTGTGCAGAGTTGTGTCCCTTGGGCACGCCAGAAACCTATGATTGTGGGTTCGAATCCCGGTTCGCCCCGATTATGTTTCTAGGTTTGTCAGCCCCATACCCGTGCTTGTGGGTTTCACCGGAGTGGTAAACATTTGATACCTGCATCACTTCGGGCTTTCCTCCCACATTAAGCTGACACGCCGCGATATAACTATACTACTGTAAAAGCGCCGTTAAACCCAACTCACTCACTATAATTGACCAAAATATATTTACAGGAAATCCTTGATTGAACAGAAAACTTCAGTTACATATAATGTACGTATATTACGAATGCTTCGTTTGCTGTCGTGAAAAGGCTAGAGGAAGCGGCGTAAAATCCAAACCGATTCCAGACAAGCGAATGAGTAATGAATTGTTTCACGCCGCAATATCTTACTTATACCACAGAGGCATGTTAACAATCAAATTTGGACCCTGTTATCCAGTGCACGCGGTTGAACGCATTAGCAACACCATATTGTCAGAATGTGATTACACGCAATCAGCCCAGGAACACGTGGTGTCCACTTGATCTTCATTGCGTCACCTCTAACCGGACCAACGGTACAGCATCAGTACTGCCTGTGTTTTCTAAATTTAATAGAACCCTATGTGGGGTTGCACAGTACCAAAGTGATAAAAAGACATTTGCTAAAAAAGTTTTACATCGGGGGGTAGAATAGGTCTTCAGCAACCAATGCTTGTCGTAAAAGGCGACTATGTTTGTCGTAAGAGGCGACTAACGGGATCGGGTGGTCAGGCTCGCTGACTTGGTTGATGCATGTCATCGCATTCCAATTGTGTGGATCGATGCTCATGATGTCAATCACTGTATTGTCTGGCCCAGACTCGATTATTTACTGACCCCCGTAATATAGCTAGAATATTGCTGAGAGCGGCGTTAAACAGCTAAGAAACAACTTTTACATAGGCAAAACATTTTTCAGATCTTGTCACGCTAATTTAGCCGTATAGATCGTATTACGCCAGAGTGAAAGTGTTGTACCTTATAACAGTTATTTGAAGAAAGTCTGAAGTGAGACATGTATAAGAAGATAACGGTTGGTTGATCACAAATATATATAAATTGTCAATGCAAGAGAATAACAAGACTAGATTTTCTGCCGAAATAGATTCTACTTGGCGCAAACCAAGGATCACAATCAGACCGACTCTGGGATTCGAACCTACAATTACAGGATCCTGGCACACCCAAGGGGTGCAACTCTGCGCAGCGAATTTCAGACTCGGGCCCAATATTGCTTCATTGATGTTTATAAATAAATATCATTATCAATCACTGATGTATCAATACTTGTGTAATATCATTGTTGTCGGAGGGTAGGACAAAAGTACCATGACAATACCGTGAAATGCCACACACTGGATGGTATTTACCAATTACATGTGTGTGTGCGTGCGTGTTCGTGTTCGTGTGCGTGTGTCTGCATGCGTCTATCGGTATGTGTGTCTGCCTGCATGCATTTATGTGTGTATAAATAAGTGTGTGCGTGTGTGCGTGTTGCGTGCGTGCGTGTATTCTGTATGTGTATGTGCGTGCGTGTATGATCATGAACTATCAACAGAAGGCCGAATCAGTAAACGACCATTGACAGATATGACATTCACGCACTTGCCTTGAATATAACAGCAGGCTTACATTTCATTCAGGCTCTCATTCAAGTCTCAATGAATTGAAATTATAAATCGCTTGTACAAAATAAAGGTTGTAGTTATACCACCTGAAAACTGCTATGTTAATCTAGAGAAATCTTGAGATCGGATTTGCAAGTGTAAGAACGTACATAGTTCCTAAGTTGAAGATTTAACCATTCAGGTTATGATAACAGGAGGTCGTGGGAACGTTAACGGTAGTTTGCAGCCGTATGTTGGCACGGACAGGTAAATCTTCCTGAGTGAGTGAGTGAGTGAGTGGGTGAGTGAGTGGGTGGGTGGGTGGGTGGATGGGTGGATGGGTGGATGGGTGAGTGAGTGAGTGAGTGAGTGGGTGGGTGGGTGGGTGGGTGAGCGAGCGAGCGAGCGAGTGAGTGAGTGAGTGAGTGAGTGAGTGAGTGGATGCGTGGGTATGTGTGAATGAGTGAGTGAGTGAGTCTGGTTGAGTGAGTGAGTGAGTGAGTGTTGTTTCATGTTCATCGGTCTGTACATAACGTCAGTCTAGCCAGCTAAACCAGTGGTTGACAGCATGAGTAACGATTCACGCCAGACATACATTATAAATATTAAAGGTCAACGCCACAGTCTCGATAATCTGCATTAAGAAGAAAGTGTATGTTGCCTTACGCCGCACAGAAGAACTGCTGTCATACAGCGGTTTGTAAAAAACAGATTCTTGCCCAGACAATCCAGTGATGGACCAAACCAGCGTTCATTATTAGCCTTCCCTTACGACAATGGCGAGGTCCTGGGGGTCTACACTTCCCGGGAGTATTATCTGGTTGGTAATGTCAAGGTGCTATACACGAGTAAGTGAGTGAGGTTTTACGCCGCTTTCAGCAATATTCCAGCAATATCACGGCGCGGACACCAGAAATGGGCTTCACACATTGTACCTATGTCGAGAATCGAACCCGGGTCTTCGGCGTGACGAGTGAATGCTTTAACCACTAGGCTACCCGGGCGCCCCTGCGATCACGAAAACATATACTTTGACATGGTTATGAACGGAGCCCCACCAAGTCGATCAACTAAAATACCAAAGCAAAGCAGATTTGGAAATGCTTTAAGAAAATAGTACTTTTTTTTCATTTTCATACTATATAACATATCCTCATGTGGCACGATGCACTGACTGAAGTACTACGACAGTGGAATTCCTACATAATCTTCCAGGCAAAAGAAAGTATAAACCTGAAGATTTTGTTTGACCAAAAAATGACAAACGTTACCGAAACGTCACTAGGCTGAGACAGTCGCCGAAATACTCCATAGGTCGAACCCATAACTAGGATGCCCATATCAAATGCATCACCTGCCAATAATCACTTATGGTAAAAATCATCTGTGATGCCGTTATCAAATGCATCATCATGAAAAAAACAGCCCTTGTTATTTTTTTTCATTTTAACCACCATCAAACATGGGGGTATGCTTTCTTTCACCCGGCAGTTGAGACGATAAATTGAAAGATTTTTGTAATAGTCACTCCTGCTCATTGTGTTGTTTCCGGGCAGTGTGCATGCTGTGTGCGGGGGCACGGGTGGCCCAGTCGTCTAAGGCGCCGCGATTCGCTGTGCAGAGTTGCGTCCCTTGGGCACCCCAGAAACCTATGATTGTGGGTTCGAATCCCGGTTCGCCCCGATTATGTTTCTATGTTTGTCATCGCCATACCCGTGCTCGTGGGTCTAAGACCTGCATCACTTTGGGCTTTCCTCCCACATTAAGCTGACACGCCGCGATATAACTGGAATACTGTTAAAAGCGGCGTTAAACCCAACTCATTCACTCACTCACTCACTCATGCTGTGCGCAGTGTAGCTGATAATATTGTCTCCGGGCAGGGACTTTGATTTGTTTTCATAACTATTATATATGTCACGTGAAAACATACTAGAGCTTCATAATTCGTATTAAGATCACAAACAATGATAAAAGTACTTAATAGGCACATTGCTCACATTATCTCATCCGGATCAGCATCGTCATCAAAACCAGTTTTATACATAAGTTGTATTTATAGCCCTCGTTGGGGAGGCCTTTGGCTAATAAAATCCATATCAAAAGGAAATATTGTCCACATCAATGTTTATGAGATTCTTTATTTTGTTATACAGTGCAACAAGCATAAACAGCAACATATATAGAAAAATTCAGATCCAACTATAGCCACTGTAATTATGAATATACATAGTATATCCTCTCACTACCACTATAACTACTCTGACGTTCCCGTAATGGCATGATGCTTTATACAGTCGGTTTTATACTAGATCACACACTATATAAGTATCTATTAATAAAACTAAAATATGTAATATTTATGGACATAAAGTTTTCTAAAACTTTGTATCCTGTAATGACACCCTTTTCAAAATTAAGAATCAATAAAGCAATTATTAATATTTCGTGTCATTTTTTCATTTCACGGGGAAAGAAAATAGTTTACAAAATAAAGGCTAAGTTAACCATATCAGTCTCGTGGTATCACAGTCAGTAAGGGAATAACAAGTCAATACTTTCATATTTATTTTCTTTGTAGAAGAGTGAGTGAGTATGGTTTTACGCCGCTTTTAACAATATTCCAGCAACATCGCGGCGGGGGACACCAGACATGAGCTTCACACATTGTACCAATGTCGGGCATCGAACCCGGGTCTTCGGCGTGACGAGCGAACGCTTTAACCACTAGGCTACCCCACCACCTCTTCTCTTAAGAAGAAACGGTATGCAGCAGTATCACGTGTACTTTGTCGTTGCGGGAAACAATGGCCTTGGAAGTTAGCTATATCACTGTCTACTTCAATCATAGATAATTAAATAAAAGCAAAACGAAAGAGTGATCATACAAGTCTCTCATATGTGCAGATATGATGATGAAAACATCAAATACGTTTTCATGTCCAAGCATTTGCGGCAGTGTTTGGCTCCGTTTTTCCCTCATTTGTGACTGATGGTGTAGCGGCAACCTTCGTTTCTGCTTGTTTCTTATGCACTGCTTGTTTTTTCAATGTCGCCTGTATATCGGCGATTCTTGTCAATGCATTCTCAACGCTCTCAGCAAGATCCGAAAACCTTTGATTCAATTTTTGAACATCATCCACAACCAGTTTTCTGGTTTTATGTACCGATTTTTTTGTTGAGGATATTCTGCTATTCACCGTATTTTCGAGCTCCGATGTGCTGGTATTCATAATTTGCGCAAGTGCTTCAATGTTGTCTCTGAGCTTGTCATAGTCTTCCGAATTGCCCCCTCCACCACGGCGTTTACAGGTTAAACATTCGCTCTTGTCCTCGACATGCGTCACGGCATATCTTTCAGGACGCCTGCCCGTGGTTCTGTAGTCGCTCTTCTCGTGTCCCACTTGAATGTACCATACGTGCAAATCCGGATCTGTGTCGTCGTCGAAGACCCTCCCGGAACGAATGGACCCTGTACCAAGCAGCCGCGACAGCCAAGGAGCGGCATTCTCAACCATCAGTCCGAGTTGGATGCTTTCCACTTTCCACGACACTGGATGTTCGTAGTTGGCACTGGTGTAGGATTTAACCATCATGGCTATCAGAAGGTTCAACAGCAAGATGGTTACAAGCAAAATATAGCCACTGTACAAGAGTTGACTGAATACTGGTGCCGTTCCACTAGCCTCTAGTTGTCCCTCCATATTTCCATCCCACATTTCCGTTATCCCCAGCATGACGTTAAAGAGAAGGAACATCGTTTGGAGAGGTGTTCTGTACTTCGCTACTGTATTCGGGGCATCCAAGAACTGTGAGTGCAGCGCCAGAGCAAACCCCAGTAGAAAGACCACATAGACCAAAATGACCTTCACCACATCCAAAAGGATTTCTTTAAACATAACGTTGAGGAAGAAGCGAACTCCCCTTATTCCCTTAGCAAAGGCAAACGTTAGCAACCAGCCATACAATAGAGTCACAGACATCAGATAATGTATTCCACCGGATCCTTGGACCAAAAACGTGATCATAAACGCAAGTACCAAGCATACAAATGTCATGTAGCAGATTGGCCATGCAAAAGCCTTGAGGACGTAGACCAAGGTCACCGGTGTGTTAGGTTTGGAAAAGTGGAAACAGGTCATGCAACAGCACCGTGGTCGGCAGTCGACATTCTTGTACATCCGATGGAGCCAGTACGCGGTGATTAATATGGGTTCAATCAAACCTACGGAGTAGAAGGCTAATACTGTCCGAATGGGCTCCTTGTCAACTGTTTGTCTTCTTTCCATCAACAAACAACAGATAGCACTAAATGCTGTCATGTACAGGACATGCACTAATGTGATAACAGCGTATATCTTAGCTGCGACTGAGCTGTACATCTGTTCGATCTTCTGCACAGGTGGCAAGTTCAGTATGTCATTTGTAGTGTCCGGTAAGTGTGAAACTAGCCCTTCCAAACAGCACTGTTTTGTTTCCGTGCCTGTCTGTATGCTTGTCTGAGGAGTGATATGGGTAATGTCATACCATCTGTAAGAGACGTCCTTGACGTACATCTTGTGTGAACACGTCACCTGTTCCATCTTCATCAGTTTCTCTACTATTGTGGTAGCCCCTATTTGGAACGCCAACTCAAGAACAGACAGCTGGTCACCATTCTTTAATGACATGGTTAAAAAACGAACAGCATCCCGCTTGTAACGTTGGAGTGTTTTGTCATCCTCAGGGGCCTGCAGCTCCTTCTCCTGACACCACCAGAAGGGTGACAATAGGATGACAACATCAAACAGCTCCAGCAGCTTCTGTGATTGGGGTTGTTTCTTAGTGTACACCGCTATACAGTGCATCACTGTATTCCCTTTACTGTTCTTGGAGTTGAACATCAGCATATGTTCGGGAGTTAGCCCCGTAGCGATTTCCCTGACAACCGACTCATTGTTCCACGAAGAGTCTGTACTGGCAGCTAGTTTCGCCTTGTACTGCTTGTGGAGATTAAACACGCATTTCATCGCGTCTGTGAACCCCGTTAGGCCCGCCACTGTGTCCATTTCAATTGCTGCCATGGAAACGTTTTATCTGAAAGAAAAGGAGTGTGTAGTTGTTATCATAGTCAACCATTAAATTATGAAATTATAAAATTAGGGTGTTTCAACATCATTATTATAATCGGGCCAAAGTGGGATTCGAACCCAAGATCATCGTGTGTTGGCATGACGGCGCTGACCAGTTGGCCACTCGTGCCCGATGTGTCACATGACAACAGACGTTTTGGAAACGTAACGTTTATGCGTAAGTATTTCAAGGTTCATTACATGGAAAGAAACTCAGCTGAATATGGAATTTGGATATGGAGCAGGTCAACACTACTAAACCTGAGATCGTCTCCGTGGTCTGGGGTACGATCCCCGGCCGCGTCATACCAAAAGACGTTAAAAGATGGTACTTGTTGTTACCATGCCTCGTGCTTGGCATAAAGGGGCTAAAAGAAGGACTTGTCGGCTCGGAGTACTGTGTCTGAGTGGGGTATTCATGTTAAACTGCGGCATGGTATCACAGTGGACCAGCACAAAAAAATTGCCCGGACAAGGACAAGCAGGCACAGACGCACGTGCATGCACGTCGCTATATAAGTGCAATAATCGTGAACGTTAAATGCCATTAAATGCGGTAAACGGAACAAACTTCAGACCACGTCGATATATGGTTTTGAGTGAAACATTGACTATGCTATTTGGCATTCTTGTAACCCTGGCCAGTGACAAGTGGTGTAACATTTACCTTCACTAAAACTATGCCAGCACGCACAGAACAATCAACGAACTCACCTTTTTCGCTCGATAACTAGTCACTCACGTTGTGTCTGTCTCTCCGTTGCTGGTGTAAATGGCACTCACAAACACAACTCAAACTCCTAATGTATGTTGATAGTTTCTTCGTAGCCGCACAGCGAGCTATAGAATACGTTTAGTTACAATGCAGTGTATTGTTATACAGAAGCGACAGTTAAATGTGGAAGTAATATGTTCAGTTATTATGCAAACGCTGAAGCAAAGCTTTTCAGCGAATACGTCGAGACTATCAATATGAGCGTAAATTATATCTCTCAATGTATCTAGCCATTAAGCGACCACGTCCCTGACATTGATTCAATGGTAATTGTCGTGCGCCACGAGTACTGAGAAGTTAGATTGAAAGGAGGCATGTGTCAGAGAGAGCCAACATTCATATAAAGTAGAAACCAAATTTAGTTTCGCCATCAGTTGTTTTCTTATTTTCTGCATTCAGTGATTATCCAAAGGTAGAGGGACTTTCGATCCTTTTAACGGTGAGCATTAAGGCTCAGCATTGAAGTGAACTTTCCGGTTATTGTTAACTATGGACGAATAACTTTGCAAGCCATGAATAGGGAAGGCGGTTAAATGGTTCGCTCATTAAATATACACGAGGGTATAACAGAATTATCATATTTTAAGTAAGTAGAATTGCTGAAGTCTAGATATCGAGAGTACTAGTGAAGACATATCTGCATTGGAAAGTGTAGTTGATATTACACCTTTATCATACACCTTGGCATGACTCAGACCGAGATTTAAGTATATGGCTACGTCAAAGGAATCGATTTCGTGTTTACCGTTACTAACCATCGAGTGTGAGGAAGTTACTCGGAGCTGGGAATTCCTTGAAAAAATGCCGTATTCCTGAAAATACTGGACCTAAATTATTTTCCACGAAACTAACTGTTTACTAGATTTCCTGAACATTTGTGTTGTAGGTCCATAAAAATGAGTGGTTTACTGATTTCAGAGAAAACAATTGCTTGTCAGGAATCCTTGACCGAAACACGTTTCAGTCACTAACAAAACGGAATTTGGAAGCCAAACCCCTGTTGTGATCGGCCCCAAAATGCTACAGTGTTATTTTGGAAGGTCGTGAACTCCATGGGCATTGGTGGGCAGCTTCGCCATGAGGGCCAAGAATGAGGAATGGATGGTTAGAATTATGAAGTTTTCGGGTCACCGTGTCCCGACGGCGTGTATAGTTGGTCATGTTATCAACCACTGGTTGACTAGTGTGTACCTGAGGTTGTAATTTGGCTTGTATGTTGCTGGCTGTGGCGTACAACATTCATTCACTCCTTTTAGCAAATATTGTAATTTCAGGATTACATTTAAGTATCGATGCAACTCATTTACCAAGGACATGATAGATGTCTCTTTTATTGCCATCTAACAAACATTTCTTCTTGCACGCCGTGTTATGGCAACATTGAAGGGCCGGGGACAAGACGCTATATCTACCTCCTACTCCACGGCAGCACTGTGTGAGCTTGGAATAGTCCTATGCTAGTGAAGATTCCATTCACGTAGATTATAGATCAGCCGTGTATCATTCAAGCTCTTATATGAAACGTCACAATAGGCTGCTTGTCAAGTCAGTAAACGGAACATTGAATGACATATACTTAGGCTTGTGCATACCCTGAACGTTATGTTAAATTCCTTTTTACAAATGAGGCAGGGTCATTCGACAAGTTAAAGTCTTGGGGGATCTTGAGAATCAACATTCAAACTATGTCACACCGACCAGTGTTTGAAACCATGAGCAACCATCCATGCCATGGCGGGGGCAAGTCAGGCAATCGGCAATGCACAGAACACGAACACTCCATTTTAGCCAACACTTAACACAAATTGATAATATGAAAACTTCATAATAATGTTTTTCGCCTGACACCTTCATCAAGTACGACAAGCCAGACTAAAGGTTGGTTGGTTGGTTGGGTTTTTTTACGCCGCAATATTCCAGCTATATGACGGCGGTCTGTAAATAATCGAGTCTGGACCAGACAATCCAGTGATCAATATCATGAGCATCGATCCACGCAATTGGGATCGATGACCTGCATCAACCAAGTCAGCGAGCCTGACCACCCGATCCCGTTAGTCGCCTTTTACGACAAGCATAGTCGCCTTTTACGGCAAGCATGGGTTGCTGAAGACCTATTCTACCCCGGATCTCCATACTAAAGGCCACACAATTGGCCATTAACTTTATAAGGACCCTGTCTGTCAAGGTGAAGAGATGGGAACTAAGGATAATGAAAACAACAATAATCAGTCTTCGAAAATATTTTAAAGACTTAATATATCCCAGGGATAACAAACAATACTCAGCATCAACTCGACGTCGTGACTTCACCCGACAGAGGAGCCAAGGCCATGGCATACTGCAATAACATCCCTGGTACTGTCAGGATTACGATGGAATTAGAATTCGCTACAAATTTGACATCGAAATCTCTTAGACTTAACAGCGGACACAGTGATCTCCCTTGTGCCATTATCCACTGACAATCAAGCAAGGAATGCAATGTCGATAGACCATGTACGTATAAGAATTTATGGATAAACAACTTCTTTATTACAATTAAGAGCGACGTTTCGGTGTAGGTTCTAACACCGTTATCAAGCAAGTGATATACAGAGAAGTCATGTACGTATACATGGTGCTTTCCTGATTTGCTAGTATTTACCCAGTACCATGTTTCAAATGTTCTTCAATAGTATAATGCAAACATTGCTAATGCAACGTAAATATAAAACGACAACGTCAGAGAATAATTATCTCGATTATCTGTCGAAACAGATTCTATTGGGCGTAAAAGGCAAAATAGCGATGACAATTATAAATGGATAACTGAAAATCAGTGATGACATCAGGTGTTTGGGAAAAGGGAAGCAACTCTTGCCCTACCGGAAGCACCCGCTATTCACACAATTTGCGTAAGTGTTTGTTGGTTGCCTTGCGTCATTCATATGAGATCTTATTCACATACTCAACCTCATTCCCCCTTTAGTCATTATGTTTGGAAAGACCATAAATGAACAGAACTGGCCGAGGTGTCCCAACCCGTAAACGAAAAGTTTGAATGGACGGTGATTTACCCCATGATTGCACCAACGGAATAGGCTCCCGTGGGGGTTTGCGTGTCGTGGACGTCTTGGCTGGGTCTTTCGTTGATGACGGGTCTGTTACATATGTCCTGAATCCCGTGTTGGGCGTAGCACCAGGTATATGTAGGGGCAGGCTGCAGAGGAAGGGAAGCCTCCGTGTTGAGATCAAAGGGCCACGGTCAATCCTGTACGTTGAAGGTAAAAGGCAACGATTATCGTTGTGTGCTTGCATCTGAAATGTCGAACCTTGTTTTTGAAGTGTTATTTCTGGTAGCTTTGCATCTTCGGGAGTCGGCTGTGCTTGGTTCTGGTTTGGGGACATTTGGATTGAGTCAGCGGTTGCTGTAGGGCTTTCTGGGTTTCTTACACTCTCGTCACTGTTGTGTCTTGATGTCACATCCGGTGATGTTGCGCCAGCGCCATCTGTCTCTTGTTGGAGTATTTCTGAAATGAAAATTGACCAACAATTTAATCCCTTTGTCTGTTAACATGCCCGTGCCCTTTGGTACGGGTAGAGCTTACGAATTTGATTTCTTGTCTCTCGGAAATGAATAGAAAAATGATTTAAGACATATTTGTACACCAGAAATGAGTAATTCTTAACAAGTACCAAATGATCTTAAATATTGTCAAAGAGTACATTTAAATGATAAACTTCAAGGGCAAATATAGCCATGCTCAATAAAGAACTTAAAACATGAACGCTTAAAATGTAAACAAGCGTTACTCATTGCCACACCAAACCACAATATTAAGTCAATACCTGAGCGATATGCCAAAATAATTTATATAGCTATGAAACAGCAAAACACCAGCGCAGTGTGGAAGATATGGTCCAGTTTATTCAGCGGTAATCAAACTAGAAAGCTACAGACAAAATGGTCAAGATGTGTTACCTCCGTTTTCTACAAGTACGGAATCTTTGAAACAACACAATTTTCTTCTCCGAAAAGCCTGTATAAATAATAAAACAATATTATTATAGACAATGTAGTGGTAGTGTTAATAGCACAATGAACAACTCACGTGTAGGGCCGACATTATCAACAGGCGGGAAGTCATCTGTCTGTAAGGACAAAGTTATATATGTAGTGACATTTTATTACACTTGTTCATTATTCTCACGTTGTGCTGACTAACTAACCTAAAGAAGCATTGGTTACATTCGCCAAATCTTTCCTCTATACAGCTCGTAACTTAATTTGAGTTGAATTATGCCAAAGTTGCTTGTTGGCAAACAAAGTGACACCTTATGAGCTTGTTTGATCCAGACATCAACGTTTGAAGCCAAACGACGCCATATTATTACGTCATATTAAAATTCGCAAGGTATTATTAAATAATGTACCCATCAATTGGTTGTCCTATCAATCTCTTTAGAATAAATATACTGATATCGCAATAGTGAGTAAGTGATTGTTTTACTTTTGCATCTAGCAATATTGCAGCCATATTGCGATGAGAATCAAGTTAATGATTATAAACTACATGACGACAAAGGACAGAACAAAGTGAAGCAAATATCATAATATAAATATAAAACAAATCAGGTCAAAATTAAGACGGCAAAATTTAATCGATATCGCAATATCAGTGAACGCAAGCAAAATGATTTTAAGATAGGCAATGTCAGCATCCGTAGTGTGATAGTGTGACTTATACATAGTCATATGGTATTTTTGCATAAAGAAATCAATATTGTAGCATTCACAAACATCGGTGCAATTTATCATGGGTTTAATCTCTGCACTTGTACACAATAGACGTAATTCAAACATAACATATGTATTTTAGTAAATCGGTAAATGTCCAATCGTGTCACTGGATTTTCTGGTCCATCTATCACTTGATTGTCTGGTTTGCTTACAAGGCCGACGCCGCATGGCTGTGGGTTATCAGGCAACAAACACGTATTTTTTATGTAAATTGTGTGAGTGGCGAATGCTAACGCTAGGACAAGACAAGCTTAACCTGATTATTCATGGCGTTGTCGTTGTATATTTGCAATGTGTTTAAGCCTTTCTTGTCACATCAGATGCCATTCCCATATGATACATTGCTTGAAGCGTAGCCCGATAGGATACAGCTAAAGAACATCTTTTATAAGCTCTGTACAGTGATTGAATAATGCTACCAACATGTATGTCTGCTATATGATTTTTACGCCGCTTTTAACAGTATTCCAGTCATATCACGGCGTGTCAGCTTAATGTGGGAGGAAAGCCCGAAGTGATGTAGGTCTCAGACGTTTACCCCTTCGTTGAAACCCACGAGCACGGGTATGGTGCTGACAAGCCTAGAAACATAATCGGGACGAACCGGGATTCGAACCCACAATCATAGGTTTCTGGCGTGCCAAAGGGACGCAACTCTGCACAGCGAATCGCGGCGCCTTAGACGACTTGGCCACCCGTGCCCCCTTTAACAAAATGTAGGGGATAAAGAAATATAAATGTTAACACCAAGAATTAGACCAAGAGAAATGTTGATGACAAACATCCTTTGCAAGAACGTTTATGTCTGAAAGACATAACACCAAAATTCATCCGATTCTTTGCACGTGTCTCACTCAGTAGCGCCATCCACACACGTGCGTAGGATGTCATTCCTAATTTTGACACTTTCAAGGAAGGTCGATTAATCTCTGTGGACCATTATTTGTTTCAATGACATTGATTCTGTTTATCAGACAGGTGTGCTGAAAGCTTACATCAGGCTGCTGGAGTACGAGTTACGGGTCAGGCGATTAGAAATCGTCTTCAAGTAACTCATTTCCATGATCGACGGCCACGTCGAAACTGGGATGGGCGTCACTGGTCATGTGTCATGTTTTCAGATTTATCCCGTTTCACTTTGCACTTCCTTGGTAGGCGTGGTCGTGTCTGACGTCGTCGAAATGAACGTCAAGCCAATGTCAACCTGAGACCTCATTTGAGATTTGGCGGTGGGTCGGTTATGGTGTGGGGTGGCATCACTATGACTGATCGAACCCCACTCCATATTTACAAGAGCCACTGGACAGTACTATCAGGACAACATACTGACGCCATTTGTTGTCCCGTTTGCGTATGGGTCGACTTCAACTTTGGAATTTCCCATCTTTCCCGTATCGTCTTTCAGGTTCGTTGGTGGTCATAACATCTACTGTGATACGTCATTGCCGGTTGTAATGTGTTCCCAGTTTGTTCATTAGTATCATATAACTATTACTAGAAACTAATTTCTCTAACGATTTTAGAAATTTTAAGCTATTTCCGAGTATGTCCCACTTTTATAAGCGTATATAAGGTGAGGTGAAATTGGGTTTAACGTCGCCTCCAAGATTATTGCACTTATATAGCGACGTGCATGCACGTGTGTGTGTGGCTGCTTGTACTAGTCCCGATCCGGACTGATGCCGATTTATAGTGCTAGCTGACTGAGATACCATGCCGCAGTTTAACATGAATACCCCACTCAGACACAGTATACTGACTCCGAGCCGTCCAGTCCTTGTTTTAGCCCCTTAATGCCGAGCGCCAGACAGGGTAACAACAAGTACCATCTTCTTTTGGTATGACGCGGCCGGGGATCGAACCCCGGACCTTTCGCTCTCCGGGCGGACGCTCTACTACTAGACCACGGAGGCGGTCTAAGCGTATATAACATTAATCAAAGCGTCTTAATGGCTAAACACAGTGGAAGCAGTGTTCAAGGACGAACGGGTCCTTTTTTGAGTCAATGTGCCCAGTTCAGTTGAAATAATGTAATCTAAATTCAGTTTGGTCTACGTGTAAACGTCCAAGCAACACCAAAAGCCTCCATTGGTTCTTAATGCCAGAATAGAAGGTATAATAGCAAACAAAGTGGTTTTGGCCTGAATGGTTACTTGTGTATATTCATATAGGGAACTGTTGTGGCAACGTTAACTGTACTGACAACAACTTGAACAACAACCTTATTATTTACAAATGAATACGATATTTAGGCTGAATAGATAGGCGGAGTCCTTGAGTCAGCGAATGTCCTACTTTCACCCGAGTCTGTATTACTGTGACTGTGAAGCATTGAATGTGGACAAGGCCAACCAGCTGGTTGTTACAACTCGTTCTGGTGTTGTTCCTGTGGTAGTCAACATCAAAGCACAAAAGTATGTAACTCAACAGAGTGAGTGAGTGAGTTGGATTTAACGCCGCTTTACGTGGTTTAGTTACATCGCGGCGTGTCAGTTAAGTGTTGGAGGAAAGATAGAGACGTGCAGATCTTAGACGTTTACCACTTAGATGAAACCAACGTGCATGTATGGTGTTGAAAAACCTCGAAACATATCCAGCTGATTCTGGGATTCAAACCCAGGACCATAGGACGCTGGCGCGCTAACATATGGATAGATTGCCATATGCGACTGCCATAACCTTACCCCTTTGTTTATCTACAGATATGGCAATCTGACCCCACGTTCAATCTAACGACAGAAGTAGGGATCATGAGCTTATCTTCATAGAAGAGAGAGATGGTACCTTCGTTTTTCTGAACGTTGTGTAGGGAAGCGCACTTGTTCGCCTGTTTGTAGAGGTCAATTCCCCAACTGAAGTCATGCATCGGGGTAACCATTTGACAGACAGATTCGCATAGGACATCCCTCTGTGGACAAACTGCCTCCCTACAACATGTGTTATCATTTGTTTTAAGTGAGTGAGTGAGTGAATATGGTTTTACGCCTTTGTTAGCAAAATTCCAGCAATATCACGGCGGGGGAACACCAGAAATGGGCTTCACACATTGTACCCATGTCGGGAATCGAAACGGGTCTTCGGCGTGACGAGCGAACGCTTTAACCACTAGGCTACCCGACCGTCTCTTATTTGTTTTGACTTAGTAATGGACAGATAATAATGATAATAATATTAAGAAGAAGAAGAAGAAGAAAACGAAGAAGAAGAAATATATGGATATTTTTACAATCCGCTATGGGTCATGCTTTGTCTCATGCTCAAAGCCCTAATGCCATTATTAATACAGCCAATGGATCAGTGTGCATCGATTTCTTTCTCAGCTCCCTAGGGAGTATACAAACCAAGCTGCCTCTGGGGCGCTTGAAGGTAAACATGACAATCTCAATATCCTATCGGGTACCTCTTCACCGCTTGGTGTACAGACCATACTCACTCACTCACTCACTCACTCACTCATCACTATTTTGCAGTGTGAAGCCCATTTCTGGTGTCTCCCGCCGTGATATTGCTGGAATGTTGCTAAAAGCGGCGTAAAACCATACTCACTCATCACTAATTTGCCGTTATACAGTAGTAGCAGTAACTGTAAATCTGTATAACATCAGTATAAAGCATGGGTATCATATTCTCACTTTTCTCTTCTTCATATGTCTTTATGGCATTTAGCTTTTAAACAACGGTGTTGAATAAACATTTTACCTGGTTGATCACCTTCGCCTCGGAGTACAGTTGCTGTAAGGAACACAAATGACGGGTTATCAGTAATATACATATAAGTTACAGTGGACTAGGTATGAATGATACCCGTGAAGATCCGAGTTAGAATAGGTCTTCAGCAACCCATGCTTGCCCTAAGAGGCGACTAACGGGGTCGGGTGGTCGGGCTCGCTGACTTGGTTCATGCATGTCATCGTAACCCTATTGCGTGGATCGATGCTCATGATGTTAATCACTGGATTGTCTCGTCCAGATTCGATTATTTACAGACCGCCGTCATATAGCTGGAATATTGCTGAGTTCGGCGTTAAACAACAAACAAACAAACAAACAAACAAACAAACTGAAAAGCTGCCTCCAGCTGGACCACGTTGGCTTATGCTGTGTCTCTTGGTCTACCTCTCTCATTCTCTTATTTTCACATTATTCCAAACATGTATTGGAGACAACACAATTAATGCGATTAGTAAAGAATCTAGAAATTGACCACTTACGTCTTTTTTCTAGAAGTGATAGCATGTGGTCCTTCCATGACGGCGAATACAGCTGTACCTGCAGGAACATGTTAATCTCGCGTGGAAACTGTTTCTGGACTGATTTCTCAGACACAAGGGATATAAGGCATTTCTGTTGCCTCTCTATCGCAGTAGTCACCGCAATGTTTATAAGCATGCTGTACAGTTCATCGACACCAGGGATGCTTGCAACTATCACTATCCACTGAGACTTGTGGATCAACTCAGCTGCCCCCTTCATCTGCTGCTGACCAGGACGAACATCCTTGTGACAATCACAGCAGCTGTAGCCAACATCTGTCAACCATTGCCGAACATCTTTCACAGTCCCTGAATCACAATCCCCACTGATGAACACGACATGATAAACATATGGCTTTCTAAGGAACGGTACTTTTCTCCTGTGAAGAGAGATATGTGGTGTAGGTTTCGACAATGGCTTTCGATGAATCTGCACTGTATCGGATCGGCAAATTTCTAAATATCTCTTGTGTGGCATCGTCACATATAAGCAAATACGATGTGGGAGCTCTTGTTAACATTCCTCAAGACTTCGTCTGTTAAATAGGTCTGGTGTCACACCTGGTACTTGACATTTCCGATGACGGTCGTGTTGACATTCTCTGTTATGTATTTTAGCTCTGCAAAAAAGCAGGTAGACGCGCGTACATTTGCAATTCTGTTCATGACGACAGCCACACAAATACCTAAGACGACCTGTATTCGTGTACCAGTATGCAATAGCTGCCCTATGTACTCTTTGTACTTGTTAATACATACACCCCTGCTCTGCCAATAGGTACAGACAGTAAAGCTGTTTCTAGTATACACTTACGTGTTTGTCTATATTGGGATTACTTGTTCTTGTGTTTATTTTTGGTAGAGAGCTCATGTTCATCTTGAACATACCCCATATGAAGGAGAGGTTTTAGTCTGTATTAATGACATATCATAACTTATTAGTTTTCAAGTACATACACCTTTACATAAACAGAGAGGGATAGTTATAGTTGACATTGTGTTGATTTAGATTGTTTGAATCCTTCGTCGCGCAGTTAATAGAAGACCTCAGACTTCTGCAAATGATAATGCCCTGAAAAATAGCGTTACCCTTATAGTGTGTCCACTTTGTGTTCATTTAAGCAGCGCGTTCTCAGTGTGCATTATTTACATACTCCAGATACATTCTGCGAAGGATTTATATCTTCATTCACTGTGAAACGCCTTTGTACTTTATTATAGCTAAAATGGATAGAATTATCATTAAACCGCCCGGATGTTATAATGCCCTCATATTACTTGATGACGGGCCATTATCACGCCCGTTGTTAGGTGACGCCATAGGGTAGGGATAGTGACGTCACGTATAATAGTGACATCATCTGGTTTGTTCTATGACGTTTCCATATTTGTAAAAGTGGGTCAATGACATTCGTGTTGATTGCAGTAAATGTTTCAAAACCGATATTGTTGTTTCTTTTAATTTGCTAACAAATTCCAGATCAAACTCCTTCGTCGGGCAGGTGGTGAACGACCTCGGGCTTCTGCAAATGATAATGCCCTGAAAAATAGCGTTACCCTTATAACAAAACATATTTTTAAAGACAAAAGACACGGTGGATATGACACTTCTAGTTGTTTTTACATATCGTGAGAAGGTGCCTTTGAAGGTAGATTCATTCTCGAAGGGTCCTCACATTGTCACCAATATGACTGAGACGCTATACATGGGTGAACGTGCTGTGGCTATGCCTCTCACACCCGCGTACTGTGGGTAGATCAGTATCAGGCGGGGGGCATGGTTGATTGAACATAGCTAACATTTTGTGATTTGCCGTTCGCTGTTCCTGATAGCTGCATGACCTATTATGTTCGGAACACCGTGTTACATTCAATGTAATGCTAAGATCTTAGGCTATACACTCATGCATCGTTACCGAGAACGAAGGGCAGAGAATACAGTAAGTCATTGTTCTCCCATATTTAATCATTAGTTGGGACACAAAAACACGCATGATAATATTGTATTCATACACTCGTTTATGTAATAATGTGTATGTAATATGGATTGTAGGTATGTACCTTTTTATGTTATATACATTGTAGTATATACGTTTTTTATGTAATATAGATTGTAGGTGTATACGTTTTAATGTAATATAGATTGTGGGTATATACTTTTAAAGTGATATAGATTGGGCATAATGTAAGTGTTTAAATCATGGTACGGACTTTACTGGTCCAGAAGGTGAGGTGAAATGGGGTTTAACGTCGCGTCCAAGATTATTGCACTTATATAGCGACGTGCATGCACGTGTGTGTGTTTGAGTGGCTGCTTGTACTAGTCCGGAATGATGCCGATTTATAGTGCTAGCACACTGAGATGAATACCCCACTCAGACACAGTATACTGACTCCGAGCCGACCAGTCCTTGTTTTAGCCCCTTAATGCCAAGCGCCAGACAGGGTAACAACAAGTATCATCTTTTAACGGCTTTTGGTATGACGCGGCCGGGGATCGAACCCCGGACCTTCCCCTCTCCGGGCGGACGCTCTGCCACTAGACCACGGAGGCGGTCAGTGATCCAGAAACACAACTGTGCCAATGTGTTCGTATGTAGAGCCATTAGCTATCACTAAAATTTGGTGATTGGATATGAGGCGCATTATGAACGTTATTAAATTTCTTTTAAAATCCATATTTTTGGTTATAAGAAATTATTAAGTGTGAGAAATGTATGAAACATCATTAAAATCACTCAGCTTTTATGACGTTTGTCAAGGTGTGTAAATTTACCAGACATTGAAGAATACCCCCACATTCCAAGCGTTATCAACCATTACTAATATGTTCCTTTTCAACGCCAATACCACACACAACTATTCATGTCACAATTAACTATCACTCATATTTTTGTTTTGTTTATTGAAAGTTGTATTTGTCAGTGCTAACTTTGACAACAACATATGTCTGTATTCCTAAGAAACATGATAAAATGGTTCTGGTATATGTAAATATGGAACTAAGGAATACGTCTTGATATGTCACTATGCAAACAGTGATTCATGTTCGTTGACAAACCCGGTCAATCATACCTATTTAATCGCCCCCGTCCCGAGTGTAGGATCAACAGGCTTCTTTACATAGACCGTTAATCCCATGTCAAAGATTTTGACTAAAGTACGACAGACAACGGCCCCATATCATTGAGACTAACATGAATCGTCTAACGTGGTCCTTTGTTGAGGCAACATTTTCATATTCATTCCGCTCATGAATTCCGTTATGGTGAACACATGCATGAAAGATATTGATCAGTTCAAGTTAGAACTCAAGCATTCAGGTGCAGAACATATACACAAGCACCGTCAGCGTAATACCAAGCAACCTTTGTGCCTATTAATAGATAACAACGCCAATATGTAAGATCACCCGCATAAACAAAGACGCTTCACTACAGACACTTGATATTCAGCGACAAGAGCAATACTGCGGCTACATTGTTATGGAAAGACAGTTATGCAGGAGGGGACGGTCCTAGTTGACTGACAACAGCACACGAAAACAGGTGCCCGGGGCTGTTACGGTATGTGTTTTTAACATACAGTCCAGTGTTTTGTAAGTCATAATCAGGAATGATATTCTGTGAATACAAAATGACAGTTATAAGGATATAAGAAATAAGGATATATTGACATGAAAGTTTGTATATGTTTTCAGTTGGACAAACATGTCTGTACACATATTCAAATTGTCACGAGGCTATATATATATGCAGACGACTAATGATACCTCAAGAAAATGTACCGGTAACGTTAAAAGCAAACATAATACTTCTCGTTATAGTAAGCCAACGAAGACGCAACTGAATCAATCCCACACAACGAACATCACATTTCACTGTGGCCTAATCAAGTAAATGTTACACAATTATGTTTGATATATGCCCTTGTTTGACATGCAAGGAAAATAGTGATAGAATAGTGACAGGACTATTTGGAAGTCCATGAATGTTTCTAAATTCCTGCATCTTTTCAAAATCACAAATCACGAATACTAAAATACAAAGGCTTGAATAAATGTTTATTAGGTTTTATCAGTAAAGAAGTACGTGCGTTCCATAACCCCCAAATACAGCTCTGAGGACACGTGTGTTTGTAACCCAATTTAACAGAATAGTAGTTAGGAAACAAACATATTTGTATACAACTCCGCTTAGAAAACGGTGCTGGACATGCCATGTGAATCCCCGTATTTGGATAGATATGCATTACAAGTAAGAGTCGTATATTTGTTTTCAGAACTCGCGATGCAGGGATTGGATTTGGGTGCCGTGCTGCACTTGACAGAGCAAATGACGCCCTTTTTGAAGTTGCTCGATTTTAAGGAAGAGGACATAACTCAGGGCGAATTGAGACCGCACCTTCATGAACTGTCTTCAATACAGACGCCGTCGTCTGAAGCATCGTCGGTTTCCTTGACTTCCTCTTCAAATGCCAGCGGCCCTGAGACGGTGAGGTCCTACCTGGAGCATTCCTGTAACGTAAACTTTGAAGCTATTAACAGTGCCGGAAACACAATCCTACACTGTATCACTTTAGCCCTAACGGAGAAACACAATGACACAACGAACATCGTCTTGCTGGAACTGTTTGACAGAGTGGTCTCATTTTCAGTCTTTTTGAAACCTTTTTTGCATGACTTTCAAAGACACAAACGGGAGTGCATACTTCACTTGACCACTGATATAAAAAATACTAAGGAATTATCTGTTCTTGAGCTGGCTTTCCATCTTGCGGCGTATCCTGTGGTCGAGAGGCTGATGATGATGGAGGAGGTGATGTGCACTGATAAGAAGTACACTTCCGAGGTGTGCACCTTCCTCCGTCAATATGACATCACCAACATAACTCCTCTTACAAATGGTTCCGTGTCGCGCTGCATGACTACCGAGTGTGTGCCCGAGCCTTCCTGCCTTGAAAGGATGTTAACACGTTCGCCTGAATGTGCAGATCGTGTCCTAGACATCCCCCCTGTCAGGGCAATCGAGAAGATGTATAATTCTGTGACCACCAAAATCTATGTCTTCATCACATTGATGCATATAGTGTACATGTCGGTATTCAGCTATGCTAGTTGTGAGGTAATGGCCAGCGACAGAAATGGCACTCGAAGCACAAGCACGTATGATGCGAGACTACTGTTTTACACCACCAGTCTAATTGAACCAACATTGTTTACTTTATATTTTTTGTACGATGCGTATGTATGTTTAACTTGTAAGGCAAGGTGCTGGACCACAATTGATGATGATCCGGATTTAAAGATAGTAGGTGTTTCTTTGATAAGGTCACTGGTATATTTTGTTTATTACATTGTCTTTGTATGCCTAGTTACTGTATTTGTAAGTGAATATGGTCTATATGGCCCAGAGGGATTGAATGACCTGATGTCAGTGACGTTGTTTTACGGTTGGCTGGTAACGTTTGCCTTTGCAAAAGGAATACAAGAAATTCATTTCTTTCTGAGCATAATATTCAAGGATATTCTTTTCGATGTCTTGAAGACCGTTCTAGTATATGTAGTCATTCTCGTTGCTTTTACTCTTGCATTACATTCACAGTTTCTGGTGTCTGGTGACATTGTTAAACTTTACCAAACACCTATCAATACAATGTTCCTACTGTTTAATGTCATGATGGGAATGACGGAAATGTGGGATGGGGACTTGGAGAACCATCTGGAGAAGGCGGGGGCGGCTCCAGTGTTCAGTAAGCTTCTGTACATTGGCTATATAGTTCTTGTTACTATCATGCTGTTGAACCTTCTGATAGCCATGATGAATAAATCCTACTCCCGTTTCGACTTTGAACATCCAGTCGCGTGGAGGGTTGAAGCCATCCAGATGGGAATCAACATTGAGAGATCTTTGCCGTGGTTGTCTAGAATATTGGGTACCCGCCACATTTGCAAAGGTGGCATCTTCGACAAAACGAAGGATGAATGTTCATCGTGGTACATTGAGATACAATATGAAGATGACGAAGATATGGACAGTGATAGTAAACGACCTGACAAGGAAATGACATTGAGACAAATGGGTGAAAAGCTGACCTCAATAGAGAAATCCATTGCAGGTTTGAAACCGGAAACGGAAAGGAAAGACCAATGTACCCAAACCCCGCCTCTCTCAAAAGATAAAGAGATATATTCTCTCAGTCCACGGTTTCGTGTCTCGAATGCTTGGATTTCGGAATCTGGAACAACTAGAACAAACAATTTTGAACTTGTCAGTGATGAGATGATATGTTGAAGAACTCCTCCAGCAATGGTCGATCTCAGCTGCATCAGCTAATTATGATGAGTGAGTGAGTGGGTGAGTGAGTATAGTTTTACGCCGCTTTTATCAATATTCCAGCAATATCACGGAGGGGGACACCAGAAATGGGCTTCACACATTGTACCCATGTCGGGAATCGAACCCGGGTCTTCGGCGTGACGAGCGAACGCTTTAACCACTAGGCTACCCGACCGCCCCCTAATTATGATGACTAAGTATTTGTTATCATAAGTGTGTTTGTTTGTTGTTTAACATCGCATTCGGCAATATTCCAGCTATATGACGGCGGTCTGTAAATAATCGAGTTGGGACCAGACAATCCAGTGATTGACATCATGAGCATCGATCCACGCAATTGGGATCCATGACAGCGAGCCTGACCACCCGATCCCGTTAGTCGCCTCTTACGACAAGCACAGTCGCTACTACTATCTTGTTAATAAGTACATTGTATAATATGTTGCATTAGTTGTCGTTTGTTATGATCCTTTTTGTCTTAAAATATCTGAATGTGGGCATGCAAATATTTAATCCTTTATATTGCTACACAAGATTGGATGTGGATCGGTTGTCCGTTTATGCTGGATACTTTGCTTTAGTTATATTGAGATTGTGATTAGTTTGTTTTCATGGTCAGATCAGAGTCATTCATTCAAACAGGACAATGGTATTGAGCAAATTGATTTTTCTCTTTCATGTGGCATGTGTTTATGTGGTCGAAATGGTATGTTTTTTTACAGTTGTTGAATTCATGGGCGCGTGTGCATGTAAATAAACACATCATACCTTATTTAGCTTTCAATCCTTTTTTTTGTGACTACAAGGTTTCCTTTCTGATTAAAGTCTAAACGTTTTATTAAATGGTTTATCTGCATTAAGTTATTATTACTCGAAGCCTTTTGCCAGGGAAACATATGTTTGTGCATACGAATATAATACTTATATGCACAGATTAAAATGTCTATTCCTTTTCATGTACAAGTCGACACCGCTACACCATGATATGCTTGTGTAGCTTGATGTGGAAGGGGCGATTACAAGGAGTGAGTGAGTATGGTTTTACGCCGTTGTTAGCAATATTCCAGCAATATAACGGCGGGAGACACCAGAAATGGGCTTCACACATTGTACCCATGTCGGGAATCGAACCCGGGTCTTCGGCGTGACGAGCGAACGCTTTAACCACTAGGCTACCCGACCGCCTCCGATCACAAGGAAGCCGGTTTTAAAGATTTTCAGCTGCTGTCAAACCCACGAGCAGACATAGAGGTGAATCTGAGATTAAAACACATAAACAGCGGATCCTGCAAACTAATGGAGGCAACTAATTTAATAGTGAAAGAACGATACGTTGCAGTAAGGCATTTCCGTACAGATCGATGTGTTACTTACAGACCAAAGGCGTCCGACTATATTAAAAGCATGACATTTTGTGTTTATGAACCACGAACCAATAGTAATGATACCAGGTATTCGCGAAAAAAGATGAGCATATCCTGCCCTTCCGGTGGTACCTGTCACAAACACATACAAAGGCAAGTCAAGTTGTCACTGATACGTCAAATTTCGAAATGTCCTTCATATGTCTACCATAAAACGTTTAAGTCTACTGAGGCTAGGGATGTTGTAACCCTGATCTAACAACATTTAAGCAAGAATCGTAAGGTGCTCTTTGAAATCTTCGTTTAAAGAGGGACCGCCTCCCTGGTCTAGTGGTAGAGCGTCCGCCCGGAGAGCGTGAAGGTCCGGGGTTCGATCCCCGGCCGCGTCATACCAAAAGTCGTTAAAAGATGGTACTTGTTGTTACCCTGTCTGGCGCTCGGCATTAAGGGGCTAAAACAAGGACTGGTCGGCTCGGAGTCAGTATACTGTGTCTGAGTGGGGTATTCATGTTAAACTGCGGCATGGTATCTCACTGAGCTAGCACTAAAAATCGGCATCAGTCCGGACTAGTACAAGCAGCCACACAAACACACACACACGTACATGCACGTCGCTATATAAGTGCAATAATCTTGGACGCGACGTTAAACCCCATTTCACCTCACCTCACCTCGGTACAGGAGCATGCTCGACTGAACCTCAAAAGTTGTGAAATGTAGACCCAAACTCTGGAGCTTGCTGTAATATAGCCCTACATATAGGAAAAGGTGACCAATGCAAAGTTGACGTCACCTCTCTTGTCATACAGTCTTATTGAGATTGTCTGTCACTGTGAATCTTTATGATTAGATCTAAATATGAAAAAGATGAGACAGTTTGTCTGGTTTCTTTTATTTCTAGTTCAGGTGGGTAAATCAGTGGATGACGTTTAGATTAGGTTATCTTATATCTTTATAATCTACCGTGCCAGCTCTCGACGTGGCTTGTTCTGGGCCCCACGGTGTTGTGATGATTCCCCATCTGACGACTCCGGTCACCTTCTACCCAGTACTTCCTGACGTACACAGCGATCTAGGTCGTCATCAAGTGGGCTGTCGTCAAACGCACTGTGCCGTGTAGCTTGAATTTGGTGCACTGGAATTAAAGAAAAGGAAGCAGCTCACCAGAAGATTAACTCGCTGATCTCTGGAAAACGCAGTCTTGCGATGCACTGTCCAAAATGAAAAAACCCTTTTAGTTCAGACTTTGTGTAAAGTTAGGGAAGTAAAAAATTGGTTCGTTGTTTTGAAAGTGTAAAGACAGTCTGGACTCTGTATGTGTATTTTAAACATATTTATTTCACAGAATGTGTGAAGCTGGATTGGTAGACAAGTAAAGACTTCTGTCAATACCGCCCCATTTGTCATACAATGTCATCAATCATAATGTACAGTCAAGGGTAAGTAGTAAGATAATTATTTTGCATTAAAACACAGTTGTCGACTCTGAACGCGCTAAAGTGAAACGCTGTAAGCAAAAATGAGTTACATGAGAGATTAAACGATAGTTGCATTTCCACAAAGTTTGGAAATCTGCCAGAGGCTGATATGAAATTATGAACAGATTTTAGTATTTCTAAAATAATCATTGCTGTAACATTTGCATTTCCATAAAGAGTGAGTGAGTTGGGTTTTAATGCCGCCTTTAACAGTATTCCAGTTATTACGCAGCGTGTCAGCTAAATGTGGGAGGAAAGTCCGAAGTGATGCAGGTCTCAGACGTTTACCACTTCTGTGAAACCCACGAGCACGGGTATGGTGCTGACAAACCTAGAAATATAATCGGGGCGAACCGGGATTCGAACCCACAATCATAGGTTTCTGGTGTGCCAAGGGGACGCAACTCTGCACAGCGAATCGCGGAGCCTTAGACGAGTGGGCCACCCGTGTCCCCTTTCCATAAGAATAGAGTTTATATCATAACATTCAGAGTAAAAATACATGGGTTTTTTTTCTTATGCTGATGTAGTTTGTACAGGTAAAGAAATATTGAAGTTCATCTTCATGGTCGTGGCCACAAGAACATACCAATCAAACCATATTTCTGCATATGGTCCTTTTTTCGGCACAGATTTACACTTCAACCTTGGTAGGCGTCATTTGGTTGTAAATTCATTTCTTACACCAGTCATTGAACCAATTTATTTCTACACAAACTTACCCAGCCACAGATTACTTTTTACAAACTGTTGCAGGAGTCATTGTTAAACAGGCATAATCAAATTTAACAACAGTTTTTTCACTTTCAATTACATAAAAATCAAACTCGGTATTCTTTCTTTTGACTCTCAACTCACTCATCATAGGTATTACAGGCATGCGAGTGAGTGAGTGAGTTGGGTTTAACGCCGCTTTTAACAGTATTTTAGTTATATCACGGCGTGTCAGCTTAATGTGGGAGGAAAGCCCGAAGTGATGCAGGTCTTAGACGTTTACCATTTCGGTGAAACCCACGAGCACGGGTATGGTGCTGACAAACCTAGAAACATAATCGGGGCGAACCGGGATTCGAACCCACAATCATAGGTTTCTGGCGTGCCCAAGGGACACAACTCTGCACAGCGAATCGCGGCGCCTTAGACGACTGGGCCACCCATACCCCCTTACAGGCATGCCTTTATATTATCACTGTTGTGCTGAGGCTCCATGGGGTCCCGGGTTAGAATAGGTATCAGCATCTATCGCTGTGGCGATTAAATCGGTTGGTCTAGTACTGTGACTTGGATGATTACGCGTCATCGTACCCGTGCGACGTTGCTTATACACCAAGCCCTGGTTTGCCTGGTACAAACAAGCTCATTTACAGGCCGTAGAGATATAGCTGGGATATTGAAACTGTTCCCCCTTCGTTGTGCTCAGAGTAAGATCTGCAACCGTAGTGGGGCGGGGGTAACCCAGTGGTTAAAGCGTTCACTTGTCACGCCGATGGCCCGAGTTTGATTCCCTACATGGGTACAATGTATGAAGCCCGTTTCTGGTGTCCCCCGCCGTGATATTGCTGGAATATTGCTAAAAGTGACATAAACCCATACTCACTATGAAACTGTAGTACACTGTAGTCAGTCCCCCCCCCCCCCCCCCCCAACCCCCCAGTGATAATGCTTGAAGATTGTTAAAATCGGCGTCAATACATACTCACTCACTCACTCACTCACTCATCTATTTTACTCAGGAAGGGATTTTCTGGTGTCCCCCGCCGTGATGTTGCTGGATTATTGCTAAGAGCGGCGTAAAACCATACTCACTCACTCAGGAAGGGATTTGACTGCGGATCCTCGGTCTGATAAAAGCTTGATTTACACGCAATGATTTCAGTGGAAAATACATACATGTAAATGTACAAAAGTCATATATATTTACGAAGTCAAAATTTGTAGAGACGACATTATCGTGTATCATTTTTCTATGTATTTTAGATGTACAGACTGTAAATATGACTTACAATAAAAAATGTAAAAACGGACATATATTGGGGCAGCGATCCATGTCTTTTGCCTCAGCAATAGCAGTATTTCAGCAACAATAACAACGCGACACATACCTTTCCATATCCATAAGAAATTTCGGCTAAAAGCAGAGTCGGCTGAACGATTCCGACCATATGATGAGCTAGTGTTTATGAATCACCATCAAATAGGTATTTGAATTTTAGGGCTACTTGGATCACTAAAGTTCTGGCTGCGCCCAACACATCACATTGATTTAAACAAGAACAAAATGTGATAATTAATAGCAACTAATCTGCTTGGTCTAGTTAATATGTTAAAACCACAAGTAAACACTATTCTATTTCTGATAATTTACTTACCCATGCCTTAAAAAATCCACACCAAACAAAGTAAGCAAACCTTTAATGCATACTGTAATCTTTAAAGAGTTGTCTCCCATTATTGGTTTCTACAGCGTTGTGGAGATCGGTATTGGGTTATTTCTTCCTTTAAATATAAAACCAGAAAATAAATACCAGTTTCAATTATCCGACGAAACAGATTTCATTGCACGTAAAAGGTAAAATAGCGGTAAAAATTATATGAATGTAAAAATTGTACGAAAATAAGAACTAAATGTGTCGTTTCATTCCGTTTAATTAGGGCTTTAAGGCAGACATTGAGATGGGAGATTTCCAATAAGTATAATCATATATTAGAGAATGATTTCGTTTTGGCACAAACGTGTAAGTAATAATCGACCTGTTATAAAATGTTCAACCCTAATATTGAAATACATAAATTCAATACTAATAACAATAGAAACAACTGGATGGAGTCCATTAAGAGCTTATTAAACAGGTGTGGTCTTTCTGTAGTTTTTAATCAATCGGATTCTGTAAGTCACGGCTGGTTAGTCTCAATTTATTTATCTCTATTTATTAGATCAATTTATTCAAAAATGGAATAGCGATTGAACTACAAGCTCCAAAGCTTGCAACTATAGAATTTACAAAACTAATTTCACATTTGAACAATATCTTCTCTTATCACCAGAAATCTTTACTCCAATTTTAAAATTCAGAACCCTAAATAATAATTTGTCGATTGAAACTGGCCGCTGGGAGGGCATCCGAATATGACACATGTAAGCTTTGTACCTCCCCAGCCATAGCCGACGAGTTCCATTACCTCTTTAGATGTGAATATTTTGACCAGCAAAGAAAAACATTAATTGATAATAGATATCTAAACTGGTCAAACATTATTTCCTTTAAGCATTTGATGTCAAATATGAGAACATACAATCTTAAAAAAATGTCTAAATTTGTAAAAATAATACTCTCTGTACTAAAGTAAACCGCTGTTGCCATTTGGTCACATTGTATTTTTTGTATATATGTATGTTATCATGTTGCTCATATACCACAGGCTGGTGGTTTGAGTTATTAAAGAAATTGAATTGAAATTGAATTGATATATCTGGTATTGATAAACATACATTCTTGCATCTAGGATGTTGTTACCTCGTCGGGATCAAGTCGGGCGTTTGTTCGTCAAACCGACATAGGCAAGAGACCCGTGAAGATCCGGGGTGGAATATGTCTTCAGCAACCCATGCTTGCCACGAAAGGCGACTATGCTTGTCGTAAAAGGCGACTATAAACGATGTCGAGCGGTGAGATTCGCTGACCTGGTTGATGCATGTCATCGTATCCCAATTGGGTGGATCGATGCTCATGGTGTCAATTACTGGATTGTCTGGTCCAGACTCGATGATTTACAGACCGCCCTCATACAGCTGGAATAATGCTGAGTGCGGCGTTAAACAACAAACAAACAAATAAACAACATAGGCAATATGTGTGAAGCCCAAGCTTGGTTTCCCCTGCCATGACATGAATAAAATATTGCTGAAAGATACGTAAGCCGAACTCACTTATCGGAAGTGCGTGCCTGTGTGTGTGCGCGTGCGTGTGCGTGTGCGTGTGAATTTCAATCCTCAGATCCTGTGATCGCGGCATTTACACGTGCATAAATTGCACCGAGTGACGCCACTCGCCAAGCTCACGTTTCTTCAACCAGTGTATAGTTTCCCATCTCTATTGTAAGTCAAAGCACATCTGTGGTGTCTATTGTTTAAACGCTCCATTAGTTTTAGGGAACTGACAGTTGATTGTTCTCTGAGGCTGTTACACGTGCTCCGTCGCGAGCTGATCTTTACAATTGATGGCTCTTTTGAACGTTTTGTCAACGTGTAAGAGAAGAGATGTGTTTTAAGCAGGGGGATAACCTCGTAACTCTCCAGTCTTTAAAAACAATGTGCCTCGACTCCGTTATTTTGAGTGAGTGAGTGAGTATGGTTTTACGCCGCTTTTAGCAATATTCCAGCAATATCACGGCGGGGGACACCAGAAATGGGCTTCACACATTGTACCCATGTCGGGAATCGAACCCGGGTCTTCGGCGTGACGAGCGAACGCTTTAATCACTAGGCTACCCGACCGCCCCCATTATTTTGAAGGAATTGAAAGTTCCTCCGACATTCCCCTCAACACAACATATTCACCATCGACATATGCATTCAATACATTAAACATTGGTCACTCAACAGGTCAAGCGTCCACCACCAAAAAATATTTGTATTTTTTAATAGGTGATGAAGATGAAAAGAAGTTAGTGACAAATAAGATGCTTTATGCAGCAGTCATCAAAAGTATATAATCGAGGATGGTCCTGGTAAAATCATGACCAGTGGTTGATAGTAGGAGCAACGATTGGAGTACGATGATGACACACAGTCTTCCAGTCACACTTTGTGGTTCCTCCGTGGTCTAATGGTAGAGCGTCCGCCCGGAGAGCGGAAGGTCCGGGGTTCGATCCACGGCCGCGTCATACCAAAAGACGTTAAAAGATGGTACTTGTTGTTACCCTGTCTGGCGCTCGGCATTAAGGGGCTAAAACAAGGACTGGTCGGCTCGGAGTCAGTAAACTGTGTCTGAGTGGGGTATTCATGTTAAACTGCGGCATGGTATCTCAGTGTGCTAGCACTATTAATCGGCATCAGTCCGGACTAGTACAAGCAGCCACACATACACGTGCATGCACGTCGCTTTAAAAGTGCAATAATCTTGGACGCGACGTTAAACCCCATTTCACCCATCGTTAGGCGGCTCTCAGACAAACGGGGAACTGCTATTCATCGACATCCCCACAGGTGTTTAAACAACTTGGTATGAGTGACATATCAAATAACGCCATGTGTGGCGTCCCTTAGGCATGCCCGGAACCTATGACTGTGGGTTCGAATCCCGATTCGCCCCGATTATGTTTCTAGGTTTGTCAGCACCATGCCCGTGCTCGTGGGTTTCACCGAAGTGGTAAACGTCTGAGACCTGCATCACGTCAGGCTTTCCTCCCACATTAAGCTGACACGCGTGATATAACTGGAAAACTGTTAAAAGCGGCGTTAAACCCAACTCACTCACTCACTCTTTTGTACTGGACTCCAAATCTCCATAGAAATCGGTACAAAGACAAATATATTTCTGGGTCCAGCAAATGTATTACCAAATCTCTGTCTCCAAGATTAACCATAATCCTTAGTGCAATCATGGAAGGATTATATTTATATTCACTGAAATTATTGAGACAAGAGGAATTAATACCACGCGAATTCTCAAAAACCCAAAGGATTTGCTTGAAGTTTTGCAATCACAGAACAGGACCTAGTTCAATTATATCAAAACATTTCATTTTTCAACTTTGTACACCACTATCCCACACGACGATCATAACTTGATCCGTGGGGCGTCACTAAAGTGATGATTATTGCTTTAAGGGAAACAAAACTCCAAGTTTGAAAGTATTGAAATAGGGATGGGCTTTTTCTTCGCGGATTCAAAATTTGCTTATTATGGACTATAATTACGACTGGTTTGACTCGTGTGCGGCGCTATTCTCGCTGCGCTGCGAGAAGCGACACCTGTCGCATTGAAGCTATATATCATAACAAAGGTATACAAATAAAAAGAGCTGCAGCCAAACTGACATGTGTTTTGTTGTTGATTAATGCATGTACGACTTGAAAGGGTGAAGCTATCGGTCAACATCATATTATGCAGAACAAGAAAACACATAGTTTTTACCCGAGTATTACCCGAATATTACCCGAATTCTCTGAAGGGATACTAACAGGTGACAACAACCTTGATCAATAAAAATGTAAATTTCAGATAGCATCAGAAATCGTGCACTTAGTCAAGGCTTTAAGACAAGTATACTCTAAAAAAAAGTAGGAATTCATGAAGTGTGAATTTTTATATCAAGTTTTAGAACAGATATAAGTGTTGACGACAATCATCGTATGCAAGACCGTTTCTGGCTGTAAAACGTAACATGAAAACACATCCAATAATCTGCACGTGCCGCACGCTGTGGTGCCAACACACACGTATGATGTGATACCTGATTTTGACGCTTTCAAAGAAGGTCGATTAATCGACAATTATTTCAAACTAATTGATTCTGCCTATCATATGAATGGCTGAACTTGGCCAGGTGATGCAAGCAGACTGGGAAAGACTCCCTCAAATCGACGCTGGGGTGCTCCTACGCAGTATGCCTCGTCGAATGAATGAATGTTTGACAAATCCTTCCGGTATTACGCACTGCTGATCTCAAAAAGTCAACTTTGCAATTTTCCATCATGACCCTATTGTCGTTGGCTGTCATAACATCCACTGACATATCTCACTCCCGGTTGTAATGTGTTCCCAATTCGTGCGTTATTATCATACAACTATTACTAGAAACTTATGTCTCTTACAGATTTGGAAATTTTGAGTCTCCCCTTTAATATATAAAAATGACATATCATGAGTTCTTGACACCAACGTCGTTATGTTTCTTTGACATAACATGCGTATGAATGAGATGATAATCATTATCTTGGAGAATCTGAGATTAGAAAGGAGGGCCATCGGATTCTGGCACGACAAAGGGGCGCAACCCTGATATACAATCTCTCTCTACAAGTTAAAACAGTGTTACAGAGCTAACATTCATGAATGCACGTTTCGACTTTATGGAGACTGTCGGGGTAAAAATTCCAATTTACCTGGTGAGCCGTTATAAAGCACTGAATTCTGAAAACATGGCATGTATCTTTCGTTGAACATTGTAAAGTTATTTCTTATTAAATTGTTCATTTCATATAGCAACAGTCACTGTGTATAAAATAATATTCTTGAAATATTATTTCACAAAGGTTTAAATGTATTTGACGCAAACATAATCGAATTTAGTGCAGATTGTGCATGCGTTTTAAATAATAATTAACATTGTTCTCGGATGACCGAATCGCAAAACGACATCGCACAAACACAGCCAAGGGATATAACTCTCTACATCCTGTAAGTTCAACAGGAAGTTGATAGCACGGTCTAATTTGCGGGGAATCGAATATAGTACAGTTTTAGCGTGAGCAGAACGAATGTTGCAAACGGTATGAACGATACAAATATGTATCTTTTTTCTATATTCACAAGTGTATCAAAATTTGAAGTTTTTGTAGCGGTGATAAGGGTACATTTCCTGACATGGCCTTCCAAGGGCCAACGTGCCTCGCCGCGTCTGTGCCCTCTTTCTAAAAGCGCAGACAAGGGCCTCGCAGTGCACATGGAGCGAGATGAAATGGAGGGGTCGATAATGTTACACAAATTACATAGTTTTATTTGGTAAATACAATTTAGAACACCCTTCATTCATGCAGTTCGTTATTTGCTAACTGTTTCGTGATATCTGATGTTTTATTCACACGACCATGAGGCATGTCGTTTCAAAATGAAAATAAGACGCATGGCTTGGCGTTAGTTTCGTACCCAAAGCTATTCGTAAACTGATTGTTTTGAAATTTCGTTCATGGATTGATAGGTGTGATTGCATCTTCACCAAGTCAGGACGCCAATCATCGTTATTTCCTTTGCCAATTAAATCATAATTTGACTATGACGAAGCACATTTTGTGTTCCAATTTCCAAATTTCAATCTTTCTTAATCTTATCCTTATCTGAAAGACCTTTACTGTAGGCAGGTTACAGAAACTGTTCTAATGCTTGTGCTTTGTAAATGAGAAGTATGAACAGGTATTTATCGAGTATTTTCATCTTATTACTAATGCCTGCCCAATGTTAATTTTGTAGCCTTTTTTTTCATTAATTCAGATGTATTTTCGTATTATCAAAGCCCCTTTCTCTATTTGTTTTGTTTTCTGACCTTGAACAAAACTGAAATACAAATTACAGTTTCAAAAGCAGAACATAATAACTTGATTTGATTATTTCAGACATTTTTGTTCTAGTTTGGATTTTGTAGTAATTTTTGCACAGCATATCTGCATCTCAGAATGCCAAGATATATCTGTTTGATGTGTGTCTATTTAGGAAAGTAATCTCATGATTTATTGACTGTCTTCTTATTTGCTTTAATCTGGGACGATTACAGTGCACTATCTGCTTTGTCTTTTAAACTGGTCTTTCAATTTAACAAGAAATCCTCGTATGAAAAAAGATATGCACTTCATTAATTCAGATGTATTTTCTGTATTATCAAAGCCCCTTTCTCTATTTGTTTTGTTTTCTGACCTTGAACAAAACTGAAATACAAATTACAGTTTCAAAAGCAGAACATAATAACTTGATTTGATTATTTCAGACATTTTTGTTCTAGTTTGGATTTTGTAGTAATTTTTGCACAGCATATCTGCATCTCAGAATGCCAAGATATATCTGTTTGATGTGTGTCTATTTAGGAAAGTATTCTCATGATTTATTGACTGTCTTCTTATTTGCTTTAATCTGGGACGATTACAGTGCACTATCTGCTTTGTCTTTTAAACTGGTCTTTCAATTTAACAAGAAATCCTAGTATGAAAAAAGATATGCACTTCATTAATTCAGATGTATTTTCCGTATTATCAAAGCCCCTTTCTCTATTTGTTTTGTTTTCTGACCTTGAACAAAACTGAAATACAAATTACAGTTTCAAAAGCAGAACATAATAACTTGATTTGATCATTTCCGACATTTTTATTCTAGTTTAGATTTTGTAGTAATTTTTGCACAGCATATCTGCATCTCAGAATGCCAAGATATATCTGTTTGATGTGTGTCTATTTAGGAAAGTAATCTCATGATTTATTGACTGTCTTCTTATTTGCTTTAATCTGGGACGATTACAGTGCACTATCTGCTTTGTCTTTTAAACTGGTCTTTCAATTTAACAAGAAATCCTAGTATGAAAAAAGATATGCACTTCATTAATTCAGATGTATTTTCCGTATTATCAAAGCCCCTTTCTCTATTTGTTTTGTTTTCTGACCTTGAACAAAACTGAAATACAAATTACAGTTTCAAAAGCAGAACATAATAACTTGATTTGATCATTTCCGACATTTTTATTCTAGTTTAGATTTTGTAGTAATTTTTGCACAGCATATCTGCATCTCAGAATGCCAAGATATATCTGTTTGATGTGTGTCTATTTAGGAAAGTAATCTAATGATTTATTGACTGTCTTCTTATTTGCTTTAATCTGGGACGATTACAGTGCACTATCTGCTTTGTCTTTTAAACTGGTCTTTCAATTTAACAAGAAATCCTAGTATGAAAAAAGAAATGCACTTATAATTCTAGTTCAGGTATTTTTTTCATTATGACATTAAAACTTTTAAAAACGTACAGTTTTTTTATATACCCAGTGATATTTTTCACAGATGTAATAGTGTGAGCAAAGGTTGCTCATATAATTTAAAATACCTAGAATTGTTGATTGTGTAAACTTGATTACATATTACGCCATGATACCACTAAAGGATAATCATTTATTTTTTTCAGACTCACATGTGATGATGATCTTTGTTCAGTGTTTTGTCAACATTTGCTTGTGTATAAGAGTGTTAATAGTATCCGCTTATGGATTTTCGGACTCTTAAGAAACATTTGTAATTTTGGTGCAAATCAAATGAACAACTAAACATCTCACTTACCTATATAACATACAACTTTATCTGAAACATGAAAAACAGGCCATCATCAGAGTATTTGTATTGTCTGTGTTTCGCGCATCACACACCGAAGTCTGGCAGTTGCACAGTCCTACATTTCCATGATGTCATACATTTTCGGATGCTTAACAGACATAGACAATAGGCTGAAGACATTTCAGTCAATGTATGGTGGTCATGTAGGGTCATAATGTCCAGGAAATGAAAGAGTTAGATCCAAGAAAAGTTTAAATTATGTTAATGTGGAAGACAAGTTCTTACATATTTACAGTGGGATACAGTCACTTTTGGGCAATTTTAATCTTTCTCATTGTGGCATGGACAACTGTGGGGTGTGGCTCACTCCCAACGTTAAGGGTTCAGGTTGTCAGCAGCAATTATGGGTGATACTTTCTTGGAATCCTTTGCTTTTTACTGTGGTTGTAGGGAATGTACTTTCTGATGATTCTGTATGTCAAGTAATGAAAGCATCTCCTGCAGCGTTAGAAATTGGCACTAGTCCTGTAGTCCTTGCCAAACTGCCCACTAGTTAAGATATCATAAGGACTAGTAGAGATTTGCGATCTTTAAGGGTTTTGCTGTGTGTTATCATTATAAGGACTACTAGACTAAAAGTGTTAGTTTCTACCTCTGTCCTGTACCAGTAATTACTTTCCTGCCAACAATAGCACTGAGTACATTTCGTTTGATTTGGGGTTGTGGTTTCGTGAATGGTGACCTGTTTATTTCTTCAAAGAACACATCCGTAGTTTAAATGTTGTTGCAACAGCATCCTTTACTACATCTTCTGTTTGGTCATCAATGGCTGTCTCTTCAGCTCCCACAAGAAATTTTGCTTGGTTGAAGGGATATATGCCACTTTTCCAAAAAGAAAACTAAGTTTATGTTGAAAGTGCAGTTAGGTATGCCTTGGAGCCCAAATCAAATAACAATACCTGTTGACACCTGTGGTTGCATTCTCAAACATGTAATTGTGACGCAGGTTGTTGTAGATTTTCTGAAATGGGTCAAGGCACACAACATTCATCGACTGGAGAAGGTGATGTGTGAGCTGGCATTACAAACAAGACATTTCTTTCTTTGGCCCATCTAATCAAAGCAACACATCTTCCCAAGCCATCATCTGAGTATTTACAATTTGTGTGTGATGCCACACCCCTCGTCATAGTGCAAGTGTTCGTGATAGAAAACATATGATCATCAGATGTATGAAAACCTGTGTTCCTACGATAATTGTATTGTGTCATGAATAATAGTAAAGGCATATATGATGCTCAAAGCTCTGATTGAAAACAGGACAATATGTGTACTGTACATTCTCTCGATTGACACGTAACTTTATCATGTTTATGAGAGCATTTCATTGGTCATTAAAATCAATACCGTAAGTGGGAATAATCCTTACTATTTACTTTTTAATCATGAAATTATGACACGTGTGACCCCTTTCTTAGCATTTCTTTCGGTCAAATGTCCGACAACTTAAACCATCGGTCAAATTGAAATTTTAATGGTCTATGACTGGTGACCGATGGCCATCTGGAACCCTGTTTTATGCGTCATGACTTAGGTTTTATTCTACTGCTATATCACGTGACTTTCATTGACTCGGAAGAAGTGTGCAGCTTTTTGCTTGGAAGCTGGGGATGAGGGATTTATTTTGCCTCTCTGAAGTCCACGTGCAGCCTGTCTTGCTCGTTGCGGGGTATAAGGGATTTAGTCACCTGCTGAGAAATTTATTTCCCTCCAAGGCGGCATATATTATCAAGATCATGTGGACCAATCGGATATCATCATTCTGACAAAGAAGAATGTTATGGTTATGGCTTGGAGAAATGACCTGTATTTCACTGACCAATATTTCACTGACCAATAAGAGGAAGAGTCTTAAGTTTTAGTTTGACATTGTTGCTGTGAATGTAATTTTAACTTCTGAAAATAAGAACTTTACAAAAGTCCCAAATTTGAGTAAAGTAACTATTTTTCCCCAGTTTGCCTGCTGAGGGCACTTAGGAATCCTAGATAAGTGATTTGCTTGGATACAAGATGAAGGAAAACTGTTAAGGGTATTTATGGATACACAATTAATAGTTGCATACAACTCTCTACTGGTACCAGCTGGTACATTGTTACACAATTTATGTCTCCCCAGTTGTCTAAACTACCATACCATTTACACTGAGTTTGATAACAATAGCAATTATCCCAGTACTTTGCCCATATCCCTGATGGTTCATTCTGACTCAACCACTGATAGACAAGGGCATTTATACTGGGCCGTGGCACAATGAATTTCAAATCAAGGCAATTTGAATAGCTGACATGAAATTACTCGAATATTGCTAAAAGCAGCGAAAAACCATACTCACTTAACACATCTTTATTTGCTGATCAACATTTTGTCTGGGCTAGAAGGCTAGTGATAATTTCGATCCATGTGTGTGAAGCTCAGGTTTTTTCCCCCCACAACTGTGATATGGCTGGAATATTGCTGCATGCAGCCTAAACACTACTCGTTCACCCCCAGCTTTAATATTGAAGGGGAGCCAGTTAATAGGGATTTTTGGTGATAACTAGTCAATGTTATCTGTTCATTCCAGGTTCTGATCAGGCACATCACGAATCATGGACTCTAATACTCAGTATCAGTATGGGACCATGGACACAGGAGAGACAGACAGCAAGAAACAGAAAATGGATGCGAATACCTGGAGCACAGCTGGATCTTATCCAGTACCACCACCCTACCCTTATGCTACTCAGAACACCAACACCAATACCAACACAAATACCAATACCAACACCGGTTACACCGCCCCCTCCACCACCAGCTGGAGCACAGGCTACGGAGGGGCACAGCAGCAAGCAGGGGCGGATTCTTATGGCTGGGGCAGTTATGCTGGCTATGGACAAGGATGGGGGACAGGACAAACTGGAACGAACAGTTGGGGAGGGGCAACTACTGGGCAGGAACAGGGGACTGGGTACGGGGTGGATCCTAACCAGTACAGTCAATCCAGCTACAGTGGAGGATGGGGACAAGGCTATAACTACAGCACTTCTACAGGCGTAGACTCCAATTATGGCTATGGGGACAACTCTGGCTATTATCGAGGAAACTGGAGAGGAGGTCAGAATAAAGGCACAGGGTTCAATCAGAGAGGTGGCTATGGTCAGAATCAGGGATATAGAAGTAACTATGGTCAAACAGCAAGTGGGGATACAACCTTTGGAAATAATGAGACTGCTCCACCACAAACAGGAAACGGAAATATCCAGAAGCCTTTTGGAAACGGAAATCCTGTTCAGGAACCGGCTCCTGCTGCACCAGTTCCTGCTGTAAGCCAGCCCACAGAAAATGTACCGAGTCAGCCAACACCTGCTGCAGACACAGCCCCAGTTTCAAATGAAGGGAAAACTCTCTTGGGGACTCCAGCTACTAGACCAAACCATGGCTATAGTGGTCCTGCTCCAGACATGATGGGGATGCCGTTTGGTAATCAGAAACATTTCCCAGGCATGAGAGGGGGATTTTTTGGTCAGGGAGCTTTTGGAGGATTCCGATTCGGAGATGGGCCGAGACCACGTGGTGGTGGCGGTGGCGGTTTTGGTGGTGGCGGTTTTGGCGGTGGCTTTGATTGGTACAGGAACAGAGGAGGTCCTGGAGGAGGTTTTGGCCGTGGAAGAGGAATGGGTATGCAGAAGCGGAGATGGGAGAATCCTCATCCATCAGAAATGGATAAAACTCCAATACCTGAAAAACTTGAAAAAATGATCAAGTATGTAAAATTACAGAATTGTATTAATGATGATGTTATACATGTCATTGATCGTTCTGCTGATAATTGCAAGCATGGTCTGAGGGTAGAATACAGAAATGACGTGAAGGTGAGAGTAGATGGAGTTGATAAGATATCAGGAAGATTGTTTTTAAGTTCGGTCTTCCTTGCAAGAAGCATTGGTCTCAGGAAAAGGGAAGTGAAGGAAGACTGCTACAAGCAAGCTATTGAAATCCTCACAACCAAAACAGTTGAGGAAATCATGGAGTTAGAAGATGTTGGTCCAGAGGCAACAGAAAAACAACTGCTGGATGAATATGAAAAGAAGAAAGCAGAGGTGCAGGCAGAAAATGTGAAACTCAATGAAGGAATTACATTGAAGTCCCGTGAAGAGAAACTAGTCCAGCTGATCGAATATCTGAAGAGTGGCAAGAAAACCCCTCACAATGTATTTGTCGAGTTGGACGATGCTCTCATAAATTCAGAGTGTGGACTCTGTCGCACATATTCCGATGAAGAATTTTCATTGCCAGGTGGGGAAGTGTGGTATCGAGGAGCCTATACTATCAATGACACCTTGATTGGTGGCGCTTCAGGAAAATCAAAAGAAGTTGCGAAGCAGTTGACATACGAAAGGTCAATTAACATCTTGAGAAGAGCTCCGCTTAATGTCATCCTGGCAGGAAGCACACAGGATGAACTGGATCCCAAGCTTCCGTCTTGTCCAGCTTTTCATGCACTTGGAAACGAACATATTCCATTACCAGATGACGGTACTGAAGAGAAGCTGGCCTATCTGATCAGCGATGTTATGGACTTTCCTAAAGGAACACCCCTAAGTTCGGAGATCGACAATGCTGCACGAGAGTATGGCCTGACTGTCACAAATGTCTACAAACGAGGTCCCTCGGACCACACCAGATCAAGCATGTCATGTGAAGTTTACCTGGATAACATTTTCATCGCTGAAGGTGAAGGGTTCAGAAGATTGGAGGCTGAGGAAGTTGCATATGAGAACACCTATAAGGTTCTGTGCACCACCTCATCAGATGTTCTTTACAGCGATTCCAGAAGATTGATTCACACTGAATTGATGAATATGCCACTGGTGTCTGAGGTGTGGATCAAGGGGTTCTACAAGATGATGCATTGGTCAAACTGGTCCAAAGTAAGAAACCTGAAGAAGGCCATCCTCGTCAAGGGGGATCCAGACTACACTGAGATTAAAAGGCCAAGCGAAGACATCATTCTCTTCGAGAATCAAAAGGCAGGATTTGACCGATTTGGAAGGGCGTATGACATCTTGCAGCTGAGTGCTACCAATAATTTCATGCTGCTCCAAGGGAAAACCACAAACTATGGCGACTTGTACAGGTATTTCTTGATTTCATTGTGATAGAGCTAAAGGTCTTAACTTGAAGCTGTATACATCATCCTTAATAACCTCAGCTTATACAAGCTCTCATATGGTATCTGAGTAAGGATACTGCAGGGGTCGACACCATTGTTCATATCCAACTTGTCCTCAGCTCATTTGGGATTATTGGTTTTGTAAAATAACTAGATTTGGGGATAAAACAACTTGTCCCTCTGGATTTTAACTAGTCTTGGACCAGCAGACTACTGGCTGTGTCTTTCCCTGAACTTTGTTGTGATAGGTTGCTCTTATTTTGGCACATGTTGGAAAAAATTGATTTACTGATGAAGATGAAATAGACATGACATTGTGTTGAGCTGGTTTTAGTGTTTCGCTAGTGTAAATAATTCTTTCAATTTCAGATGCCAGCTGTTCTTGGAGGGGGAACTGAGGTCTGAAGCAGTCTCAATGCACAATCTTGATGCCACCAACCGTGCTTCTGTCAAGCTGCTCTTCAAGTTGTACTTGACTCAGATGACTATCAAGGTAAACTTTGTGTCTATTACCAGACTGTTACCATGTTATCATGGTTACATTAGCAATAATGATGACTAACAATATGTCTCCATGGAACTATTAATGCATTGTTGTCCTGGTACATCTTTGACAAAAACGTCAAAAGTATCCGTCCATCTGGCATGTCTAGTTGAGCATCATCATGTTAAATATGAGGCTTCATTGGAGTGCCGATGAAGTACCTGGAGCAGTGAAGGGCGTATACTTAAAAATCATGTGTTTTTGAAACAGTGTTTATGATTTGAAGCCTGTTATAAGAACCACTTTTACGCACTGGAAGTGGACAAGCACCTGGTAAATGTTAAACATGTGAACAAGTTTGATGAATATTTGATTCACAAAACAAACCAGGAGCTTTGGGAATTGAGCTTTCGACCTCAATGAATAGGAACAGGTACACTTTCCTATATACCACTATTCTCTGGCTCATGGTGAAATGATGCTCAGAGAGTTCATAAATGGTTCAAATGTATTCTTCTTGGTACATTTAAGTTAAAGGGCACACCTAAATCTCCTTCAGTGCTCTCTGGCATGTTTTGAACAGCTGGAAAAAGAAAACCATTTTATTTCTGATTTTCATGTGATTTGTCTTTCCCAGTTGGCCTTTTTGCCTAAGCTTTATGTGTTCAGTCAGAGGATGTGACTTGTTCGGTAATGATCAATGACAAAACATCACAACTTTAAACATGTTTATACAGTGGAATCTGTCTAAACCGGATTTGCGTGGGACCAGGATTTAAGCCTGGTTTAAAAAGCAGTCCAGATGGGACATTACCCTGCCTAACCTTAAAAGATGGTATTTGTTGTTACCCTGCCATGTCTGAGTGGGGTATCCATGTTTAATTGTGGCATGGTATCTCAGTGGGCTAGCAGTATAAACATGATAAAACCTTCATTAACCCCGTTTCACCTCACCTCACTAGTTGAGGTAGGGCAAGGGTGGCCCAGTTGTCTAAGGCGCTGTCATTCTCTGTTCAGAGTTGCATCTCTTGGGCACACCAGAAACCTATGCTTGTGGGTTCGAATCCCGGTTCGTCTTGATTATATTTCTAGGTTTGTCAGCACCATACCTGTGCTCATGGGTTTCACCAAAGTGGAAAATGTCTGAGACCTGCCTCACGTCAGACTTTCCTCCCACATCAAGCTGACACGTCGTGATATAACTGGAATACTGTTAAAAGTGGCGTTAAACCCAACTCACTGACTCACTCACTCACCAGACAAGACAGTAATTCTGATTCTAGCAAAGAGTTACACCCCTTGGTTTCTCACGGGAAATGAAGAGTCAAGATCGAAGACGTACATGTACAATAATACCTACATGATATACCTTGGAGAGGCCGACCCGACCATATGAACAACAAAGTCAGCGTTTCAGGTATAGCTGATAAATTTACATCTCTGGCAATGTTTTGAAACCCAGGCAACACCAGCAAAGCATGATTGTCCAATCTTATCATTTGAAGACAAACTTCAAATCCAAGCCGTGTTATTGCTTCGTGAAAGAACAGCAGACATGGCTGGTAATATATGGTTTGTTTCTGCTGAGCCGAGGCAATGCTCAGCGTCAATCTAAATGGCAGGGCATGGAGTCATCCCATAAATGACATCCTTACCTTGTCAGCTTGCTGGTGAGATAACCTCTTTGGTCATGTGGACAAGGTGTCCGACCTGAGATCAGAAGGTCCATTGTTCGAATCCTATCATGGGACTCAGAAAGTTTATGTCCGCTTCATTGGCGACCAATGTGGGATTGAGCACGTTCACATTAAATTTGAGCATAATAAGACTCAGTACCCTACTATTCAGCTTGGGATGTGCCTGCTGTTGACTGCAGAGTATTTAGCAGGGCATGGAGTCATCCTACGGTTGACATCCTTACCTTGCCAGCTTACTGGCAGGGTTAACCCCTTTGGTCATGTGGACAAGGCGTCCGACCTTAGATCAGAAGGTCCATGGTTTGAATCCCATTTTATGGCCACTCCCTTGAAAGCACATTATTTGTTGATAACAGCTGACTGGACATGAGAGTTAGATACGTTAGAACTCATTCCAGATAGGGAGCATCAATTACATAATAAATTGGTCCTTGTCGCACGGTTTGGAATCCAGAATGACGGGGGTCCGGCTTAGACAGATTTTACTTTATAAATTGAATGCAGTAATTTCAGGACTGTAAATGTGGTCCCCTATTGACAGAGATTTTGATTAGTTAAGATCAGGAAGTTATGCCAAATAAATAGGTCAAAATTATTTAAATGATGAGATATATTCTCGGGATGGAAGGCAATACGATACATATCACGATAGTAAGTGTCATGATATGAGACATATATGGCATAATCATGATAATATAGGGGAATTGTCCCAACCCTAATATTTTCTAATGACCTATTAACTAAGTAGAGCCATCTATTGACGTGAATAGGGTGTATGTGGTGCACCATTAGTTAGCTCGATCTCACATAATTATTGTACTGATTGACATATATCAATTATTTATTTTAGAACTTTTAGATTCTTAATGCTATCAGAATTCTTATAAATGATGTTCTTGGCACCGTTCCACAAAGCAGTCTTAGCACTATGATGATTGTAACTCCCATATTTCAACATAGACTTATGCCAATCGTAGTGCTAAAATAGCTTCGTGGAACGGCGTCCTGAAAGTACATGAATATCATAATTAACATGCATTTAATGAATATTATGATTATATGCATTTTGATATGACCTTTACACAGATGTACTGATTGATCATTGTATGCCGAGATTTGTTTTCCGGTAACAATCACATGATCAGGGATTTCATAATGAAGTACCTACCAACATACTTTAGTAGCTTATCTACCTTGAAAATTGATTCTAAAAGAAGTACTGTAAATCGAGAAAGTTTTGCGAGCAGGAAATACTGCGAAAACTGTGAGCGACACACAATCGCAATAGTTTCATGATGTAGTTGATCAACAACAAACGAAAGACGTAAAGAGGAATATTTCTTTAATTCACTATGATCACACATTGTCTACCAGCCAGTACATGATTAAATACATATCCTAACATCCTGTGTTTCCCTAACTACACATTGTCACTCAGTTTCAACAGTCTAATTAGTTCACTAACTTGCTGCCCCGGGAACATCTGGGTAGAGAATAGGTCTTCAGCAACTCATTCTTGCCGTAACAGACGACTATTTTTGCTGAAAGAGGTGCCTAACAGAATCAGGTGGTCAGGCTCGCTGACTTGGTTGATGCATGTCATTAGCCTTTATCGATGCTCATGACATCAATCACTGGATTGTCTGGTCCGGACTTGATTATTTACAAACTGCCGTCATATAGTTTAACAATCTCTGACTGACAGTTACTATTTCATCATGCTGCTTACTACCTATTAACTATAACACCTGCAAAAGTAGCTTTGATCTTAGGTAATCTCATCAACAGGGTGTCACAAAACTTTCCAGACACAGTTAGGGCTATTGTCAGCCACTCCAGTAATTTCATGGCGCTGAACTTTCCATATTTACTGTATGTATGTTTGTCAACTCACAACACAGTGTTCTGCCCTGAAATTGTAAAACTGGGGGCAATAAAAGTGCCAGAGGAGGGTCCAGGAGTTTGAAAAGTGAGGGTGCACCTAGTGCCGAAGTCACAAACTGACTTAGATAGAGGCCCATTTAACATGGCAGGTGTCTGGAAAGAAAAATGTGTGTGTGAATCACCTGCATCACTTGTCTCGACTGTACTGGTGGGGTAGCCTAGTGGTTAAAGCATTCTCTTGTCACGCCGAAGACCCAGGTTTGATTCCCACATGGGAACAATGTGTGAAGTCCATTTCTGGTGTCCCTCGCCGTGATATTGCTGGAATATTGCTAAAAGTAGTGAAAAACCATACTCACTCACTTGTCTGGATCCGCCAGTGAGTGGGGTATTTGCCAGACCATGCCGACCATGGGGTTCCTGACATCAGTGATGAAAAAAGACTGATGACTTTGGCAAATGATTTAAGTATATCCTTTACCTTCATTGAAACAAGTTCAAATTGAATCAAATACTGTCAGGGCAGTTGTCTAGGCAGCTGTGTTTCGCTGTGCAGAGTCACGTCCCTTGGGCACGCCAGAAACCTATGATTGTGGGTTCACATCCTGGTTCGCCCTGATGATGTTTCTAGGTTTGTCAGCACCATACCTGTTCTCATGGGTTTCACCGAAGTGGTTAACGTCTGAAACCTGCATCACTTCAGGGTTTCCTCCCACATTAAGCTGAAACGTCGTGATATAACTGGAATACTGTTCAGATCAGCGTTAAACCCAACACACTCACTCACTCACTCACTCAAATACTTTTGACAACCATATAATATTATCACCAGTGTTACAAATTGGCACTAGTCCTGTAGTTGTGCCAGAGTGCCCAGTAGTAAAGATATCATAACGCCATTATTCGTTGTTATCACACTGTTTAACTTTGAAAATAAATGATAATTTCAACTGTAATTAAATCATCAGTCTTCTAAGAATGTTCTTCTTCCTGTCACTAAGAAGCCTTTGCTCTGTTAATCTGTTATGTTATCGTCCTCAGACCAATTAGCAAAATTTGAAAAAAGAATATAGGCTTTTCAGTTGATGGTGTTCAGCTAGGTAAGGATAAGATTTATGGATGAATAACTTCTATATTACAAGAAATTGTTCATCCATAAATCTTATCCTCACTAGGGATTGACTTTGGCTGTGATTCCGCGATATTCTCTTTGGATTCTGCGTGGATCTTTGCACTACAATATTTTATACCTGATTGTCATATTGGGGGATCTACAACAAGTCATTAGCCGTATTTTTTCGTCACTTAAATCCTAGCAGAAATATAAGACGTACATGTATGTGCATCCATGTAGAGATCAATAGAAGAAAAGCAATCACACGTAAAATTTCAAAACTCAAGCAAATTTTGATTTTTGAATGACAAAACCAAACCTAAATGAATATACATAATACTCTCTCTCCATAAAAATGTACAAATTTCAGATCACAAACAATCGTATTTTAGTTGAGACTTGCCTAGACTTTAGTTAAGACAGCACTGGTTTCTCATGAACGTATACCCTCTTGAGAATGGGAAACGTGCATGAATTACGAACGAATTTTGAACTATTTCGAGTGTCCAAACAGCAAGTCGGAGATTTTTTAGAATATGCTACGATGTCTTTGCTTCCAGATTTGTCCATATTTATTGAAAACTGACTTAATCATTCAAATGTAACATTGTAAATGTCAACAATCTTTTCAACTTCAGGTTTCTCGTAAACCTTTTTTGGGCTGCTGCACATGGCAAACATGCGGCCTTCTGCAGAAAATATATGACTTAATTGTTGCTAATTTAAACAAAAAGGTGAACCTGGAGCAAAATTCAATGTATAATGAACTATCACTTCTAATTAATTAAAAAAGTCCATATTGATAAGATTTCATCTGATAATGTCAGACACCGGGTCTTTGATACAGTACACACTGCAGACACTACAAGACAGTGAAAGTGACGAACCCATTGGAATGTTAATTATATATTTTTTGCCAACAAACTGTAACACCATTTGCAACTGTCGCTATTTCCTGTCATTTCTTTGAATATATTAAATTACGATCTTAACAGACAATGTCACAGACCTATAAATTGTTTGTTCTCCTGCATGCCAGCAAAATGAACAGCTGATGGTGGTAAACATGCCTTATCTATGATTATTCTCACAAATAATTCCTCCTGAAGTTGACAATGAACTGGAATACATAAATATTAGTGTATTTTCTCCTAAAGTAGACAATGAACCAAAAAATAAATACTAATGCATATTTTTGTTGATGCTATTATGATAATATTTTTAAATATTCACAGTGGAATAATTAATGTTTGGAAATATTGGAGGATGTGTCTGTACAATCTAGTAACATTAATTGCAACTTAATGCGAGTCACAAATACCGAATATCAAATACAGTTTCCACTGTGGGAAGACAAAATGTCTCTGAAAATTTGCAAAATCTTATCACACGCCCAAACATCTCATTGCTTTTAGACGAGGGGGGATTATCTCTCACAGGTTAGTCCTTGCCTTACTTAGTAATACAACTTCTAAATGCCTCTCAAAGAAGGTATTGAGCTGTCATTGCATCCATCTTTCAATATTTAACAAGTTTGGCCTTCCAGTACGCAAGTGGTAGGACTGCTTAGAATTCATCTGAATTCAGTTTCCTACCAACGAATCGATCATGGAGTCAGTGATTGATTTTCCATATTCATAATATTTGTTCATTTATTGAATTTGGAGATGTGGAGGGAGACAGTCACAGTGGCAGAATTGCGTGTAGTCTGTCGAAAGGTCACTACTTACAAAATAAGCTTAGCTAGATATGGACACTAGTCCATTATTTTGAGACTTGTAAAAATCTTGACGGACTAGTTGTTTTGTCCCAAAATTTAGTTTACATCAGCACTAGTCCTAAATGAGCTTCAGACCAGTTACATTTGACCAATGGTGTCTACCCCACCAAACAGTCTATGACTCCAGTGACTTGAGATTTTATTATGATTGGATATTCACGTAACCGTGCAAGTAACTTTCTGTTCAATATCTAGACTTCCTGTGATTGAAATGATTTTGTTGCAATTTCATTATTGGCCCCAACGTGTTTCTGGCCACTTCATCAGTTGTGTTTAATCTTATTTGTTTCTGATTATTTTAGGTTACATGACATGATACCCCTTGCTCTTTATCGATATATTCACAGCATTTTTTGTGTGCATACAGTCTGTCCCCAAAAAATGTTAGGGACTACAATCTCGAACATGGCTCTTAGCATCATTTTTAGCTTAGTTTTATTATATGGACTGTTATAAGATGAGCTTACTTGACAAAGACATTAATACTAGACTTGGGCTTCAGGGAAATGACTAAAGTCACAGACTGATGCAAATTCCATTTCACTAGATACATGATATACTGAATGGCAACATAGATCAAGTTTAGAACTTCCTCACTCGTGTTAATTCATCCAATAAAAGTGAACTCCTGCACTTCTTCTTGTCTGGTTATATTGTAAACCTGTCTATTGCATTATCCATAATTTGATTCATACATAGTTAGAAAAGAATTAATTATTTATTATTTTGTCAATGTATTGCTTCTTCACAGATCGTCCCCCTAGATCAACCATCGATTTGGCACACCTATGAGACAATCAAGGCTTTAGCTGACAAGATGAAATCAGAGAGTGAGGACACCAGCACGGACGACATCGTCTACGTGCCAGACTATGTCCCTAAGCCACCAGAGAAGGACGAACTGGAACCTCTGCAGGGGCAGGTCAAGGGCAATGCTGTGGGGGATGCCAGTGCTGCCACATCAGAAAAAAATGATACAGACAAGGGAGGCAGTGACAGCGTTGCAGATCCAGCTCAGAATGATGCAGACAAAGGAGAAAATGCTGATGCTGATGCTGATGCTAATGCTGATGCTGCTCCTGCCCCTCCAGTCACCCAGGACACCGACACTGACAAAGGGGCTGATGCTGATGATGACCCTGCTACACCACCAACCATTCCAATCAACAAGTGGGTGAAAGTCATCTTGGATAAGATGATCGAGGAATATGCCAGGACAGAAACTATGGATGAACTGATCTTTGGCCCAGGGCTTCCTGAAAATGAAACCAGACATGTCAAGGTTACTGTGGCCAACTTGCAGCAGTATTTCTATTGCAAGAAAACTAAGGAGGGATCTGATATAACTGTCCTCTATCAAAAACATTCGCCCGAGAAGGTTGTAGAAATCTTGAACAAGAGTGATGGAGAGAATGGTGGCTATTCATTCGTCCCAAAGGACGCGCTACCCAAGTATGAGGAGTTCATCGAATTCGTACGATCTGGAAGAAACAAGCCCATAAGATTAAAACCAGGCGAAAATCCAGAGAATCTGTCCGGGCAGGAAGGTCCAAGAAGGTTTTTGAAAAGAAGAAGATTTCGTAAACACGAGTTTGTGCGTGCCCAGCAGCAGCAACAGAAGAACTGAGAGAAGAAAATCAGATTTATTGACAATAGGCAGCAATCATGTATGGAATGAATCTGAAGATGGAAGATGCGTGCCCTGGAACATCAGATTGTCCAAAGAAATTGGGGGTTATAAGTCTGTCAAATTTATTCGCTGACTGCCGACTATGTCATGGTGCAGCCTGACAATGAAGTTTAAAGTTGCATTGATCGGAAATACTTTCAATGTTCGTTTAAGCCTGATTCATCATGTGACCCAGACATTTTAATGTGTTACTTTTATCATACAATTTGCATACTATGGTGTACATTTTGAACTGTTGGTCTTCGTTCAATCATTGCAGCTTGTGCAAGAGGTGGCATTGTCAAAAAGAATCCAGAAAAGGTTTTAGAACCCTTCATGTATGAAACCAATACCATAACAGAATGCAATGTATATTTTGTATTTAAGCCCCTAAAAGACCTTGCCTTTTAATAACTATACTGACTAGCAGTATATGGGGGGAACCTCATGAGTTATTGTCCTTGAGGTGCATGGACGCAGTAGTTATTCTTGTTTAGTAAATGTAGAATTGTAGTTCACTGACAAACGTTCAATTGATAAACAATGTTCATGTTTTTTTCCTACAATGATTGATATGTCTATGATGATTGTTTTATATGATTTTCATAGGAAGAATTATTTTTTGTATTAATTGCATTTATTGAAATTTCATTTTGATGACTGACTCACACCTGCATGTGGTCCTTCCTTCACATGCTGTTTCAGGAGCTAAATGGGAAAGATGTTAGTGGTGTTATTTTCCTGGTGTTCTGTGCATTTTGGCACATTTTTTATTCATATGACATATGCCAATAGCATACTCTTCATTAATCACTATTTTACCTTCTTCTTGTGTTGGTAGTTCTGGAAATGATGTCTTGAAAATTTTACTCCAGTTTTATGTTGCATTGTCATCACCAGTGTCTTAAATAGTGGACGGCCTCGTCCAGTCTTGAGTGTCATTCGAATGAAAGATCATTTGCTATTGAGACGACTTGATTTCTAAAATGCCACTAATCAGATTAATCCAATCAGGATTAGTGTCAACTGAAAGATCTTGCTTGATTAGCATTTCTGTTTCTAGAAATTGACCTTTAAAACTAACGTCAATATGCAGTTCATCTCATAACTATTTTGAGTTTAAAAATCACTCTTTGATCATTTGACACATGTAATGATGTTGAATTTTTGGACTAGCTATTGTGCTATTATTATACCGTGCAAGTATTTCAAAATGAAATATGTTTATCTTCACTGGTTTTGTTGTTGTTTTTGTAGTCTTGATGTAACAGTAGCTTATCTATCAACTTTTGCTTGGGATAATAGTCAAGAACATTGGAATACCCTTGGTTTCCCTTGGAGGTACTGATATGAACTCAGCACACTAAGATGCGCAAATTTGTATTAGTTATTTCCATCTACCTGATACCTTGAAGTGCTTCATTCTTGTTGAAGTGAGGTGAATGGTTGATGGAAATGTAATTTCTGATTGCCATTGATCCAAACATTTGTGACAAAATATATTAAACCTCCAATATTTCAGGCCTTTTTGGAGGAAAGCAAATAAGTCTTGTTTTTGCTTTTCATCTATACCCCAGTAAAAGTTGAAGTATGTATCATTTGAAGGGACTTGTGCACACTATTGGATTCTTTTGTTACAAAATGTTAAATTCTGTCAGCACAGGACCTACAATGCAATAAAATATTTCATTAAAGTCTGTTGTTATGTTGCATCAGAGCCTGTGGGAGATTTAATGGGCAGATAGCTTCCTAATGCCTCCGGTGTTGCAGCTATCATTCGTGCCCTATTTCTTCTTGGTGCTGGGACATCGGAGTGGCTTGTCAAACCAAAGGCCAAGGTTCAATTCCCCACCTGTAGAATGTGTGAAGCCCATTTCAGGTGCCGTGATATTGCTTGTTCGTTTGTTGTTTAACGCCGCACTCAGCAATATTCCAGCTATATGACGACGGTCTGTAAATAATCGAGTCTGGACCAGACAGTCCAGTGATTAATATCATGAGCATCGATCCACGCAATTGGGATCGATGACATGCATCAACCAAGTCAGCGAGGCTGACCACCCGATCCCGTTAGTCGCCTTTTACGGCGAGCATGGTATATTGCTGGAATAAGTCAATACTCACTCACTTATTTGTGCCCTCATTGTACCTATTTTGCTTCAAGAATTCTATTTAATATTTGTTGATCACTTTTATATCGAGAATATCCCCTAGATGTCTTCACATATGTCAACAATCGTAGAGGAACATTCAAATCTCCTTGGAGATGCTTCTTGATCTCACCCAAGCAATATCTCCAGTGGAAGCCAGTTTTGGATTACAATACCATGTAATATATGTACTCTGTGCTCATTTTTAGGGCAGAACGTTTTCCTTATGCCCCACGCTTGTAAGGATTGGTGAAAGAGTGTGTGATACATCTGATATCTCTATTTACTACTACCCCATGAGGAACCGAGCTAGAATACTATTATGTCCCCAACACTCTGCTGCTTTTCAACCACCTCTGTGGTCAAGTGAATAAAGTGTCAGCCTGGAGAGCAAGTCAGTGGTTTGATCCCTGGCCACATCATACAAAGAGACGTTGAAAGGTTGTTTCCCTGCCTGGTGTTTGACATTTAGGGGATAAAACCAGGACTGGTCAGCACAAGCACTATGAAACAAACTGGTAAAAGCAGGTACACACACACATGCATGCACCATGTGCACATCACTATGTAAGTGTAATAACCTGGAACCCCATTTAACCTTCTCTCCCCTATTGCTTGTCCTAGAGGCAAACGTAATGGATCGAATAGTCAGGCTCCTTGACTTGGCTGATTGTGTGTCATTAATCTGACAGCATTGAGCATTGTTCAAGACTCGATTCCTTACACCCATGACCGCCTCGTGGTCTAGTGGTAGAGCGTCCGCCAAAAGACTTTAAAATATGCTACTTGTTACCCTGCCTGGCGCTCGGTATTAAGGGGATAAAACAAGGACTGGTCGGCAATATAATGTGTCTGAGTAGGGTATTCATGTTAAACTGCCGCATGGTATCTTATTGGGCTTGCACCATAACATTGGCATTTGTCCTGACTAGTACAAGCAGCCACGCACATACCACATCTTACCTCACTTCACTAAGGGCTACCATGCTGTATCAGGAATATTGGTACTTACACAGGCTGATGTTCATTGTCAACTGTAAATTCCACTGAAAGAAAAGTTAAGTATGAACTGTTCCAACAGTTACTTTGATACAATAACATTTAAATTAAAACAAAAAAAACTACCATTTCAGACCTGCCTTTCAGAAAAGCAGTTAATATATCAGCAGCCAGCACCACATTTGACAGCTCGATGGACCTTACAAATCTTGATATTAAAAAAATACACTTCTATGTATTATAGTAACATACATTGCCACTTAATTTTAGCTGATCGAGATAAATAAGTAACTACACATAGACATAGCAGAGGAATGTTTACACCTGCATCCAGTCCCAGACACACCTCACTGAATTTAAACAAGGCACAGAGTAAGGGTATGCCTGAGCTGTCTATTGATCCAGCGTCTGCCCAGTGAGCGGAAATTGAGGGGTTTGATCCCCGGCTGCGTCATACCAAAATAGGTTCAAAGATGGCACTTCTTGTTACCCAGTCTGGCTTTTGGCACTAAGGGGATAACAGAAGGACTCAATGTCCGTATACTGTGTATGTTTTCGGAATAGTATCCTGATAGGCTAGAACGCGCACGCTCTGGCTATTGCACTGAGGGGATTATATGAAGATTCGATGTCCGTATACTGTGTAGATTTTGTGTAAAGTATCACGATGACACAAGCACATGTCGCTATAAAATGAAATAATCTTGAACACGACGTTAAACACCATTTCTCGGCGTGCCAGAAACCTGTGATTGTGAGTTCGAATCCTGGTTCGCCCCAATTTTGTTTCTAGGTTTGTCAGCACCATACCCGTGCTCGTGGGTTTCACCGAAGTGGTAAACGTCCGAGACCTGCATAGTGTATCCTTGTACCCTCAGTGCCAGGGACGTTGCTCAATATATTGATCAGTGGTTTGTCTCATGTATTTACAGGCCGCCGTCATATAACAGCTCTAGTAGTGCCAGATGCGACGTTAAACAATACACAAATAGCAATCAAATAACCACCAGTCTACCCCACCACCAATTGTTGGAGGTGAGGTTAACTAGAGTACTGCATGACCAAATCGTAGATGTCCTACAATCGACAGGGGGCACGGGTGGCCCAGTCGTCTAAGGCGCCACGATTCGCTGTGCAGAGTTACATCCCTTGGGCATGCCAGAAACCTTGCGAAACCTTGAGAAACCTAGGTTTGTCAGCACATACCCGTGCTTTCACCGAAGTGGTAAACGTCTGAGACCTGCATCACTTCGGGCTTTCCTCCCACATTAAGCTGACACGCCGCGATATAACTGCAATACTGTTAAAAGCGGCATTAAACCCAACTCACTCACTACAAATGACAATAGATTAAATGTCCTTTTGAGAGATCTTAAGCACATAACGGACTCTTGACCTAAACAATATCCACAATCCCAATTTAAAACTGCAGGTTAGGACCTGACAGCTGCATTCCAGATGTTTGTAATCTTTAATGTGCGACCGTCAAACCCCAGCTTGGATATGGTAATCAGCGGTGAGATATACTATTTGACCCTAATCAGCCACATCCAGTCCATATGTCGTGTACCGGTTGTGCATCTACTGCCCATTGTATGTCGCTTGTACTGTCTTCCCCAAACGTGATTTACGTTCTAGCAGTCATCAGTTTACCGACCCAACACTAAGGCAGTCTTGTTCAATATTGGACAAAATTATGATCCAAGATTCAAAAGTTTATTACTTCTGCGCACGCCAGTGAGCATGGGTGTATTTGGTAAAAGGCTACAACAAAACAAAACAAAGGAATTACTCCTCATGCAATAAGGTAAACACACATTTATGTTGGTACTTTTACTACCGTGTGGTAGACTTACTTTATATAAATCCGAATCATCCTAGCTTAGCATCATATGATTTACAGTTGGTTTCTGATGCTACATTACATCAGCATTTTCACATACTGAATAAACACAAAACATAACATAAGTTACATCCAAAACATATCTAAAAGGTTCTTAACGATAAAGTTAATAAACTTACACTATGGATGACTGAAGTTCGACCTGATATAGCATGCAATGCTTGAAAACCAACGTAGGTAACCCACGGGACCAATGTCACTGTTGCGACCGACGAACGTTCTAAAACTAGCACTTCCGGTCCTAAGCGAAGCGCATGATCGAGAACCACAAAATAAAATATCACTGTTACTTGTAACGGCACACCGCTATAAAAAAGTTTGTAAATTCCAGTATATAGAGGACCAAAGAAAGCAACCTGACAGTTATTCTTCCAGCGTCAATTGTGTTCTCTGCAAGCCAGAACATAAAAGAATACAATTTCGCCGTATCAACTTTCATCGCGGGTGTACAAACGTAAACGTTTGCAATTGAGAGTAACCTTCCTTGGACCAGTCTTTGGACAACTATTTGCCTTCTTTAATGTCAATCAAAGCAGACCCGTGTCTCTGATCACTTGCTGTTCAAATACGGGTGTAGCTAATCTGAAATTGCAACCTAACATCTATACATCGATACATCGAACGTTCATACTGCTCGCTCATGTAAAAAACGTGAATCTATTATGATCACGATTAATCTCGCCAACATTCTTGAGCCGAGTTTGATATTGAGAAGCTCGACACCTCCGCACTCCGCAATATTCCGGCCATGACGGACAGAAAATCAAGTGATCGATATTGTAAATATAAATTGAGAATGCAAAAGAATAACCAGCCGAAAGATTCCAATTGGCGTAACTGGTCGAAATAGCTGTGGAAATTATATGAATGGACGACTGAAAATTATGACACCAGGTGTTCGCAAACAGGGTGAGCATGTCCTGCTCTACCGGTAGCACCCGCCATTCGTACAGTTTGCATAAATATGTAAGTATGTACTACCTAACAAACCAGACAATGAGCAGCGATAGCTGAATTAGTACCGACGCCCTCACGTATTCCCCACACAGTGGCACGACCGCCTCCGTGGTCTTGTGGTAGAGCGTCTGCCCGGAGAGCGGATGGTCCGGGGTTCGATCCCCGACCGCGTCATACCAAAAGACGTTAAAAGATGGCACTTGTTGTTACCCTGTCTGGGGCTCGGCATTAAGGGGCTAAAACAAGGACTGGTCGGCTCGGAGTCAGTATACTGTGTCTGATTGGGATATTCATGTTAAACTGCGGCATGGTATCTCAGTGAGCTTGCACTATAAATCGGCATCAGTCCGGACTAGTACAAGCAGCCACACAAACACACACACGTACATAATCTTGGAAATGACGTTAAACCCCATTTCACCTCACCTTCTAGGTCTGTTGGCACCAAACTTTTGTTTCAGAAGACTTTGTTCGTTTGTATTACCAACATCGCTTTGGTATTTTGACAGATATTCGTATATATGTTTTCATGTGTGCGTGTACAAGCAATATCAAGGGAATATTTAGCTTTAAATTAGATTTCGGTATCTATATGATATGTAGGGAAACAACTTCTCATCCATTTTTCACATTGATATAGTTCAGCAAAATTAGGGGCGGTGGGGTAGCCCTGTGGTTAAAGCGTTCGCTCGTCACGCCGAAGACGTTTCAATTCCCAACACGGATACAATATGTAAATCCATTGCTGGCGTCCCCCGCCGTGATATTGCTGGAGTATTTCTAAAAGCGGCGTAAAACAATGCTCACTTACTCAACAAAATTGAATGCACATGACATCATCGCATAGTTTCAGATCACACACCTTTAACATGAGTTTCAAGCCTTACATTTGTACGAGGTTGTGTTGAAATATTTGGAAACAAATCCGCCAGTTAATGAAACTGAGGGTCCAGGCTGGACAGTGTTATAACGGTGGAGATTGTGGTAAATTTATTTATTTATACTGATTGTCGACGGCGGCAGATGATTGAAGCGCTGGTAAAATGTCCAGGGTTGTCGGTGGCAGCGAGTGAGTAATTGAGGGTTGTCCGCCTTTGTGTAAACATGAACTTGACAGGCTTGATCGTTCGAGAGTTTTCGGGTGGGACAGTTTCTAGAACGCTGCCTGTATCTTTATAATACATATAAGAGCTTCCCGCCAGTTTCAAACACTATTCCGGATTCAAAAACGGAGATAAGCTCGATAAGCCTATTCATCATTATCAGTTAACATCAGCTCAAATTATGACGATAATAACAATAATCCATATTCATAAGAAATCTAGAAGTGTAAATTGTACGATTCCGACTATATCACGAGCATGTGTTTATGAATATATATCAAACAGTGATGACACTAGGTGTTATAAATGATATTTGAGGCTTACGGCTTTTGGTCTCTATAGTAAATTGGTAAAAGATTAGGCAGTCAAAGAAAAAGAGTCATGATAGCTGATTGTGTTTGAATATTTCAAGCAATTTTCCATGCTGAGATTATTTGGATGAACAGGGTGTAGATAAGTTGGATCAGGCTGCAACCTTGGCAGATAATTACTCTGTTACTCATAAGTGTAATTCTAGGCAGTATGGTTAATCTCCTGGGAATGATCAGGGTAATTTCAGGTAAAGGTCAGTCGGGTAATTCAAGGCCAGGAAAGGTCCGGCCACAACGGCACATGAAATAGTTTACTAGTATATCAATCATTTGCTGCCTCTGACATTTACAACATATATATTTACACTACAACTACCTCCACATGACACACGGGTGGCCCAGTCGTCTAAGGCGCCGCAATTCGCTATGCAGAGTTGCGTCCTTTGGGCATGCCAGAAACCTCTGATTGTGGGTTCGAATCCCGGTTCGCCCCGATTATGTTTCTAGGTTTGTCAGCACCATACCCGTGATCGTGGGTTTCACCGAAGTGGTAAACGTCTGAGACCTGCATCAATTCGGGCTTTCCTCCCACATAAAGCTGACACGCCGTGATATAACTGGAATACTGTTAAAAGCGGCGTTAAACCCAACTCACTCACTCACTCCACATGACACATGAGTATCGATGGAATGGTATACGATGACATGCAATCAACCAAGTCACCGGGCCTAACCACCCGATCCATTTAATCGCCTCTAATGACAAACATAGGTTGCTGGGGACCTATATTCTTGGAGGGAATATCCACAGATCGCAGTATATTTACTATTGTGCGATTCTCTCATGCTGTCGTTACATTAATCTTAACAGATGTTATATACTTTAGTTACATTGTCTTATATGAACATACTAATCAGGAAGAGAATTCATGGATGTCAACTTCTTTATTATGAGGAACATAACGTTTCGGAGTATATGTGCTTACTCCTTCATCGGATGAATGAATGATATGAGGCAGAGTGAATATATATGTACATGTGAGAACAACAAAAGTAATAAGATATCAAAAGGTGGAAACTTAACAAGGGAAAGCAACCTTTCGTTATCTTATTACTTTTGTTGTTCTAACATGTACATATATATGCTCTCTGACTCTTAGCATTCGTTCAGCCAAATTGCTAAGGCAGCAGGCGACCTCTTAAACACTTAAAACAACATCATAGCATTCATTCACCTGATGAAGGAGTAAGTATATACTCCGAAACGTTGTGTTCCTCATAATAAAGAAGTTGACATCCACAAATTCTCTTCCTTATGTGTATGACTCCTAAATGCCCTCCAAAGACATTCATACTAATCGATAACTTCTTTTCTAGGGTTGTGTCCGGACAGATGGACTCAATTCCATGGTGCCTGTTATTTTCTTTATCGTGATCACGAGGAATGGGCGCAGGCTAACGTGAGTGGTGGAATCCGGTAGAAATTTGACTAAACGCATTTGTCTGAATTTGAATCCTGCTAACTTTTCTCAACCACATTTGACTTCATACTTAATACACTGCTCATTTGACCCTGGAAAAGTGCCTGACATGTGATTGTTGTTTATTTATTTGTTTGTTTAACGCCGCACTCAGCAATATTCCAGCTATATGACGGCGGTCTGTAAATAATCGAGTCCGGACCAGACAATCCAGTGATTGACATCATGCGCATCGATCTAGCCAATTGGGATACGATGACATGCATCGACCAAGTCTGCGAGCCTGACCACCCGATCCTTACGGTCGCCTTTTACGACATATGATTGACATTGATTGACGCTAAGATGACCATAAGCCAATGTTGAATGTTGAATAAGAATGTGTGAGTTATGACAACCATAACCATACAATTTCTTTGTGGAACGCGGCCAAAATTATATTATGGTGACTAAAGAAGAAGGTCAACAGGTCATATTATGAATCATAAAGCGGACCTGACGAACATTAGTTCATGAGAAGACTTTTATCTGTCATAGTTTTATTTGACTTTCAACCAAGAATTCAAAGAATCTCATACGACTCTTGCAAAAAAGTTGTTTGATCAGGGTTACAACATTTTAGGCCTCAGTAAAACTGTCACAAGGTCGCATGGTAGGTTAGAGGCGAAAAAATGACTTATCTTTGGATGTCTGTGTCACGGGAGCCAAAGGTGATCAAGATACGCCCATCGTGACAAGAAGCCCATAAACACAAGTCATGCTTATGAAACAGTCGGAATCGCACAATGAATTCTGCCGTTAGCAGATTTTGGGGGGTTATGACGAGGACTTAAATTGGTCGCTTTTGTAGCGTGGTACATAATCTATACTCTGGTATATAGACCACCCATATTTTCAATTAATACTATGACATATTGAAGGCCAGGTCACTGCTTTTGACATGATGAATAAACAGCATTGAAGTAAAACGACATGACTTTGTTTCCCACAAAAACGTGAGACGACCAGAAGTATATTGGCTTCTCTGGATCACACGACGTTATTTTTTAGGGTACATCTGCATGCCATCTTGTGAACTGGTTTCATACATACTGAACGCTTTTTGTTTGATCCAAATGTGATAAAACCTAAATATTAAAAGCGATTAGTGAGGTTGCAACTGTCACCTAATTTTATTTCTTACTGATTCAATATCAGGGAAGACATAGTCCAGACTGTTTGCATATTACAGGATTCGGAGATTTCAGAAAACAGTGGTGTTTGTGTCTACTTCGAACTCCGTTTTTGCAATTTTATGTTGAATCGAAATATTTGTACAACTTCAGACATGTCTGTTTCATATGCAGTACATATGTGGATTTGACTGGGCGGGATTGGTTTCTATTGACTCGTCTGAAGAAAATGAATTTATCAAGAGCATGATGAAAGCAAGCCAAAGTAAGAAAATATGGTTCTGACAATACATTTCAAGTACGTTAGTGTGCATTTCTAGTGTATAAATATTTTTGTAAACAATACTCAAACAAATCCTCGCGATCTCAAATTAACCCCTTGATTTTCATTAACATTTTACCGACCAATCGAACGTCTAAATAAGTAAATAGGAAATAGGTATATCACAGGAAATGCTCGGTAGCAAAAGGACTTGCCACCGCCAGTTATATTGGACACGAAGATTCCTTCCATCAAAAAGATTTTTGACGTCTTTCTTTTGCGTGTCAGTCAGTTTTTCAATGTTGAATTTCTCGCACACTCCATTGTAATTAATGTGACTGACCGCCATGTGGTTGATAATGCCAACCTAACATTGAGGCTGGTTTGTATCTCGTATTCTGATTGGTCCGTTAGACTGAGTAGCGAAGCAAATCAAATTGGCTAATAAAAATCAAGGGCGGAAAATTTGAGATCGTGAGAACCATGGGGATGGATGCAGGGGATTGTATAAGTTTACCGATATGCGAGTCCTGGGGATACAGAATAGGGAGAAAATACAGTTGATTGTTTTTCACGTCTTGGGTTGTTGTTGTTGTTGTTGTTGTACACTCTCACAATTACATTCAGGCCAACAGGTTTGGATTGGTGCTTATGACACGGTGACAGAAGGGGACTTCCGCTGGGTAGGAAGTAAAGAGAAGCTGAACTTTACAGATTGGAGTGCCGGAGAACCCAACAGTCAAACTGACGACGAAAACTGTGTGGAGATGTCAGTCATTCTGAACTATCAGTGGAACGACGACACTTGTACTGTAAAGAAACAGTTCATATGTGAGGGGAGGTAAATATGAGACAAATAAGGTTCACCATTGTGATGCGTTATATACTGGTAACTACATGTGCTACAATTCATCATATCCCCATATTCGTATTAAATTTCAATAAACTCGAAATAAAGATATAATAATGTATGTAATTTAGCTTGCGGCTTGGTTCTGCTGGGTCTGTATTTTCAGAGGTTCTTCTTTTGAACTTATTTTTCAGTCCCGGTGAAAATGTGATTGGTTGAGCTTGCTGTACACACCAAGGAAAACACTTTCATACAATAAACGATTCCGAGCCAAATCGTTGTTTTTACTTTTATTTCCTACGATGGCAAACATATCGGAGTTTATAGAAATCGTATGTGCCCTGGTGCACATATCGTCCTCGAACAGCAATTGGCTGATGGCGAGTTTACGTCATCATCTTCTTCCGATCATGTAGTTGTGCATGTCCATATTGATCAGCAAACATTCTGAAACATTAAAACGGTTAGGTACCTTATTAATTGGTTTGTTGTTTAACGCGGCACTCAGCAATATCCCAGCTATATGACGGCGGTCTTTAAGTAATCGAGTCTTGACAAGACAATCTAGTGACTGACATCATGAGCATCGATCCACGCAATTGGGATACGATGACATGCATCAACCGAGTCAGCGAGCCTGACCACCCGATCCCGTTAGTCGCCTCTTACGACAAGCATGGTTACGGTACGTTATATAAGTTCCAATGTTATACAATGTTTACGACACTCGTGCCTACATTCTCGCTCTTGCTCGGGAAATACCAGAATTTAGGCACTCGTCTCTTAAAAATAGTATGACAAGGACACTCGAGTAATATCCTCTGCATATCGGTAGATCAATCACAAAAGATTTCATAAGAATTGCATGTTGACTTAAAAAGCTTTTAAGCGACAAAGAAGTCAGGTTGTGTTCCATGACATACGTAAGACCTTCCACCATTACTTATCAGTCGCAGGCAATTACCGAGACATGTGAGGTAAGACTTTCCTTCAATTAAGTCGACAGATTGTTTTGTTGCTTTATTATTATTATTATTATTATTATTATTATGACGATGATGATGATGATTATGATGATGATGATGATGATGATGATGTACTGATTAAAATACAAAAATGCAGCAAAGAGGGTTTGGGTGATCCTGGCACAGTCAGGCTGGTTAGGCTCATCATCAACTCAGGGCCCTTGCCCCCTCTACACGCAGCCCAGACTACGAATGGGACTTCTCCTAGGAAGCGCTGCCTAGTCAAACCCACCCAGAACTTTTCGGAGAATGTGAAGACTCCCCAACACTGCCGCCTTCTGTATTACCCAGATTGTCAGAAGGGCTGTATTCCTGGTAGCAAACACGGGTACTCTCCCAATGTCAGTCAACAGATTGGGAGGTACCAAACCTAAGGCACCGAGAACAATGGGGATGCGGACAACTTGGTACTTGGGATGCAAGCGTGACATTTCGAAAGCGAGGTCTGCATATTTGCCATGTTTTTTTCTGAATCTTGTCAATCACATTAGTGTCAAAAGGGCCAGAAATTTCAAATTTCGGGTTTGTTGGCCTGGATAGATCCGAGGTTGTATATGGGCCTATTCCAGAGAATTTTGTATTGATCATTTTCCATGACGCACTCTACATATTCTGGGTCGTACCATGGATGGACCTCTGTGTCAAAACCACAAGCATAGCGAAAGACGATAATAAAATGATAAAGCCACTCCATTATGTCGCTGAAGATACTGTGTTTGTGCCAAAGCTGGGTTTAAATAACACTGATTTAATCGTTCCAATAATTAATGTAGGATAAAAGCCGATTGTCGGATTTACGAGTGTTGGATTAACTGGACTTGACTGTATGAGAAACGCCATAGTAAATTGGCAAACAAGTTGACAGTAGATGCAGAATGTCCTTATTTACCATTCAAGTTTTGTATTGACTAATGACCTAGTTAGTAGGTTCCTAACCTCTGCACATGTATTCACTCGTTACGCCATCTTTATTTTTCGATAAGACATTTTAACAAATTGTGTCACAATCCCTGAGACCATAACATCAGGTGATTATGACTTTGAACAGGCACACATGGTCTAGATCAAAGTAAAGTCCCCTGTTCACTACATAAACGTTACAGAGTAATTGAAGACATCAATTATAAAATTAATGAGAGGATTGGGCAATTTAAATCCAATAAAGTTGGAATGTATCATTTTTACAGAAGGCAATTATAGTTATACGGACTGGACTAAAATGTCTTTGAACAAGAAAAATAAATAAATATAAAAACATTTGATTTTATTATGTCAGGGAAGGAATGACACACACAATGTACCTACTGATGATATTTTAAGAACCTGTGATAATCTTTTTGTCGAAGTTGTTTCCAGAACATGCACTTTCGACTCATGCACAAACCGACCTCGTGATCAACATTAAGAGATATGAGGGAGTGGCGATATATAAACACCAACACGTCCCGTGAGAAGTCTTGTCGTGCTGGTTGGCGTAACATTCCTTTGGCATGACGTGGCTGTATATTTTGTCCCTTTTGGTAATATGCAGCACCGTTAAAGGTAAATTGTTGTTGTCACGGCTTCTGTACACACACAGGTAGAATAACTTCTTCTAAAGAATTGTAGGTCTCTCACGTGTCCGAATTCTTTTGCAGGTGACTGTCCCAATTTGTGGGTTACGTTTGATGGCGCATGCTATTTTCTATTTGAGGATTTGGAAGCCTGGCCACAGGCCAGCGTAAGTATGCCTAGATGTTAGAATCGACAGTGTTGAGAAATGAAAGTTTAAACAAGAAAGGAATACTTGATACACTTATTACTATTACACCATGAATTGATTTCCGAATTAGAACGATGAGACAGTAATCGGTTCGCTCAGAACTAACTTGTGAAATCAGTAAATGGCCACACAAGTTCAATGAATAATCAATTACATTTGAACACATAGTTTTAGATTTTAGTAAAAAGGTGGCAGCATCAATAATTAACAGGCCCCCCAAATTTAATGTTCGTGCACTCACTATATTATCATTGTTGAATGTCTTAAAAGAAAGGCGCCTCCGTGGTCTTGTGGTAGAGCGTCCTCCCGGAGAGCGGAAGGTACGGGGTTCCCCGGCCGCGTCATACCAAAAGACGTTTAAAGATGGTACTTGTTGTTACCCTGTCTGGCGCTCGGCATTAAGGGGCTAAAACAAGGACTGGTCGGCTCGGAGTCAGTATACTGTGTCTGAGTGGGGTATTCATGTTAAACTGCGGCATGGTATCTCAGTGAGCTAGCACTATAAATCGGCATCAGTCCGGACTGGTACAAGCAGACACACACACACACACACACACACACACACACACACACACACACACACACACACACACACACACACACACACACACACGTGCATGCATATAACCTTGAAAGAGGCCTGTCTCCGTCCCAGAAGTCAGTAACAGGGACTGTCGGAATTTCGGTGTTTCCAAATAGGTCACCGAACCGCACTTGGCAAGTAGATAAGAAACAAGTCAAGTCTTTGAATGACATTCAGAAGTGATATCCATAAGAGAGAGAAATTATGGATATCAACTGCTGGCTTATGAGGAACACAGCGTTTCGTAGTACATGCTTACTCCTACATCAGGTGAATGAAACAAGTCGGATTGAAAAATGCTCTTGTCGCTCCTATATATAGGTACATTTTTTGTTTTTTTGTTTCACGCCGCTCTAAGCAATATTCCATCTGTATGATGGCAGTCTGTAAATGATCGAATCTGGACCAGACAATCCAGTGATTGACATCATGAGCATCGATCAAAGCAACTGGGATACGATGACATGCGTCAACCAAGTCAGCGTGCCTGACCACCCGATCCCGTTAGTCGCCTCTGCCGACAAGCACAGTCGCCTTTTACGGCAAGCATGGGTTGCTGAAGATCTATTCTACCCCGGATCTTCACGGGTCTTATATAGGTTCAGCCAGCCTTTGGAATCTGTACCACCCAGAAACTCTAGAATGATCCAGTCTGTCATGTACAAGGCCAGATCACTCAAATTCTAGTATAATACATTCTGGAAAGTTACTTCCTCTGCTTATGATTTCGGTGTTAATCTGGCCACGACAGCACTTGATATATTTTTTTCAGTATTTCAATCATTTGGTGCCACTGACCATTACTACAAACTGTTTAAATATATCTCTACCAGTTTCTACCTCCACTAAAATTACGTAAACATTGCAAAACAAGTGACCCAGTATGTACTCTAAATGTTGCTTTGACGATACCTAATCGCAGTAGGTATACACATGAGAACTTAAAACGAGCAATGTGGAATGAATCACGACAGTTAACAAGTATATAACATCGATTAATTTATAAAAGAAAATATGAAATGTCAACGCCAGAGAATAAGCAGTCTCGAATATCTGCCGAAACATCATCCATTGGACGTAAAAGGCAAAACACGAGCAGTAGTGAAAATTAAACGAATAATTAATGTTAAGCTTCATTAAGTAATGGAAGTAATGGACCCGTTATGCTATGGTGCAAAAGAATGACTGCAGCGCGTAACAAGTTCAGCACAAATCCAAAAAAATATCTGTTTTGTTTTATTTTTGCAGTCTATTTGTGGCCTGCATTCATCCGATTTAGTTTCGATTGATTCGTCAAAAGAAAACGAGTTCGTTAAGAATTACGCCAAAACACGACAAGGTGAGTGTTTCCTGACTATATAATCTTTCCGGAGGAAGGGTGTCAACTGACTACAAAAATCCAGTTTCCACCCTTGTAAACTGGACTTTTATAATCAGTTAACGCCCTTGCCTCGTGAAGATGGACGATATCTACCTTTATATGTTAGTGATTTACACTACTAAACCAAGGTTAAGAACACCCACAATTGGAAGGATATAACACATGAGTGCGTATTATACGCGAATAAATAAGTCTTGTGTATATTGATCAATCGGACGGGGCGTAATTGGGATTGTTCACTAGCCAATATATTAGCAAATATCGGCGTGTCAGCTTAATGTGGGAGGAAAGCCCGAAGTGATGCAGGTCACGGACGTTTACCACTTCGGTGAAACCCACGAGCACAGGTATGGTGCTGACAAACCTGGAAACATAATCGGGGAGAACCGGGATTCGAACCCACAATCATAGGTTTCTGGCGTGCCCAAGGGACGCAACTCCGCACAGCGAATCGCGGCGCCTTAGAGGACTGGGCCACCCGTGCCCCCTGTGCTGAAGGAAAACTGTGTTAAGACTCTTTTGGCTCCCCTTAAAAAAAACCTGTTTTTTAGAGCAGTCAAACATGTCTGTTTTGTCAGTTTACTTTTGTCATTGTTCTAATTTGAGTAAAAGCCAACTCATTTTCCAATTCTGATTCTGGGGCGGTCGGGTAGCCTAGTGGTTAAAGCGTAAGCTCGTCACGCCGAAGACCCGGGTTCGATTCCCGACATGGGTACAATGTGTGAAGCCCATTTCTGGTGTCCCCCGCCGTGATATTGCTGGAATATTGCTAAGAGCGGCGTAAAACCATACTCACTCACTCACTTCTAATTCTGTGTCTCTCTCATGGATCTAGCTCACCCTGTCAGTGTATGGATCGGTGCTAACGACATGATGACGTCGGGTCAGTTTCTGTGGTCAGACGGAGACAGAAAAGTGACCGTCACAGACTGGGCTCGAGGAGAACCAAACAATCACAACGGAGGGGAGAACTGTGTGGAACTCGAAATAAGAAACGGTTTTATGTGGAATGACGCACTTTGCAGGGACAGGAAACACTTCATCTGTGAACAGAGGTATGCTAATACCATTTAAACTTCAATAAGTTTTCAAAGATTTAGTACAAAATGAGAAGTCCATCTCTGACATCCCCCCCCCCCCCCCCCCCCCCCCCCCCAGTGTTCGAAATACCTGCCTGCCACGGTCCGACGGTCGGGTTATATTTCATATGTGAAAATATTCAAAATATTTCCCGATGATAAGCATTAATTCACATGTAAAGATGAATGATAAAATGTAACCAAAAAGAAACCCCGTTAGCTTATCCTTAGAAACATATGATCATAGTGGGCAGGCAGGTTTTGGTCAGGGCTGGCAAGTATTTCAGCTAGCCAGTCCTGTGGTCTGGCTGAAATTTTTGGGAGTTTCATACCCTGCAATACTGCCCAAGCTGTGTGGATCAAAATATCCAAATATAATGGACTCGATATTGTCGTATTTGTACACACGTGTTTAGTAAGTCTCGCCTATGTTTACTACAAATGTATATATGACCCGTGAAGATCCGGGGTAGAATAGGTCTTCAGCAACCCATGCTTGCCGTAAAAGGCGACTATGCTTGTGGTAAGAGGCGACTAACGGGATCGGGTGGTCAGGCTCGCTGACTTGGTTAAAGCACGGTCGGGTAGCCTAGTGGTTAAAGCTGTCGCTCATCACGCCGAAGACATGAGTTGGATTCCCGTCATGGGTACAATGTGTGAAGCCCATTTCTGTTGTCCCCGCCATGATATTGCTGTAATATTGCTAAAAGCGGCGTAAAACCATACTCACTCACTCATTCCTCGACAACGAAAGTTCACAAGAGCATTGCAGTAATGTGTAGAATGGAAAATGTAGACAAATGCCATGCACTAACACATGTTTAGACTTGTCATTAAGGCTACCACTGATGTAGACCTGAGTTTCTAAACTCAACCTAGTGCTGGATATGGCATTGATCCACGCTGCCAGAGTAGGACAATTTATGGATAAATATGTTTTTTTGAAAAATTAGAAGAAATAATTAGTCCTTAATTTTTAGCAAGGAAAGTACGTATTTTCGCTGGACAAGCTTGACTCAAGTATTCTGCTTCCCCTTTCATAGAAAAATGTGTGTTTGAAGCAGTGACCGAACATATGTCTCTTACAAACATCCCGCAGATTAACATTGCTGCGACCATTCATTCATTCATTCATTCATTCATTCATTCGCCACCAGCCCGTCATCACGGAGTCATTAATCATAAAAAGTAGTTATGTGTGCTCAACATTCTAACCTTCCCTATAGATCAATATGCTGTACAATCAAATACATACTTTCAATATACTTTGAGATGCACATTTTATATATTGGAATATCTGTTTTGGCTTCTTATGTTCTGATATTTCACATAAGCCTAAGCAAATACATGCTTATCTTAGTGTTCCCTCGTATTGATGCTTATTAAATATTATTCCGGGCGCAACGTGACCCCTAACGTGGCCTAAGCTGGTCGTATGACGCGACTTAATGGATCGGATGGCCATGTTTGGGGAATTGGTTGACCACGTGTCAAGGTTCCCCGACGGAATGGACCGCTGCTCGTTATATCAATCAATGCTTTGTCTGGCTCAGACTCGATTATTGAGACGTCGCCGTCATATAGCTTGAATATTGGTGAAAGCGGCACTAAACAACAAACAATAATATTCAAAAGTTCACAATTATTAAATACGATGTAACATTGATTCACAGAACATCAATGGATGGAATGAGTGAGTGACTGAGTGAGTGAGTATAGTTTTACGCCGCTTTTAGCAATATTCCAGCAATATCACGGCGGGGGGACACCAGAAATGGGCTTCACACATTGTACCCATGTCGGGAATCGAACCCGGGTCTTCGGCGTGACGAGCGAACGCTTTAACCACTAGGCTACCCCACCGCCCCTCTGGCTGGAATGATACAGTGCCAGTTTAAACAAAGAAAATAGAGTCATTCTGCCTGTATAATTCTCTGTATAATTGCTGACATATCTGCAGTGTCAAAGATACTATTTACAGCGTATTGAAACTATTGCCATGGAGATGCACCAACAGTGACGCCAATTAGATGTACCTTGTTTTGTGCATTCTTAATGAATGAAAACGTAGATTTTGGCTGTGCCCAACTGACCGCAGTACTCTGTATACTTCCGGTAGTAGTGTGAGGTTATAGTTGGTTGGTTGGTTGGTTGGTTGGTTTGTTGTTTAACGCCGCACTCAGCAATATTCCAGCTATATGACGGCGGTCTGTAAATAATCGAGTCTGGACCAGACAATCCAGTGATTAATATCATGAGCATCGATCCACGCAATTGGGATCGATGACATGCATCAACCAAGTCAGCGAGCCTGACCACCCGATCCCGTTAGTCGCCTTTTACGACAAGCATAGTCGCCTTTTACGGCAAGCATGGGTTGCTGAAGACCTATTCTACCCCGGAATCTTCACGGGTCGTGAGGTTATTGAGGTGAAAGTTTGAATCCTCTGTTCTGCTCGGTGTATTAACAATCTTGTATGTTTCAGACCAGGGCCGGTTGTTGGTAAATGACGTTCAAATCCCAACCACAGTCGGTAGAGAACAGATGCAAAAATTAATAGACATTGAAATAAACACAGTTATCCAATATTGTATTTGTTTTAATCGTTTCATTATGGGCGTCATTCACCAGTCCAACGCATTGCCTTCGTCGAATATTGTGTATATTCTTTTAAAACTGTATATTCATAATAAATCATTTGTAAATTAAGGGGCAAAAGAAAGTGGCGTTATGTGATACAGGCATTGTATTATTGTTGCAACCATGTGGTTTATGATTACATTATTTATAGAAAAGCTTGAGAGATTACACTATTCATATCATAGCTTGAAACCTACCCGTGAATTGATCAACCGTTTAATAATAATGCACCTAAATGAAACATCGTCTAATAGCACCAAGGGACTATTTGTGGCAACAGCTGGTCATTTGAACGGGGACATCGGTAGCCATGCAACTGTACTCGCCTACCCTACTCCTAGATGGTTTGGACCCGTGAAGATCCGGGGTCTTCAGCGACCCATGCTTGCCGTAAAAGGCGACTATGCTTGTCGTAAGAGGCGACCGTAAGGATCGGGTGGTCAGGCTCGGTGACTTGTTTGAAGCATGTCATCGATCCCAATTGCGTGGATCGATGCGCATGATGTCAATCACTGGATTGTCTGGTCCAGACTCGATTATTTACAGACCGTCGTAATACAGTTGGAATATTGCTGAGTGCGGAGTTAAACAAACAAACAAAACCAATCATGATGAGATCTCTTCAAAACATCGAGCTTTCATCCCACATCATGTCGACATGCCGTATTATTAAAGCGCCATTAAACTCACTCACTCACTCAAACGTATTACAAATGCATAATCACTGCGCTCTGTGCATCCAATGAAGTGAACGAAATAAAACACCCAAACCAAATATAAAATTGTCTCCTAGACAAGCCGTCAAGGAAAGAGAAAACCCGCTAAATCTACAATAGTAAATGGTTTCAGAGTCCAGAGCCTTGTCAAGGAAAGAGAAAACCCGCAAAATCTACAATAGTAAATGGTTTCAGAGTCCAGAGCCTTGTCAAGGAAAGAGAAAACCCGCAAAATCTACAATAGTAAATGGTTTCAGAGTCCAGAGCCTTGTCAAGGAAAGAAAATACCCGGACAATCTACAGTCAGAAAATGGCTTCAGTGTCAAGAGCCTTACTGTGTATACCCAATTCTTATTTCCGTTTTATCCACTGACTAGTCTTCTGCTGACTTAATAGATACGGCTTCTGGTGATAAACGTGTTTTCATACATCTGGCTAAGAGATTAATGGACAACAAGGCAAAAACTGCTTAGCCTTCAAAACCACATGAAAGGGCGAAGAAAGCCACTCAGGCCTTGATCGTAGTCAAGAACTGAAAGACGCTCAAACTATTCTGAGACAGTATTATATTCAAAACTTGACCTTTGTGGTTAGACCAGGCCCTCAAACTGCATATGTGTTATGGCGCAGTAGGCAGACTCTACACAAGCTGAACTGTGGCATGTTCGTTTCATATTATGATGACGTCTTATCTTCAAATCATTTAGTATTTTGTGTTAGCTTTTAGTCCTCCGCCTTTACCACATAGTGTTTGAATATCAATGCTGAAATCAAATTTTGAAAAGTGTTGGTTGACATTTCAGCATGCTGACAACAATGTCAGGTGGACTACAGTGCCGTGGCGATATTGTTTTATTCGAATTATTCACTATTCACATTCACTATCAGGAGGATTTCCCACTCCGATGTCTTCCATAGTGACTACCGTTTTACCAAAAGTTAACAAAGGTCAGAAGTGTGTCAAAACTCACATTTCCAACTACGGAGGTAAATGTTATGATAGAAACATAAACGCAATGAAGAAACGAGACATGGGACAGTTCCTTCATGTTGATGATATAATATGCATTACTTTACAATTGTGCTTTCTTTCTCAAAACGATAAGATCTATACGTGATATTACTAACTCATCGTTTCGAGAAAGAAAGCACAATTTAAAGTAATAAATATATGTATAATTTATTGCAGTCCTGCAATACATACAGGTTGAGTTGCGCAGTTTCAAGGTCATTTTAATAAAGACCTTGACATTGAGTAGTTGTTTTGTCTGTGTCAAATATGACTCCAAAAACAACAGAATGAACGGAGAGGGAGTTCATCCCCGTTTATATCCGATCAGACATATAGAGGTGAGAAATGGACAGTAAAATGATTAGGTAAGTATCACAAGTCAAAATTAAAGCACATTAATATGCCACACATCAAATAAAACAGTGATAGTGACCATCTGTTAGACCACTGACGCACCTCAATATCCACATATATTTATATATATATATATTACGCACACTAACACACACACGCGCACACCTGCACGCACGCACGCACGCACACACACACACACATACACACGGGGAGGTGTGGTAGCCTAATCGTTAAAGCGTGCGCTCTTCACGCCGAAGGTCCGGGCCAAGTTCGATGCCTCAAATGGGAATGTCCGCCATGATATTGCCAGTTTGTTGCTTTGTCCTATGAAAATACCTGTGCAACTGGCATGCTAAATATTCCAGGGATCATAAACTTTCGAAATATGAGAACTTTAATGAGGGGAGGAAGACTGAGAACGCTCAGTAAGATGCACAAGTACTTCGCTTTTAAATCAACAATGAAAAATATTGAAGGATGATATAATCTGATCTCTGGAAGGTTGTTGGTATAGCCATGGCGGCTTGAAGCGGCCCCCGGATACACCATGTCTCAAATATGTCGTAAGTCAACTCAGGGACAGGTTAGGTGTTCTATGAAATTGATCTACGGACATGAAAAAATTACACAGCCTATTTATTTAAAAAAAGTTCATAATATGAATTTGAACATTATATAGGGACAAGTCATTCATTATACTGGTGGGGGAAGGGAGTCATGAAAAAGTGTTACATATAATATATTTGTGTGCTGCAATATATCAAACTTTCACACAGAGGGAGTTTTTGCAACTGGAATGTTTTAAACATTAAGAGTGTGCGAGTTAATGTTAAATGTGCGTTGTAGACTTGAACTTCTGAAGTAAAATGGTCGTCTTCCTCCCATCTGTTTCCGGCCACCAGAGCTGTGAAAGTCCTGAATTCACGGAATTATGTCTCAATATCATGGGTTCACATCTGATTCTAGACGGATTTGATTTCGCTGTATGAAGACGTGTTTCCTGAACAAGAAACGTCCTGAATTCTTGGGTCTTTAGTGGTTGTAATAGTTAAAGGGGTCCTCCGAGTAGGTAGTGTGCTTTATTATTGTACTGTGCGCAACCTTTGCATATTGAATTTAACGTTAGAGGGCATATGCAAGGTGAGCGAGCGAGTGAGTTAAACGTTACCATCGGCATTTCAGCCATATAGCGACGAGAACAAGTACATATATAGATATGCACACACACACACACACACACACACACACACACACACACACACACACACACACACACACACACACACACACACACACACACACACACACAAACACACAAAAAACAACAACAACAACACACACACACACACACACACACACACACACACAAAACAAACAAAACAACACACACACACACAAACTTACACACACACACAAGCGGGTCATAATAAGTGAGTGACTGAGGCCAAATTCAACGTCACATCGGCAATACCTCAGACATATCGTGAAGAGAACAATAAATTATTTATACATAAATTATGAATACATTTAGATTATATAAAAACCATGTTGACCATGAACAGTAGAACAAATAGAGTATCACAGGTTTGTATTTAAAATTAGCATGTAACCATAAACTATGACTATTCATAATAATACATCATATAAATCTACTGATCACCAGCAACCAGCAATACGACATGGTGAGATGACCTCTTCAAATCTGGACTGACACGCGATGTAGGTGTAGCCAATAGTGGGTTTTATTGCATGTAATTTATTCAAGGATTGATAAACACAGTTATGTATCGCCATTTTAAATTGTCACGTAGAGTGAGTGAATATGACTTTGCGCCGCAGAGTTTCACACATTGAGTGAGTGAGTGAGTTGGGTTTAACGCCGCTTTTAACAGTATTCCAGTTATATCACGGCGTGTCAGCTTAATGTGTGAGGAAAGCCCGAAGTGATGCAGGTCTCAGACGTTTACCACTTCGGTGAAACCCACGAGCACGGGTATGGTGCTGACAAACCTAGAAACATAATCGGGGCGAACCGGGATTCGAACTCACGATCATAGGTTTCTGGCATGCCCAAGGGACGCAACTCTGCACAGCGAATTGCGGCGCCTTAGACGACTGGGCCACCCGTGCCCCCGTTTCACACATTGAACCAATGTAGGGACCCTGTCATTGAAAGAATGAAACGGAGTGAAACACATTCAGCTGGCACAGAGTGTACTTTTAGACTCGAAGAGTTCCTTTAAATTTCGCAATGTGGTCCAGCAAGCGTTTCCGTGCCATAAGTATTTACGAACCTGACTCATAGCCCAATAGGATATAATGGCACAAGCTTCAGAACACATTCAGATCGCATCTTTCCTTTCGCAGGTTGGTAGCAGAAGCCAGAACATACCTAACGCACAATGGCGAAGTTCGGCGTTATTTTGGCATGTTTGATTCTGAGGACTGTATTCAGCCAAACCAAAGGCGGCATCCGCGGCTTAATGTCACTATCTGAGTATATGGACCGCTACATCGAGGTAAAAGTAATACAGGGACTAGCTGGTGTCAAGAAGGACATGTCAGCTAACGATGAGGCATTTGAACGGGTTATCCGTGAAGTAAACACTCTGACAGCCAATGTCCAGTGTCTGAAGAGACAAGAGGAAAGTTTAAGGAAACATGTTAAACTTGTTGACAAGGAACAGTTCTTGTGTAAGCAAGCGATAGAAAAACAGCAAAAGGAGTTTGATGCCAAATTGGATCTCTGGTACGCCGAAATTAACATCACAAAACAGCTTTTGGATTTACATGAGGAAAGCGATGCTAAAGAAAGCAGAATAAGTATTCAAGGTAAGAATGTGTGTGAGTGAGTAAATGTTGACATCGCATCGGCAGTATTGCAGTCATACCAGAACAAGTCAATCATGTCTAAATTCCTGCCAACAAGGGACAGTAAAATGGCATGGTAAATATCCCAGTTTAAGTATAAAACAAACCATATCAACTGCAAAACGTTATTCTATACTTAGTGGTATCCATTAAAGTAGGCTATAAACCACAGGCAATCGACGTTAGACCACCTTACTGGGGATCATTGGGAGTTACAGTACCTCTGCTTCCTGCATGATTTCCAAGCCGGATATAAGCCATCACTTTGGTCACGAGTGGCTGTACGGTATGCTAGCCAATATTAAAAATCTTGTGAGAGATAAATCGACACAGTCAAGCAAAACATGCTTGACGGTGATTCTCTAATCACAAGGGACACAGAATGGAGTGTCATCATCTTTCATGAGTAAAACGTGTACGTCCAATTCGACATCGTCGCAATACAACTTCATCACATCTTGATTTAACCCAAGTAGGTATAACCTAGTTTGTTTTATTTAATGAAGTTTGTTTACACCTACTTGGGTGTTCCGCTTCGTTTGCATGAACTGTCTGATATACTCTTTGATAGTGGGTATAACATGAGACTGAAGTATCGGAAATAGAGAGACACACTTATCCAGATCTGCATTAGCAGCACTAGCAGCATTAGCAGCAGCAACAGCCCTAATATTACCCACAATGCCTATATGACCTGGCAACCAAAAAAGACAAAGAAGAACTGGCCAGTAAAGAGGTCATTGTACAATTCTAAAATGTCAAGTATAAATTATTCCACACCTTTGACAACGGTACACGTGATTTGATTTTGGATACATAATTTCTACAAAACTGGCGTTTATTTTGTCTTAAGGTTCGTCTAGCCTTTGCACTGTTTATTTTTACAATATTTAAATTATGAATTTAGGGTGTCGGCGGTTTACTTTTCTGCCCTATTGTGGATAACTATCTCTGAAGATGAGGGTTTCCTGGTTGTCTGATTTAAATTTAGTTGTTTTCTTTCTTTTCTGGTCAAATGGTCAAAGGTTGAATGGCTGGTTCTTTAGCCTCCGATTCTTTAGTGACAGGCTCTTCAGCATCAGATACATCAGGGACTGGTTCAGATTGACCCACTGTTTGTGTAGCAGACAATCAAATATATTTATAAATAATTTAATTTGTTTAGGTTAACCACAATATATCGTCATTGTACTTTTACTTATTTACTTTTCACAAAGTACGATAGCTAAGAGAATGACAGGAGGAGATGGCTAAAATATAATGGGATAAAATGGGTCTGTACCATATAAGTATTGGTGTACAACGATATATACTGCAATCATTATTTTTCAGAAACATGCCCCGATCAATGGACTGAATATCAAGATTCCTGCTACTTCCTGTTTAAGTTTGACCTAGAATGGACACAAGGAAGCGTAAGTCTTGCACGTGTACCTACTTGTGAGCACAACTGACAGTCATATTGTCGTGGAATAGGTTTCTGTGCAATCAATTATTATATATTAAGTTTGATCGATAGAAAATGTGAAAGTATTGTGTCTCGTCAAACAAATTATTTGTTTTCGGTTAAATAGTAATTATTTTTACAGCGATGTACATATGTACAGACATATTGTCGTGGAATAGGTTTATATGCAAATAATTATTATATATTAAATTTGATCGATAAAAAATGTGAAAGTATTGTTTCTCGTCAAACAAATTATTTGTTTTCGGTTAGTTAGTAATTATTTTTACAGCGATGTACATATGTTCTGAGTGAAGTTGATCATCTTTCATTCATATAAATCGTGACAAAACGTTCGCCACATAAAACACAATGAAGAACAGTTATGATGTAAATTATGTATATCTACCATGCCATGTGACGTGACCTCAACACACCTAATTATCCCTATGGAGATTGGTATGACCTGTTTCGATTGGGTGTGCATTTTAAGTAACTGCCAATTAAAGTAACTGCTAATAAGTCTACCATGTCATAATAAGTCCTAGGGCAGAAATGTGTCATTCATTTTAATATGTTTACCAAACTGTGATTGATTCACTGATTTACAGTGGGGACGTGTGCGGAAAATCACTGCAGTGCAGTGTTGCTTCCCTTAGACATGACCGGATCCGATGATCGTTGGCTGAATACACATACATCTGTGCGTCTTGTCGAACCATTGGATTTCACCAAGTGTTTTACTTCTTCTTCTTCTGTGACTGCTAGCTTTTTCCTCACATTAAGTCAACACGCGGTTACTTAACTGAATTTTATTTTTTAAAATGGAGCTCAAACCAACTCACTTACTTATTCAATGATTTCTCGCTCTACAGTACATGTGCGGGCTACAAGGTGGATATCTGGCATCGATTGAATCTGAAGTCGAAAATGATTTCATTAAAAGCTATCTCCAAACTAACGGTAAGCATTGTTTCTCCGTAAGGAATGAAATATGTATGTGCAAGTACAGTCACACTGCATGAGAGATGGAGCATGTTATAAGATATAAACGTATATTATGTGCATAAAACCCTGCTCTCTGTTCAACATTTTTAAAAAGATGTGGGTGAGAGAGAATGGATGTTTAACGCTCCGGAACCAAAATGTGTTCCGTGATGAGAGTTCCACAGTGCGGATTGTGTTGGTCAGAGTATTGGCGGCTCGTGGTCTGTAAATATTCCAGCTATATGACGGCGGTCTGTCAATAATCGAGTCCGGACCAGACAATCCAGTTATTGACATCAGGAGCCTCGATCTACGCAATTTGGATATGATGACATGCATCAGCCAAGCCGGCGAGCCTGACCACCCGATCCCGTTAGTCGCCTCTTACGACAAGCATTGTAGTTCGAAGTGAAACGCAACTGTAGCGTCACAGGACATTGCAACACAACAGTCCTGGTATAACTCACGGTCATGTGGCCCATGAACATTTTATCGTAAATGATAAAAACTTTCAAATCCAGGGCCCATCGACTGTTGACAAAATTTCAAAATGTTCGCTAATTTCAAGAGATAAACAATGATCTTGTACCACACAAACAAGATGTCAATCATGTAACTGACAGCAATATAATCATCTGTGGAGAACACAAATGTGTATAATCAAATGTAAGGACCAATAACTAAGAGATAAAACTCAAATGTTTCTGTATTCAGCTCACGGCAACAGCGTGTGGATTGGCGCCACTGACATGATGACGAGGGGGTCTACCGCTGGGTGGAGGATGATGACGTTGTGAGCTTCACCACGGGGGGCCAGGAGAACCGGGTGGCAGCGAACACTGTGTGGAGGCGATGGCCGGGTATTCCTATCGGTGGAACGACGAATATTGTTCATATAAGAATTATTTCTTATGCGAAAGACGGTAAGGAACAGAAATAAAAATAGTGCCTTTTATATATGTGAGTGCAATGTTTATTCTCGAACGACTGAAGGCTCATGAGAGTGGCGGAGATGCAGTGGTATTCTTTGACTACCAATGCTGAGCAGTTTATGTTATCGCGACGTGCAGGGTTACTTGATACTGTTATATACTGATACCTTTTATATGTATATAGTGTTGAATTTTCACTGGTTAAAAGGTCGTATTCTTTCACATGAACAGTCCAAGACGTGAATCGAGCCTGCAACTTCACATGGCATGTTTAGTAAAGTTTCACCACTGAGCTACCGGGGAAGGTGATGAACGGGTGTTCAATTTTATATGTAACCGACTTCAGTTGTCTGCATTCTGCACGTGGTGTTGTCATATTGAAGGATCGCCTATTTGTTCCACTTAGTTTCTTCCAAGACATTATTGGGAAAGAACCCGGTTTTTTAGCTGAGGAAAGCGACCATTGATACAAGATTAATGCAAGAGATTGTGATAGAAAAAGCGAGGAACACACAGATTAATGCGAGGGAACGAAATAGTATAGTGCGGGAACGCAAAGGATAATGCGAGGGAACGCAATAGTAAAGCGAGGGAACACAAAGATTAATGCGAGGGAACGAGATAGTAAAGCAAGGGAACGCGATAGTACAACGATGGAACGCGACAGTACAGCGAGGGAAAGCTATGAACATATTTTTGCTATGGCGGATAGATCACAATGAGGTGAAAAACATGTGAATCCAGATTTACGGGTATTAAATAACTGCGATATTTATTTCCCCAAGCCGAATGCCACGGTTTCTTTTTGAAAATGGGATTGAGAAAGAAAGACTTATTGATAGTTCCACCACATCCTCTATGGTTGTACTGGGCTTGCTGACAGAACGGCCATCTCTTGGGGATATCTTCTAAAGCATTCACGCTGACATTATGATTGCTACATGTACATTGTTACTATCCCCCGTTTTTGTTGTTTCAGGAAACAAGCAGAACACAAACAACGAACAGCCAACAGAAACCAGCCTGTACAGAGCAGTTCAAGAGGAAGTATCATGCCTCGACGTAAGTTTGTTTGTTTGTTTGTTTGTTCTTTAACACCGCACTCAGCAATATCCCAGCTATATGACGGCGGTCTGTAAATAATCGAGTCTTGACCAGACAATCCAGTGATTGATATCATGAGCATCGATCCACGCAATGGCGATCGATGACATGCATCAACCACGTCAGCGAGCCTGACCACCCGATCCCGTTAGTCGCCTTTTACGACAAGCATTGTCGCCTTTTACGGCAAGCATGGGTTGCTGAAGACCTATTCTACCCCGGATCTTCACGGGTCTCCACGTAAGTGATATGTAGTAAAACTACTAAGTAAGTGATTGGGTGAGTGAGTGAGTCCCAAGTCGCAGTATTTCAGAAACATCGTGACTGGAATAACGTACACATTAAAATAAGTACTTTATAGTATATTACACATGTCAACCATAGTTTGTTTGTTTGTTTGAGCATCGATCCGCGTTTTGTTTTGTGCGTTTATTGTTATAGGCCGCACTCAGCAATATTCCAGCTATATAACTGCGGTCTGTAAATAATAGAGTCTGGACCAAACAATCCAGTGATTGACTTCATGAGCATCGATCCACGTTTTGTTTTGTTTGTTTGTTGTTTAACGCCGCACTCAGCAATATTTCAGCTATATGACGGCGGTCTTTAAATAATCGAATCTGGACAAGTCAATCCAGTGATTGGCATCATGAGCATCGATCCACGCAATTGAGATACGATGACATGTAATAGGGATACGATGACATGCATCAACCAAGTCAGCGAGCCAATACCGTTAGTCGCCTTTTACGACAAGTATAGTCGCCTTTTTCGGCAAGCATGGGATCTTCATGGGTTTGTATATACTGTTGAAAGAAGGGCAGAAAGTAAATAATGTTATTCATCGCCAAAGTCGTTTCTGTTGCATAATAAAAACAGTCTGTCCTGACCTATTCTACCCCGGATCTTCACGGATCATGTTAACCATTGACAGTATACCAACTAGTATATCACAGTTTTGTTTTAAAACGTGTTCATTTGACAATATAACTATTATTTGACATAAAACAGGCTGTTCATCGCCAGCAACCAAATAATACCCACTTAGAAACCTCATCTATTGTTTTCGTGTTATGTTCCTGGTATTCGTTGTATAACTTCTGATTATCAGGGCCTAACAAACGTTATCATCACCAGGCATCCATAACCACGCAGCTGTCTTAGTTAAAACAAATCTTGGCGACGTACGACTAAAATTACGACTGCCATAGGAGATATGCTTGAAGGTGTCTAAACATATCGCAACGTTCTCATATTTGCGTCACAAGGATGTCTATCTGTCCTGGTATACTCTGCAAAAAAAGAAACGCAAAAGTTATTTTGGATGTATATTTTATATATCATATAAATAATCAACAGATGGTAATCGATTGTTCACAATTAGCACACATCATTGTCATTGATCCAGGTTCCGCATGACACACAATGGATTAGTAGATTTCAAGGTGAAGGTCATCTGTTCTCAATATGTTGTATGGCCACCATTAGAGCCCCAAACTGACTAGCATCGTAGTCCCATGGAAGCTACAGATCCCGAATTGTGGCCTGGGAAATGTTAGCCCCCTCTGCCTGTAGTGCTTGTACACTGTCATAGTGAGTAAGTGAGTTGGGTTTTAACGCCGCTTTTAACAGTATTACAGTTATATCGCGGCGTGTCAGCTTAATGTGGGAGGAAAGCCCGAAGTGATGCAGGTCTCTGACGTTTACCACTTCGGTGAAACCCACGAGCACGGGTATGGTGCTGACAAACCTAGAAACATAATCAGGGAGAACCGGGATTCGAACCCACAATCATAGGTTTCTGGCGTGCCCAAGGGTCGCAACTCAGTACAGCGAATCGCAGGGCTTTAGACGACTGGGCCACCCGTACATTGTCAGAAGTTCTGCTGCTGTTGCTGACGTGATCGATGTCGTTGTTCCAGCGCATCCTATAAATGGACTTAGTGATTTCACAGCTTTTGCATTCATATATTTCAGGACCTTGCCCGGACCAATGGACTCGATACCAAAGTTCGTGTTATCTCTTGATTGAGTATGATCTTGACTGGATACAAGCAAACGTGAGTTCTACAGACGTGGTTACCTTAGTTATTGGAGTGAGTGATTTGGGTTTAACGCCGCTTTTAACAGTATTCCAGTTATATCACGGAGGAAAGCCCAAAGTGATGTAGGTCTCCACTTCGGTTAATGAAAAACCTAGAAACATAATCGGGGAGAACCGGGATTCGAACCCACAATCCTAGGTTTCTGGCGTGCCCAAGGGACGCAACTCTTCACAGCGTATCGCGGCACCTTAGACGACTGGGCCACCCGTGCCCCCTATTTTTTAAATATAATTACATGGCAAAGAAGAGATTATCCATATATTATATCGCAACATGTACTGAATCAGTTTTGTTATACGATTTATTGTAGTATCCTTGCGTGTATCATTCAATGTTGTGTTGAAAATTCTGGAAACCTAACTTATCCTGATTAGTTGATTAAATGCAAAATTAAATTTGCACTGACAGTGAATTTCAAATCACCTCGCCTGAATGTATCTATCGTTAATTAATATTATGTTCACGGTACCAAAAAACCGAGAAACAATTTTGTGTAATTAATTTTGTAAAAGGTAAATTTGCACACGTTTAGAAAACAAATATTTCTGGAACACACTTTTTTCCATAACTTTCTATGTTTGGAATTGTGTGTTTTGTAATTGTAGTTCGTTTTTAAATGAACACATGTTAAACGTATCTATAGAATTGTATTCCGCGTTCAATATCGTGATTGAATCGATGGTTTCTTCTTAATCTATCCACAGTACATGCGCGGGCTACAGGGCGGATATCTGGCATCGATTGAATCTGAAGTCGAAAATAATTTCATTAAGCGCTATTTGAGAACTAATCAAGGTAAGTGATATGATGAAATATGCATGCGAAGAAACACTGAAAGACAAAGTGAGTGAGTGAGTATGATTTTATGCCGCTTTTAGCAATATTCCAGCAATATCACAGCGGGGAACACCAGAAATGGGCTTCAGACATTGTACCCGTGGCGGGAATCGAACCCGAGTCTTCGGCGTGACGCGCGAAAGCTTTAACCACTAGGCTACCCGACCTCCCCCTGAAAGACAAAGACCACGAGTGTTGTTATGTAAAGACAACTTTCAAGGCATTGGACTCCGAATTTGTCATCCGGGGTTCCAATTTACTGATCACTGTTGCACTCAAAACTCACAAGTAAACCTAAGTAATTTTTACCAATATAGTACGTTTTCAATATTGACCGAGGATTAAGATGATGGGTAGGGGGAAGTGAAATGGGGTAGATCGTGTGTGTGTGTGTGTGTGCGTGCGTGTGTGTGTGTGCGTGCGTGCGTGCGTGCGTGCGTGCGTGCGTGTGCGTGCGTGCGTGCGTGCATGCGTGCGTGCGTGTGTGTGTGTGTGTCTGTTTATGTGCGAGAGATTGAGCGAGTATATGGTTTTGCGCCGCTTTAAGCAATATTCTAGCAATGTGACGTCGGACAATATACCCATGTGGGGAAACGAACCCGGGCCTTGGCCGTGACGAGCGAAGGCTTCAACCATCAGGCTATCCAACCTACCCGTGTGTATGTGTGTGTGTAATATTTATGTAAATATATGTGGATTTTGAGGTGTGTCAGTGGTCTAACAGGTTCAGCCAGCCAACATAGATCCATGATGCACTTGAACATGAATACCCCACTCAGACACATTATACTGACTCCAACCCCGCAAGCCATTGCTTTGCCCCCTCACTGCCAAGCACTGGACAGGGTAGGGTCTTCAGGTATGACGCGGGCAGGGGATTGAAGCGCCGACCTTCCGCTGTCCGTTGCACCACAGAAACGGTCTTCTAGATAACGGTTAGGCTTGAATTGTTACAGTTACACAGCGAGGGCGAAAACAGATGATGCAGGGACATAGCCTCTCTCAATTTAAGTATTGCTTGCATCTCATGATACATGCTGTTCATTATTAATGTTACTACCAGAACTTCAATTGCTTTAAGAAATGTTATAGCCGCTGGAGCAGTTAGTTAACGTACTCTTGGTAATATCAGGTTATTTCTTACACGATAAGATAAGGTATATTTTTAAATGCATCAATCGTGATGGATTTTCTGAAATCTATTTGATTGTTATCAGAACAGAAAGGAAATACAATACAAACCGGAATGAAAACATCTTGTGCGTGTCACCGTATCACTGACATAGAATTTGAAATCATGTTTGCTGTCATTGCGATAGTTCCTCTCTCTGACTTCTGACAGGGGGCACGGGTGGCCCAGTCGTCTAAGGCGCCGCGATTCGCTGTGCAGAGTTGCGTCCCTTGGGCACGCCAGAAACCTATGATTGTGGGTTCGAATCTCGGTTCGCCCCGATTATGTTTCTAGGTTTGCCAGCACCATACCCGTGCTCGTGGGTTTCACCGAAGTGGTAAACGTCTTAGACCTGCATAACTTCGGGCTTTCCTCCCACGTTAAGCTGACACGCCGTGATATAACTGGAATACTGTTAAAAGCGGCGTTAAATCTAACTCACTCACTCACTCAATGTGTGAAACTCTGCGGCGTAAAGTCATACTCTTCTGACTTATTTGTAAAGGGATTAACATCCCGAAATAGTAAAATCATGCAGCACACGACGCCAGTCTGTTGTTTACTGTCGCACTCAGCAATATTCCAGCTATATGACAGAGGTATGTAAATACTCGAGTCTGGACCAGACAAACCAGTATTGATAATCGTGAGCATCGATCTACGCAATTGGGATACGATGACATCCCTCGAACAAGTCAGCATCTTAGACAGGAATGGTTGCTGTAGACCAATTCTAACCCAGAACTTCACGGGTTAGCGTTATGTTGCCACGTGGAAGGAGTGCGTGCTGTAACCAGGGTAGTGGTTCGTGCCATAGAACGCGACGTCATCTTTTGTATGATAAATGTTGGCTGCATCTTTGATCTCAGCCCCAGACATGATTGAATAATTATGCTTTTCATTGGCAAGTCAGTTCGAAGAGGAACATGCTTGTTCCAATATTGGCCTTGGTCACAAAACATTCAAATATGCTTTTAGACCGCCTCCTTGGTCTAGCGGTAGCGCGGAAGGTCGGAGAGCAGAAGGTCCGGGGTTCGATCCTCGGCCGCGTCATACCAAAAAGACGTTAAAAGATGGTACTTGTTGCACCCCTGGTGCTCGGAGAACACTTGTACATTTCCCATTTCTAAAGAAAGATTTGTGTCACAATGATGTAAGAAAATGATATGAATTTGCCTTCTGATTACGTCTAGTTATTAATATTTTTAATACGATAAGCATGACATTACTATCAACATATACCCTTTGTTTTAATTGTCAGATTGTTTAAGATCTTGGTCACATTGAATATTCGCAAACGTTCTAAATGTTTCTTCTACCGTCTATTTCAAAGTAGAGACGGGGATACGGGTGACCCAGTCGTCTAAGGCGCCGCAATTCGCTGTGTAGAGTTGTGTCCCTTGGGTATGCCAGAAACCTATGATCTTGGTTTCGAATCCCGGTTCGTCATGTTTCTAGGTTAAACAGAACCATCCGAGTGCTCGTGGGTTTACGTGGTAAACGTCTAAGACCTGCATCACTTTGGACTTTCCCCCCAAACCAAGTTGACACGCCGTGATATAACTGGAATACTGCACAAAGCGGCGTTAAATCCAACTCACTCACTCACTGAAAGGACAACAATTCTATTCAGTCCCATACCACCCAAATAAGATATCAATCATATAAATGGCAGGCAATACGACCATTTACGGGGGAAAAAGACGAATTTAAGGAATTGAATGGACCAATGACCAAGTAATAAATACAAACTGTTTCTTGCATACAGGTTACAGCCATAACGTGTGGATTGGCGCCACTGACATGAGGGTGAGGGGGATCTACCGCTGGGTGGAGGATGATGACGTTGTGAGCTTCACCAACTGGGGACCAGGAGAACCGGGTGGCAGCGAGCACTGTGTGGAGGCGAGGGCCGGGTATTCCTATCGGTGGAACGACGACCCTTGTTCGTATGAGAAACATTTCCTGTGTGAAAGACGGTAAGGACGAGGAATGTTGAACTCAGGAAGTAGTGTCAAGAAACGATATGGTGTATGATGACACATCTAGAATCGTGTGTCGTTTCATGCTATATTTACACTTTGCAATTATATGATTTGTTTGTTTGTTGTTTAACGCCGCACTCAGCAATATTCCAGCTATATGACGGCGGTTTGTAAATAATCGGGTCTGGACCAGACAATCCAATGATTGATATCATGAGCATCGACCCTCGCAATGTGGGATCGATGACATGCATCAACCAAGTCAGCGAGCCTGACCACCCGATCCCGTTAGTCGCCTTTTACGACAAGCATAGTCGCGATTTACGCCAAGCATGGGTTGCTGAAGACCTATTCTACCCCGGATCTTCACGGGTCGCAATTATATGAAGAACAGATGTGTTTTCAGATTAGCGTGATTTAATACTTTTTTGACGTTCGGACATTAATTAAAACAATCACTTTTTTAATTCCACTTTTTAAAATTTAATCAATTGAAAAACAAAACATATATATTTGCTAAAAGAAAGTTTTCAGTCATTTGTTTAATTTGTCTATAAAGCATAATGCCATACATTTCGTAAGGCCATCCGTACTAGAATCCCACATGCTTACTAATGAGATATACACGTGAGCATTAAGTGATCATCACCCACATTATCGGATGTGGGTACATTAAACATGACTGGTCTGACTCACAGTCGGAAACACCACAAAAGTGTTGTAAACTGACACACACAACGTCTGGCACTATCATCACCTGGATAATGAACCGACACTAACAATCGATACCGATTTATTGGCGTAATAAGAAGTCTGAACATGTTAATCTCAATAACGCTGAAAAGTATAAGCACCCATCCCACACCGCGAATCGGACTCTCGCATTAAGCAGTGGACAACCTAGGAATCACCCTGCAGTAAGTATCTGGAGTGTCCACCCCTCTCAAAGACTACATTCGCATGGCGTCTCCTCGTGCTGCTGATTTTCAACCTTGAGAACCTCTGCCATTCCTGGTACAGTGAGTGAGTGAGTGAGTGAGTGAGTTGGGTTTAACGCCGCTTTTAACAGTTTTGCAGATATATCGCGGCGTGTCAGCTTAATGTGGCAGGGAAGCCCGAAGTGATGCAGGTCTGAGACGTTTACCACTTCAGTGAAACCCACGAGCACGGGTATGGTGCTACAAACCTAGGAACATAATCGGGGCGAACTGATATTTGAACCCACAATCATAGGTTCCTGGCGTGCCCAAGGGACGCAACTCTGCACAGCGAATTGCGGCGCCTTAGACGACTGGGCCACCCTCCTGGTACAATACCTGGGTCGGAGTTTTGAACCGGATGGTCTCCACCTCTCACATGGCGGCAGTACATTATACAAAATGATGACAAGTCAGGGTTCCATTGTTTGTTGTTATGTTTTGGAATTTTATTTTGAATCAGGTGGTGCTCAATTAATGCTCATGTGTATATATGCGCTGCTCGGAGAATGAATAAAAAAGGAAACGCTCGACGTGTCACGAATAGTTTGATGCGAGATGAATGATAGTATGACGTCACAATAGGGGCGTGGTACAAATCAGTTACCACATTGCTTCCGAGTTGCTTCTCCGATATAAGTAACCGGAGACCTTCTCGGGTGTCAGTATTGTCAAAATGTGCAATAACCATACCTTCAACTCGCAAAGTCATGTTGTACCTTTTGCATGTCAGTCCGACCCGTGAAGATCCGGGGTAGAATAGGTCTTCAGCAACCCATGCTTGCCGTAAAAGGTGACTATGCTTGTCGTAAGAGGCGACTAACGGGATCTCTTGGTCAGGCTTGCTGACTTGGTTGACGCATGTCATCGTATCCCAATTGCGTAGATCGATGCTCATCATGTCAATCACTGGATTGTCTGGTCCAGACTCGATTATTTACAGACCACCGTCATATAGCTGGAATATTGCTGAGTGCGGCGTTAAACAACAAACAAACAGACAAAGCATATAAGTCCTAACGAGTAAAGTAGCCAGACTGATGTCTTCAATGATTTTTTGCAGGGTTGAGGGCAGTATTTTTGGCTGATCCTTCTACCTCCGATACGCAGCGACACCATCTGGGACCCCGCACCTCCTATCACCGATATGTTGTTTGTGTGGTGAAAACATCATATATACATTACTTTACTCGGCTCTGTCTCATGTCAAACCATATTTACCGATGTAATAATTCTCCTTGTTGCGGCAACAGCACTGACGTTTACATTCACAAGTCCAATGAAGCGCCACACAAATCATTCGTCTCCTTGTATAAGCTGACAAAGACTATTGACCTCAACTGTAGTCATACTGCTTAACACAAAGGAGTGAGTTAAAGTTTAACGTCACATCGGAATATTTCAGCCATATCGTAACGAATTAACACAAAGGAAGGAACATAACCTCTCTCGTTGTCCCCTCTTGTGCTCTGGGTGCGAATAGACCCCAGTACCATGTCCTAAGGCCATGATTGTCCTAAGATCAGACTGTACTGGGGAACGGCCTGTGACAAGGTTGCTTGCTTGTCATCGTTCACGATGGCGTGTTTGTCGCTCACGCTCTTGGTAACAGATCTGCTAGGCCTAAACGTCATTCATAACATGCCGCAGCAGTGACATAGCTGGACTATTGCTTACTGTTTAATGTCATATATCATCCCTTTATAATTAATTAATAGTCTGTACATGATAGTTGACTTGCCTTTGCATGTGTTTGTGACGGGTGACACCTGTGGGGCAGATTACGTCACCTTTTCAATTCAATTCAAATATTTTCGAGGACACCTTTATCATTACTGTTTGATAGTGATTCATAAACACATGCTCATGATGTAGTCAGAATCGTACACTCGACTCAGGTTTGGGCGGAGATTTGGAGAGGGCTTTGTCGCGTTTATTTCTGTACATGAGTGGATTTCCTATCACCGCCGATACAGATACCTGAATATTTAACTACAATGCTATTTTCTAGATAGAGACCGTACGTATAACCTGACGTTGTGTGTTTGTGCTAACGATGCAGAAAATGGTACTATTTTATGAGGACTGTGCTTGAGATATAATAGTTTTACAGCCAGCGCTTCAAGACATACAGTTTTGTTCCCCGATTAATTTCGTTTGGTAAATCCAGAGGACATTTTATTTTTAATCCACGCCCCAAGAGTGTGCTTATTACAGGTGGATTGTCTTTATATATCATGTAAATCCGATTTTATCTCGCATTATAAAGCTTTTTAATAAATGATACATAAATAATATTCGAAAACTATATACGTGTATTCAGCTTGTATACTTGTGAAAGTATCTTTTCTTGGCTATTGTATTCGTCTATGTGCGAGTTCTTGAAATAAAATGATCATAAATCATGTTTTGGCTGTTTTGTGTTATTTCATGTTGACCAGTTTGCCGAGCGCAAGGTTTAACGATCTACATTAATTTACGTTAGATGGCAATCCTGAACCGGATTGCGTTGATGCTGAATTAAGAATTAATCACTCTATGGTTAGTTGGTTGGTTGGTTTGCTGTTTTATGCCGCACTCAGCAATATTCCAGCTATTTGACGGCGGTCTGTAAATAATCGAGTCTGGACCAGACAATCCAGTGATTAATATCATGAGCACCGATCCACGCAATTGGGATCGATGACCTGCATCAACCAAGTCAGCGAGCCTGACCACCCGATCCCGTCAGTCGCCTTTTACGACAAGCATAGTCACCTTTTGCGGCAAGCATGCTATGAATGCGGTTTATCCTTTGAGTCGAATACCTCGTGGAATGTCATATATGGGCATTGCAGCATCGTTGTCCTTTGGTAAAAAACAATAAATTGTTTTATGCAGAACGTTACATGGAGACAATGTGATGATTCGACAAGTGGTAAAGTTGTTTCATTGTCCTGATGTCCTGTTTGGATAATTTTGTCTCTTTCCGTTGGTTTTGTAAGGGCGACTACGTGACAATATCCTGACCATTTTTAAGAAAAAATGCGTGTTGCATGAGTGATATCCGGGTCAAGGACTACATTCGTTATGATCCACTGTGATCAGATTACGCCCGTACGTAGACTACCAGCGTCACACCAGGAAGATCGTTGTCGAACAGGACATGGATAATATTCCGCCGAGTACCAGTGTGCAACTGCTTCTTGAAGTGAGTGAGTGAGTATGGTTTTACGCCGCTTTGAACAGTATTCCATTTATATCACGGCGGGTCAGCTTAATGTGGGAGGAAAGCCCGAAGTGATGCAGGTCACGGACGTTTACCACTTCGGTAAAACCCACGAGCACGGGTGTGGTGCTGACAAACCTAGAAACGTAATCGGGGAGAACCGGGATTCGAACCCACAATCATAGGTTTCTGGCGTGCCTAAGGGACGCAACTCTGCACAGCGAATCGCGGCGCCTTAGACGACTGGGCCACCTGTCCTCCCGCTTCTTGAAGTAACATGACACATACTAGTGCGTGATCGTTGTGTGTACACACAGCTGTTTGCGTCAACAACACAAGGTGTGCCCTGTCAGTCAGTTGTGAATTCTGTCCATTATTCATAGGTAATCGATATCCCTGAACAAGGATCAATTGTTTACAATGACGTCTGATCGGTGTTGCTTACCTGATGAGTTGTGTTGATGTCTGTGTGTATTACGTTACTGTCTGGAACTATAGCGTGTGACCAATTAAGATTTAATCATGGAAATTTACGGTATCGTGAACAACCAATTATCACACCAACGTACACGCCATGCATGGTAACACAAGACAACAAGACTGAATTAGGTCATTTAGGGTTATAACACTAGCGTAACGGCTGTGCGGAAGGGAAAATATTAAAGCTCAGCGACTGAGTGAGTGAGTGAGTGAGTTTAACGCCGTTTGTAACATTATTCCATTTTTATCACGGCTTGTCAGCTGAATGTTGGAGGAAAGCCCGAAGTGATGCAGGTCTCAGACGTTTACCACTTCGGTGAAACCCACGAGCACGGGTGTGGTGCTGACAAACCTAGAAACATAATCGGGGCGTACCGGGATTCGAACCCACAATCATAGGTTTCTGGCGTGCCTAAGGGACGCAACTCTGCACAGCGAATCGCGGCGCCTTAGACGACTGGGCCACCCGTGCCCCTCAGCGACTGAGAGAGAGCCTACGTCGAACACCTTTTGTGGTAGTAGCGAGTGAGTAAGTTGGATTTTACGCCGCTTTTAGCAATATTCCAGCAATATCACGGCGGGGGACACCAGAAATGGGCTTCACACATTGTACCCATGTCGGGAATCGAACCCGGGTCTTCGGCGTGACGAGCGAACGCTTTAACCACTAGGCTACCCAACCGCCCTATTGTGGTAGTAAGCAGGTTCAGTACATTGTCAGCAGAGTTTCAGAGTGACATGAAACAGGCAAAGGATCATTTGAATCCGTCAGTGGGCATGTGTCGTGATTAAGTTCACTGTTATATTTTGCTGCTATACCCCCATTTGAATATGTTACAAGAATTTATCAATCATGTAGTGAGTCACATGCAAATGACAGTTCTCTTCATAAATGTAAATAAATCAAAGCGACAAGATATTGTCCATTCTACGATGAATTTGAAATTTACTCGATTCTGATTGGTCAATCAGAGGCTATTAAATCACAATATTTTGGTGCTTTTCTATATACGACTGTGACGTCATATCGTTTGCGTCACAATGAGCGATATGACGTCATAATGGTGACGCGCGATTCAGAGCGAAAGCCTTGCAAAGCTTGCTTTGTATTCTTTAGGGATGCCCACCTCATGTTAGCTTACCATGTCGCCGTGCTTATATGCTTTCAATGCCTGCTATATGTTCGAGTGAAGTATTACGGTGTAAACACACTGCTTGAGTATAAACAGCGCCATATTTTTCTCGGTGATTCCGTAATTCAGATCGATAACCCACTCAAAACACTGAACTAAACCCATGCCGCTTCACTCAGTACATTTGCTAACACCAAAGTGTTCGCGTTTTATTTAGTCATGGTAGAATGGAGATACACATCCTGTGTTTTCAATGTCGAGCTAGGTTACCTGTAGATTAACCGCGCTAAATTGAATTTGGAACCGAACGCGCAGAGTGAGGTTTCAAATGTTAAATTAAACACAGTATGTTTATCTCCTAATTATCAAGCGAAACATGTCTCATAAGCATTTGCTTATAAATCATTATCAAGTAGTGATTATACAAGGTGTTCGTGAAAAGATGAACATATCCCGCCCAACCGTTGGCACCCGTCACAAACACATGCAAAGGAAAATCAATTGTTCACCTGAATAAAACACTGGAACATATCATAACAGTAAAAATAGGCAATTGTACTTTACATAGGGTCATGTCGTACTCATGTCTGCCATAAAACTATACGAAAGCAGTATTAAGCCCTTGAATGAAACCCTGATGGAACAACTTGTGAACAAAAGTCTCAGTAGAAACAGCATGCTCGATTGTACGTAAAACGTTGTGAACTGTAGACACCAAAGACATTTCTCAACAAAAAGGGAAAGCTGACTATTTGTAAGTCAAACAGACTTACATGTATGGATAGTATTTTACCACTCTGAAATTTAATGCACATATGATAAATACAAAAACGATGAGACTGTTTAACCGGTCTCTTTTATTTCGAGGTTAGGTGGGTAAATCAGTGGAAAGTAATTGCCTTTTTGAGCCTTGTTGAACGATATCAGATCATCGATAAACTCAAGCTTAAGTTGAACTTGATGGCCATATTCCCATGGTTTGACTTTACCAATCCGAGCAGAAAATCGATTCATATATAATACAGTAAACTACGGTTAGAACGAACACGCTTATAACGAACTGACGGATATAACGAACTTACTTTTTAGTCCCGACTATTTGCTGTGGTTATGCTGTATATATGCCTAAAGCGAACTACGGTTATAACGAACTTAAAATAGTAGTCCCTCTGAGTTCGTTATAACCGTAGTTTACTGTAGAGAACTATATCAGCAACGAGAGGATCACAGTTGGTGCCCCTGAGATGCTTAATTCCTACATGTCTTATCCCCAAATTTCACATCGGTTTTTTATTGATGAAAATGTCAGAACCATACCAAAATATGCCACTGAGAACACGAAGAGATTCCATCAGTCCTGAGAACGCAAGAGGAATAAACATTTTCATAAAGAATGTTTGGCGACAGGTCCAGCATACAGTCCAGGGCACTAAGTTCTATGGCTGGTAAACAACCGAGCCAGGGTCCAACTAACTAGCTGTTCATTGACAGACAGACAAACAGACAGACAGCTTATTTGTATCTCACCTCATATATACATTTAAAATAACACAAGAATATCACCGTACCGTACACTAGTCACTATGTAGGAATTATGGGAAACTATATAACTACTTGTTACGAGGGTATATACACCACATAAAGTACAAGGGTAAGTTACGTGAACATGAAGTGAATATTGGTAACAAAATCTGAGAGCTTGTCAATATCTGAACACACATAAAAATCTTGACAGATGGCACTGGCTTCTTGGTATAACTCATAAAGGGACGTCGTCCTGTACAGGACACTGAATCCAGTGTCGAATCCAGTCACGTGTACACGTAGTTTCCAGGTTATGGACAGCTGCTCTTGTTGCTGACCGTGGAACCTGATCGGGAGAATATAGGTGATCACCATTGTTCTCGGAGAATAAACTATGGATTCTAAAATTCCAGTTGTTGCAGCGTGGAGATGAAAGGTTGCCATCCCACGTGAAAATCTTATTTAGTCTCTGAGCACTCATGTTCTTGAATATGCACCATTGTCGTAAGACGGCTTGGCTCTGCTTTTTGCCTACAGGTAACCATCCCTGGTCTTTGAGTGAGTGAGTGAGTGAGTGAGTGAGTTTCACGCCGCTTTTAACAGTATTCAAACTATATCGCGGCGTTCCAGCTTATAGTGGGAGGAAAGCCCCACGTGATGCAGATCTCAGACGTTTACCACTTCGGTGAAACCCCGGCATGGTGCTTCTTGTCATAGTTTCTCTGTGCTTCAGTTCCATATGTCCAACCTTCTTCCATGGACAAACCCATATCTGTGATTTTCTGTATGCACCTGCAAACACAAGGGGAAAGCATGCTTTTGTTGATGTTCATAAGACGTATTTGGCAGTTGGTGTGTGCAGATATGTCGAATTGATCTTAACAGGAGATAAAGTCGACCGAAACCTTGGATATGAGAACACCAATTCTAATCTCCAAACAGTCGTCATCACACATTATTCTTCCTGTCCAATTAAGCCTGCCAAGGATAAAGCGTGTCCTTAGCATCTTACTATCTGACAATGATATGTTCACAATTGACATATGGGTACTTATCAAATGGTCATCAGATACCTCTTTAGCTTGTCAATGCAATCATGATTGTGTTTGTCATAATTCATTTAGTGGGTAAGGAGGTCAATCACAATGCAATGTACCTTTGTGTTTGACCAGCAGCTGCTCTGCCTCTGCCTTACTCGTGTCACTGAAATATATCAGGCAATGCTGCATTTTAACAAGAAATAACTGATTAGCCTGCAGCATAAACATAGAATGGTGATCTTATTTTTCTACTAATGATAGAATAGTCTTTTCAGTATTTTGAAATGAAAGTATCAATATTGAGATGGGTTAAACAAACTTTCGTTCCCCTCAGAAATCCCATTGTGTTATTAATTCGTGCTATTATAAGAATGATGTATGTTTCTTTACCCCTACTATCTTCTTGTTTGTAACAGAAATACCAAACTTTTGTTTTACCTCAGCAATGTGTCCTCCATCCTTTGCCCCGTTTTGGAGAGTCGTTCATCCAGCAGTAACTGAAAGCTCTCACTGTGAGATACAGTGGTCCTGTGATGGGTTGAATGAAGATGAAGCATCAGTTTACGGTACATATCCACAGGCACAACATAGTGTGATGCTTTGCCAACATCCTCATCAACAGCTGGCAATAAACGAATGTCGGATAGGGCAGACATCATGATGAAGGCCTTGTGGATTTTCAGACATCGTTCTTGAGACATCAACAGATTACTACCAATACTATATTTTGATGTCTCTTCTTTTATATTTGACAGTCTCCTGTTAAACGTTTTTGTCGTCTTGGTATCTTCAGACTTGATAACTCCGTAGATCACATCAAATGGTTCATCGGTGAAGTAACGTGCATACATCATTGCCTTGGCAACGGATTTGTTGTATTTTCTTTCCTTCCCGTAGTCGTCAATTCCCTCATCTTTAGAGGCTGCCGCGACACTGGCGACAACTGCTTCAGTATCTTCCTTGTCCTCTATGAAGGTGAGCAGTGTTGGGGGAAGGGATTTTGACATCAACAGAGCGTCACAAATAACTGTATCAGGACGAGCATTACAGTTCTTCAAGTTGCATGTTGCAGCCAAAGCTCTGCCTACAAGTGTGATGCCTGCTTTTCTGGTAAATTCTTTCAGGCGTAAGATGAGATTCGTGTGTTTGTCTTCTGCTTTAAATGCTTCTAACATTTCTGATGGGAATATTCCTAAAATGAGCAAATAAATCAAGAACATATGTTATTATGAATTATGAAGTACAAATGTAATTTATCAAAACATTTTCCCGAACTCAATGAAATATTACAATTTAACATGAGCATATCTTTTGCAAGTCGCGGACTATGCTAATTAAGTTAATTATGGCAGTTTGGTGCGACGCAGAAAATGTAGAGACAATATATGTATTATTAGTAATAGAAGGGTAATTTAGAATATTGACTTGCATGTTGAACTATGTACTCTAAAACATGTTTGGATTCTTCTTTCACAGGAATCAACTGCCATCATGATGTAAGTGTTAAGAAAGTCACATTGATTTTCGAACCTTGTGAGGGTACAGATTTTATAATCTCCTCCAGTGAGTTTCCCCTTTCCATCACAGTCGGTGGAAATGTTGATGTTGAATCATACCTAATGTAGTGGAGAGCAGGGTCAGCCGTAGGTCCTGAAGGAAGGATACCATAAGTTGAATACTACTTTTTAGCCAGCTGGGGTGTAGGAGAAAGCTTATAGAACATACTTTTATTTGTATCATTTCATTCGTATTTCTTCACCTGATGATAGCTATATGCAAGCTAGGTATCTGAATTAGAAGGGATTTCGCAGGGAAGATGCAACATTAGAACTGCACGTGCATATCCATGACGTATCCTTTGAGATCATAAGATTTGGATAAAACTTCTAGACCTACTTTAGCAAAATGTTTCTAATAATACTATTAAACTTTCCTAAAATGAATTGGTGCAAAATTGATTATTTATTTTTCAGATCTCATTACCCATTAAAATAACTTTCTTCCGTTTATAAATTCATATCTGTGTTAAACATTAATGAATACACTAGTTAACAGAGGAAATGCTTTGAGATAAATTAATATCTCAAAACGATCAGAACTACACATGTAAACACTTCAAATACTCATACATGATATTGTGTCGAAGAAGAATTACATCTGAAAACACAATGAAAGAGAGATCCGGTTACAAATTGGATAGCGGACCGGGAGCTAACACTCACTCTTAAGTTAGTTTCAAAGTGTACTTGTGCAATGGCGTTAATGTTTCTTGGACAAGACCGTAACCATTCAGACAACAAAGTCATTGAATCGATTTATCATCAGCCAAAGATGAACACTACACAAGCGCTGGGTTAAGTCGATAATATAAATGCCACCGTACCTGTCGAGGATAAAGCGTTTCCTTAGCATCTTACTATCTGACGATGATATGTTCACAATTGACATATGGGTACTTAACAAATGGTCATCAGATACCTCTTTAGCTTGTCAATGCAATCATGATTGTGTTTGTCATAATTCATTTAGTGGGTAAGGAGGTCAATCACAATGCAATGTACCTTTGTGTTTGACCAGCAGCTGCTCTGCCTCTGCCTTACTCGTGTCACTGAAATATATCAGGCAATGCTGCATTTTTACAAGAAATAACTGATTAGCCTGCAGCATAAACATAGAATGGTGATCTTATTTTTCTACTAATGATAGAATAGTCTTTTCAGTATTTTGAAATGAAAGTATCAATATTGAGATGGGTTAAACAAAATTTCGTTCCCCTCAGAAATCCCATTGTGTTATTAATTCGTGCTATTATAAGGATGATGTATGTTTCTTTACCCCTACTATCTTCTTGTTTGTAACAGAAATACCAAACTTTTGTTTTACCTCAGCAATGTGTCCTCCATCCTTTGCCCTGTTTTGGAGAGTCGTTCATCCAGCAGTAACTGAAAGCTCTCACTGTGAGATACAGTGGTCCTGTGATGGGTTGAATGAAGATGAAGCATCAGTTTACGGTACATATCCACAGGCACAACATAGTGTGATGCCTTGCCAACATCCTCATCAACAGCTGGCAATAAACGAATGTCGGATAGGGCAGACATCATGATGAAAGCCTTGTGGATTTTCAGACATCGTTCTTGAGACATCAACAGATAACTACCAATACTATATTTTGATGCCTCTTCTTTTATATTTGACAGTCTCCTGTTAAACGTTTTTGTCGTCTTGGTATCTTCAGACTTGAAAACTCCGTAGATCACATCAAATGGTTCATCGGTGAAGTAACGTGCATACATCATTGCCTTGGCAACGGATTTGTTGTATTTTCTTTCCTTCCCGTAGTCGTCTATTCCCTCATCTTTAGAGGCTGCCGCGACACTGGCGACAACTGCTTCAGTATCTTCCTTGTCCTCTATGAAGGTGAGCAGTGTTGGGGGAAGGGATTTTGACATCAACAGAGCGTCACAAATAATTGTATCAGGACGAGCATCACAGTTCTTCAAGTTGCATGTTGCAGCCAAAGCTCTGCCTACAAGTGTGATGCCTGCTTTTCTGGTAAATTCTCTCAGGCGTAAGATGAGATTCGTGTGTTTGTCTTCTGCTTCAAATGCTTCTAACATTTCTGATGGGAATATTCCTAAAATGAGCAAAAAAGTCAAGAACATATGTTATTATGAATTATGAAGTACAAATGTAATTTATCAAAACATTTGCCCGAACTCAATGAAATATTACAATTTAACATGAGCATATCTTTTGCCAGTCGCGGACTATGGTAATTAAGTTAATTATGGCAGTTTGGTGCGACGCAGAAAATGTAGAGACAATATATGTATTATTAGTAATAGAAGGGTAATTTAGAATATTGACTTGCATGTTGAACTATGTACTCTAAAACATGTTTGGATTCTTCTTTCACAGGAATCAACTGCCATCATGATGTAAGTGTTAAGAAAGTCACATTGATTTTCGAACCTTGTGAGGGTACTGATTTTATAATCTCCTCCAGTGAGTTTCCCCTTTCCATCACAGTCGGTGGAAATGTTGATGTTGAATCATACCTAATGTAGTGGAGAGCAGGGTCAGCCGTAGGTCCTGAAGGAAGGATACCATAAGTTGAATACTACTTTTTAGCCAGCTGGGGTGTAGGCGAAAGCTTATGGAACATACTTTTATTTGTATCATTTCATTCGTATTTCTTCACCTGATGATAGCTATATGCAAGCTAGGTATCTGAATTAGAAGGGATTTCGCAGGGAAGATGCAAGATTAGAACTGCACGTGCATATCCATGACGTATCCTTTGAGATCATAAGATTTGGATAAAACTTCTAGACCTACTTTAGCAAAATGTTTCTAATAATACTATTAAACTTTCCTAAAATGAATTGGCGCAAAATTGATTATTTATTTTTCAGATCTCATTACCCATTAAAATAACTTTCTTCCGTTTATAAATTCATATCTGTGTTAAACATTAATGAATACACTAGTTAACAGAGGAAATGCTTTGAGATAAATTAATATCTCAAAACGATCAGAACTACACATTTAAACACTTCAAATACTCATACATGATATTGTGTCGAAGAAGAATTACATCTGAAAACACAATGCAAGAGAGATCCGGTTACAACTTGGATAGCGGACCGGGAGCTTACACTCACTCTTAAGTTAGTTTCAAAGTGTACTTGTGCAATGGCGTTAATGTTTCTTGGACAAGACCGTAACCATTCAGACAACAAAGTCATTGAATCGATTTATCATCAGCCAAAGATGAACACTACACAAGCGCTGGGTTAAGTCGATAATATAAATGCCACCGTACCTGTCGAGGATAAAGCGTTTCCTTAGCATCTTACTATCTGACGATGATATGTTCACAATTGACATATGGGTACTTAACAAATGGTCATCAGATACCTCTTTAGCTTGTCATTGCAATCATGATTGTGTTTGTCATAATTCATTTAGTGGGTAAGGAGGTCAATCACAATGCAATGTACCTTTGTGTTTGACCAGCAGCTGCTCTGCCTCTGCCTTACTCGTGTCACTGAAATATATCAGGCAATGCTGCATTTTTACAAGAAATAACTGATTAGCCTGCAGCATAAACATAGAATGGTGATCTTATTTTTCTACTAATGATAGAATAGTCTTTTCAGTATTTTGAAATGAAAGTATCAATATTGAGATGGGTTAAACAAAATTTCGTTCCCCTCAGAAATCCCATTGTGTTATTAATTCGTGCTATTATAAGAATGATGTATGTTTCTTTACCCCTACTATCTTCTTGTTTGTAACAGAAATACCAAACTTTTGTTTTACCTCAGCAATGTGTCCTCCATCCTTTGCCCCGTTTTGGAGAGTCGTTCATCCAGCAGTAACTGAAAGCTCTCACTGTGAGATACAGTGGTCCTGTGATGGGTTGAATGAAGATGAAGCATCAGTTTACGGTACATATCCACAGGCACAACATAGTGTGATGCTTTGCCAACATCCTCATCAACAGCTGGCAATAAACGAATGTCGGATAGGGCAGACATCATGATGAAGGCCTTGTGGATTTTCAGACATCGTTCTTGAGACATCAACAGATTACTACCAATACTATATTTTGATGTCTCTTCTTTTATATTTGACAGTCTCCTATTAAACGTTTTTGTCGTCTTGGTATCTTCAGACTTGATAACTCCGTAGATCACATCAAATGGTTCATCGGTGAAGTAACGTGCATACATCATTGCCTTGGCAACGGATTTGTTGTATTTTCTTTCCTTCCCGTAGTCGTCTATTCCCTCATCTTTAGAGGCTGCCGCGACACTGGCGACAACTGCTTCAGTATCTTCCTTGTCCTCTATGAAGGTGAGCAGTGTTGGGGGAAGGGATTTTGACATCAACAGAGCGTCACAAATAACTGTATCAGGACGAGCATCACAGTTCTTCAAGTTGCATGTTGCAGCCAAAGCTCTGCCTACAAGTGTGATGCCTGCTTTTCTGGTAAATTCTTTCAGGCGTAAGGTGAGATTCGTGTGTTTGTCTTCTGCTTTAAATGCTTCTAACAGTTCTGATGGGAATATTCCTAATATGAGCAAATAAATCAAGAACATATGTTATTATGAATTATGAAGTACAAATGTAATTTATCAAAACATTTGCCCGAACTCAATGAAATATTACAATTTAACATGAGCATATCTTTTGCCAGTCGCGGACTATGGTAATTAAGTTAATTATGGCAGTTTGGTGCGACGCAGAAAATGTAGAGACAATATATGTAATATTAGTAATAGAAGGGTAATTTAGAATATTGACTTGCATGTTGAACTATATACTCTAAGAAATGTTCGGATTCTTCTTTCACAGGAATCAACTGCCATCATGATGTAAGTGTTAAGAAAGTCACATTGATTTTCGAACCTTGTGAGGGTACAGATTTTATAATCTCCTCCAGTGAGTTTCCCCTTTCCATCACAGTCGGTGGAAATGTTGATGTTGAATCATACCTAATGTAGTGGAGAGCAGGGTCAGCCGTAGGTCCTGAAGGAAGGATACCATAAGTTGAATACTACTTTTTAGCCAGCTGGGGTGTAGGAGAAAGCTTATAGAACATACTTTTATTTGTATCATTTCATTCGTATTTCTTCACCTGATGATAGCTATATGCAAGCTAGGTATCTGAATTAGAAGGGATTTCGCAGGGAAGATGCAACATTAGAACTGCACGTGCATATCCATGACGTATCCTTTGAGATCATAAGATTTGGATAAAACTTCTAGACCTACTTTAGCAAAATGTTTCTAATAATACTATTAAACTTTCCTAAAATGAATTGGTGCAAAATTGATTATTTATTTTTCAGATCTCATTACCCATTAAAATAACTTTCTTCCGTTTATAAATTCATATCTATGTTAAACATTAATGAATACACTAGTTAACAGAGGAAATGCTTTGAGATAAATTAATATCTCAAAACGATCAGAACTACACATTTAAACACTTCAAATACTCATACATGATATTGTGTCGAAGAAGAATTCGGTTACAACTTGGATAGCGGACCGGGAGCTTACACTCTCTCTTAAGTTTGTTTCAAAGTGTACTTGTGCAATGGCGTTAATGTTTCTTTGACAAAACCGTAACCATTCAGACAACAAAGTCATTGAATCGATTTATCATCAGCCAAAGATGAACACTACACAAGCGCTGGGTAAAGTCGATAATATAAATGCCACCGTACCCCATGCGGAGTGCTATGTTACACGCAACCTTGAATAGCTTTCGTAGAAATACATGCACTTTATTGTCACAATACACTGAGCAGGTTGAGCTGTTTTATCGATATAGTAATTTGAATGGTATAATGTTCAAGTTATAGATTCTGTTCTGTACATGTAGAACGCAATAGCAGAGAATATTGATTAGTCTACATGCCAAACTGCCATTTTCAGGAGAAGCATGCTTGAGCGTCATTATGAAGTGTTTTGGTTGATTCATCATCTCTGAGCTATCCTGAACCAGAATCAGCCGGGTGCCAGACTGGCACCATTGAGGAATTTATTTTAGAGGCGAAAAACAAACGGATTTCCTCTTAATTCTTTGTGAGGCAATATCGTCACTTCTAATGCACTTGCAAACACAATTGTTCTGTATAGTACTTTGTTTTCACGGTCCAGGAATCCACTAATTATAAAATTAAAAGTGTACAAATAAACTTGTGTCATATTTTCAAGATGGCCATCGTTTCAATATGAACATTGGCTATTTGGAGGTTCCACTGTCATGCGGAAGATCCCTGGTTCAATTCGCGTCCGGGTGGGAAGCAGCCCTCCCCCCTTTCTTTTTACACTGTATGTGGGAAAGCCCGTCAGTTACTTGCCGAGGGTCGACAATCCAGGTTTTCGCCGCCAATATAAGTGACCGCCACGGTATGACCTTTGATGTTGAGTGGCGTAAAAACAAACAAATCCAATTCAATGCAATGATCACTAAGAGATAAACTTTGATGAACTCTTAAAATTCTATAAAATACATGTAATAGTTGCAAATGAAACAGCAGTGCACAAAATAGTATAGGCAAACATTAATAACTTTACTGTTGAAGCAGCACGCAATGGTCAGTCTTCGTCATCCTCGTCCTGGTTAGCAGCTACTGCCCTCTGGTCTGGTCCAGCGTTACAATTGCAAAACATCGAACGTGACATCTGTGGTGCTACACACCACCACCTCCCGGTGGAACATGGCCTGCTCCTGAAGCATCCACGCTTGATCAGCTGTAGAATGGTGAAAGGTGCAGCAGACACATCCGGCGGAAGAGTAGTTGGACACAATGTCACACAGTCCTCACCTTCTTGCCATCCATACTTGAGGGGATCCAAGTTGGGAGGCTCTGACTGAGTGGCCGATTTCCATATCATGACTGGATGGTGAGCGCGATGTACATGGTGAACATAGGCATCGTGCGATGGGGGCAACGACTTCAGTTTTGGCGCAGATGTAATCTTGGAGTTCATCTTTGACTTCCACAACTGATACAGGTGTGTGGTCATAATAACACTAAAAATGTCACTGTTCATCGTGTATAAAGCAGACACGTTGGTTAAAGTAGACCTCTTCTCCCCATACTCTCAACAGTCTCACAAGTGTTCGGTCCGACTTGGCCCGGGCTGTCAAAATCAACTTAAACCTCACAGATGTAACATGAAATGGATTCACACCTATAGATTATATCTACCTAAATATCTCTTTATAGTGTCTCAGATCGCGGTTTTTAAAGAAAACAAGGTGCTCAAAGTGAACCCCTTTTCCCTCTACATTCTCAACATAGTCTCTATCAGAAGTGTTTGGCTTGTGCTCGGCCCGACTTGTCCCGGGCTGTCAAAATCAATTATACACACAGATGTATCATCAAATGTGTTAATATCTGTAGCATAGTATTGTATCTACCTATAAAACACTTTATAATGTCACAGTACATCGTATTTAAAGAATACAAGGTGCTCAAAGTGAAGCCCTTTCCCCTCTACATTCTCAACATAGTCTCTATCAAAAGTGTTTGTCTTGTGGTGTGTCCGACTTGGCCCGGGCTGTCAAAATCAATTTTAAACACACAGATGTATCATCAATGTAGAGGGAAAAGGGCTTCACTTTGAGCACCAAGTTTTCATTACATAACGCGATCTGAGACACTATAAAGTGGTATATAGGTAGATATTATATTATTTTCTCTTGGAACATCTATAAGATGTACAGCTACATGTATTTACCAAAAGAAAGAATCTACGTTTTACTTCATTAAAAAAACATTCACTCATTGAACATCTCCAACAGTTTTGTCCATGTTGAGATCCACTGAAATGGTTAGTTCACATGTTACATTTATATAGAACAGAACGGTATTTGTGATTAAATATGATTGTAGATACATTTACTTTGGCTATATTTTAAAATTCAACAATAGCTTGCGTGCTGTTTGTTTGGAAGCATAAAATCAACTATTGTTTGTAAAAACCATTTGTGTGTGTTAATATATATGTTTTTTAAAGGAAGAAGTGTTTGAATAAATAATTATTTGTGTGTTCACAAACCCCTATCATGTAATTATATTTTCCTGAATAACATGTTGTTTGCATGTAAAATAAATGTCCCTGTTCACCTATGTAGAAAGTCAATAAGCGAAATAAAACTGAGTAACAGACTGTGTGTTATAGATCCATAGAAATACGATTGCATAGACGATCAATTGGGGTGTTCTCACTTTGCCAGCAGCTATTATTCTAGTTTAAAAATCAGTAGCCCGTGATATTCCCTACAACTATGGGGATTAACACTATAGACTGTTTCACTTTCACAGACTGACTATAGCCAGACTACAGCCTGTCTAGGTAGATAAAACACAAAAAATGTATGTAGTAATATAGGTTTTTATTAATTAAAAATTACATTTATGTACAGATGTACAAATTTTCAAGACAATATAATACAGTAGTTTGTATTGATACAAAAAAATGTATGTAGTAGTTTAGGTTTTTTATTAATTATTAATTAAAAAATCCATTTATGTCCAGATGTACAAATTTTCAAGACAAGCTAATACAATATAGCTTGCAAAATTTATGTCTGGCTACAGCAAAATCACTTGGAGTCCGACCTCGGAACATCTCAGCTCTAAAAATAAAAGTATTTAATTAATAATTGATTTAATGGAAGTTACAACACAAACAAAATACAAAGTTATCACCAGATGGTTACAGTAGAAACTGAAAGTTACTGAAATTGTCATTTGTTACACCTACTGTTCAGCTCTTCTTGATAGATACTAGGCACCAGCCTAGGGTCAACTTGAACTGTATCTAGAATGGAGGCAAGGAAGACGTCGACTTTCAACTTGGCTTCATCGGGAAGATCTATGGTTATGGATGTTCCTGTAGGCGGTGATGAGATTGTTGGCAGTGTTGATGGTTGCAGGACATCCAGCCTTACAACACCTCCAGTGCACTGTGTCTCGTCTTCTTGTCTTGACTCTGAACTTATGTCCACCTTACACTAAACTCTGTCCTCCTCGCGAATTAGGGATGAACTTAACATTTACCTGTGCATTTGCCATTTTGCAATAAATTCTCAAATGGCACCTCCATAGATATACAGTGTATATACCCGTTATTTTAAACTCACTCAATTTGTCTGTTTGGAATAGTATAGTGATCAGTGATTTATGTCCACATCAAATTATTTCGCCATATCTGTTAAGCTGAACACAGTTTACTTCATTAGTTAAGTTTGGCTTACAGTGGGTCACAGCCAAGTCGTCAAGTAGCTCAGATAATCAGAACAGGCTATAGCTGGCAAGTCACTGGACCGTACAAGTTAATCTCCCCAGCCTGCTGGCAAAGTGAGAGTAAACCGATCAATTCAGAATACAACAGGTGTAAGGTGTGGCTAATTGAAATGTATCTCGATGACTAATTGAAATGTATTTCGCAGGTAATAATCAATAAACATTGTGAGAGAAAAACAAGTGAAGGATTAAGTTGAATTTTAGTTTTGCGAAAAAGGTCCGTGGTTTCTGTGGATGAAACAAAGTTTGACAATGTTGCAAATGATCACTTTCTTTGACTTCATTACGGATTCCTCAACCTGTATCGAGGAGAATTGTTTACAGTTAAGTAAAATTCTAATTAAGATTTCTTAAAGCTGTCACGGTGGCAAATTCAAACTTCGATATCATGGTACACAGTTCTATTGTAAAGTCAGATTGGGAGTTCGAGATGGCGCTGTGTATTTTTATCTCGAATTTGATATTAAGCGGTTAAATTTATATGTTTTTGTTTTTGTTTTTTTGTTTAACGCCACACTCAGCAATATGCCAGCTATATGATGGAGGTCATGCCAATAATCAAGTCTGGACCTGACAATCCAGTGATTGACATCACGAGCATTAATCCACACAATTGTGATAAGATGACAATACAAGCATTGGTTGCTGAAGATCTGTTCTAACCCTGATCTTCACAGGTCCAAATCTATATGTATTTTT